TAAGACTCTCTCTGCCCTGCCCCTCTTCGATCTCTCTCTTTCTCTATCAAATAAATAAATAAATCTCAAAAAACAAAACAAAACATTTCCCCCCCCTCTTTCTACTTAAATGGCCTAGGAACAGTGACTAACCCACAATGAGTACCCAGATTGTAGCTTGGAAAAACATTTCTCATTCAGAGAACCAAAGCTCCGTGGAGAAATGGCTGATTCTGGGTCCTGGGAGAAACTGTATAAGAAGAGCTTGGAACATCCTGCTATATAGCAGATAGCAAGAAGTCACCAAAGAGTATTATGACTGAATCCCAAGGATTCAGGAGCCAGTTTGAATTGGCCTTTTCATTTGCCAAAGATGGGACAATTTGAACATCAATAAAGATAATAGCTGCAGTGTATTGAAACCAATTAATACATTTGGTCCATGAGTTTATAGGTGATGCTAAGAAAAAAGAACTAATTTCTCTTAGAAGATTATAATGCACCAACTGCTTATTTTGAAAACTGGAAAATAATGGAAAAGAAAGCATTTATTCCTGTCTCTGATATAATGGCTCACTGGCTAAGCAAATAGTAGATGAGGAAAAGTACTCTTCATAGAGATACTCCAGCTATTAAATAAAGGAGGACTGATGGAATATTACCTTTTGGCAACCCTTAATGGAGATAATGGATTTAAGCATTGATCACCATCTCCTTACTGCACAAAAAGAACAACCCGACATTTTCCTCCTGGTAGAAGGACACTATACCATTTATGAAATGATCTTGCCGAAAAGCCCTCAAACCTAAACATGACCAAAGCTCTAGATCCACCTCTCAATTTATAGAAAACACAAAGGAATGTGTTAAATGTCACTACAGGGATGCAATCAATAAATTCTAGCTTCTGGAAAAATTACACAAAAACAGTCCCATTTCTTCAACAAATACATTGCAAAGGTAGAAGATGAAAAGACTTGCGCACAGTCAACTAAGTATCTCTTCCTCCCATAGCTTCTGCATACCTCTCTCACAACACAACATTATTGTGAAGTGGTCTGTTTATAGGCATTTCTGTCTCATTAGACTGTATGTTCCTCAAGACTAATTTTCCTTTATTTCCCTTGCATGTAACATGGTACCTGATGTTTGGTGCAGAGTCAATAAATATTTCTTGTGCACATTTTATTAGATGACTTCAGTAGTTAGCCAATTATAGTCATCTTTGCTCCTTGGTTCTTTTGATTAGGAAACTGACCAGTCATAACATTTCCATATTTGCCTTTTTCACTTGGTTTCTTTTTTTTTTTAATAATTTTTTTATTGTTATGTTAACCACCATACATTACATCATTAGTTTTTGATGCATGCCTTTTTCACTTTGGACTAAAGCTGACTCTTTCAGTGACTTTTAGATTGTACGCTTATTGTTATACACACCTGTCCTCTCCCATAGAAATTACTTTATTGTTCTATCTAATTTTATTTTTAATTTTAATTTAATTTTTAATTTTTATTTATTTGACAGAGAGAGAGACAGAGCGAGAGAGGGAACACAAGCCGGGGGGAGGGAGAGGGAGAAGCAGGCTTCCCGCCAAGTAGGGAGCCCGATGCGGGGCTCGATCCCAGGACCCTGGGATCGTGACCTGAGCTGAAGACAGTTGCTTAACGATTGAACCACCCAGGTGCCCCTGTTCTATCTAATTTTAAAGGTCATGTGTTCTTACTGTAAAAAAATTCAAACAAAATAGAAAAGTATAAAAAAGAACTAGAGCCTTCACTGTTAACCAGGAATAACTTTTTATCCCTTTCTCTCCTCCCCTTTCTTCTTTCTCTGCCACCCCCCCCAACTTTCCTCTTGTTGGATTGACCCATCCGTCACTATGTAATGACCTTCTTTGTCTCTTATTATAGTCTTTATGTTATAGTCTGTTTTGTCTGATATAACTACCCCAGCTTTCTTTTGGTTTCATTTGCATGGAATATCTTTTTCCATTTCTTCACTTTCAGTCTGTGTGTTTCCTTATATCCAAAGTGAGTCTCTTGTAGGCAGCATGTAGATATGTCTTGTTTTTTTTTTAACCCATTCAGCCATTCTGTGTTTTGACTGGAGAATTTAGTCCATTTACATTTAAAGTAAGTAATTGATAAGTATTTACTTATTGCCTTTTTGTTAACTGTTTTCCATTTGTTTTGTATTTTGTTTCTGTTCATTTCTTACTCCTTTCCTTTGTTGTTTGATGACTTTTAATAGTATGCTTAGGTTTCTTTATTTTTTGTGTATCTGCTATAGGTTTTTGCTTTGTGGTTACCTTGAGGCTTGCACATAACAACATGTATCTAGAACAATGTATTTTAAGTCAATAACAACTTAAGTTTGATCCAGTTTTAAGGTTCTTCATTTTTACTTCCCTCTCCCATGTTTTATGTTTTTGATATCATATTTTACATCTTTTTATCTTGTGTATTCCTTAACTAAGTATTATAGTTATTTTTACTACTTTTGTCTTTTAACCTTCATACTAGCTTTATAACTGATTAATCTACTTTTAGTATATATTTACTTTTCCAGTAAGATTTATTCTTTCATATTTTCTTGTTACAAATTAGCACCTTTTCTTTTCAGCTTAAAGAACTCCCTTTAATAGTTCTTGTTAGGCCAGTTTAGTGATGATAAGCTCCTTTAGCTTTTGCTTGTCTGGAAAACTCTGTCTCTACTTTACTTCTTTTTTAAAGATTTTATTTATTTATTTGACACAGAGAGAAAGAGACAGCTAGAGAGGAAACACCAGCAGGGGGAGCAGGAGAGGGAGAAGCGGGCCCCTCCGATGCGAGGCTCAATCCCAGGACCCTCGGATCATGACCCGAGCTGAAGGCAGATGCTTAACGACTGAGCCACCCAGGCGCCCCTACTTTACTTCTGAATGATAACTTTCTTGGGTAGAGTGTCCTTGGATGAAAGTTTTTTCTTTCAGTACTTTGAATGTATCTTGCCACTGTCTTCTGCCCTGCAAAGTTTCTGAACAGTCTGCTGATAGTCTTATTGGGGGTTCCCTTGTGTGTAACAAGTTGTTTTTCTCTTCCTGCTTTTAGGATTCTCTCCTTCTTTTTAACTGTTAACATTTTAATTATAATGTGGCTTGGTGCAAGTCTTTTTGTCTTTATCTTTTTTGGAACTCTCTGGGCTTTCTGGATCTGGATGACTGTTCTCTTCCCAAGGTTAGGGAAATTTTTAGCTATTATTTCTTCACAATTTTCCATAAGTAGCATATGCCACATACATCCTGCTGTGGAACCTGCTTTTTTTCTTCATCCAACATGCTAGGTATCTCTTTTTTCTTTCTTTTTTTTTTTTTTTTTAAAGATTTTATTTATTTATTTGAGAGAGAGAATGAGATAGAGAGAGCATGAGAGGGGGGAGGGTCCGAGGGAGAAGCAGACTCCCTGCTGAGCAGGGAGCCCGATGCGGGACTCGATCCCGGGACTCCAGGATCATGACCTGAGCCGAAGGCAGTTGCTTAACCAACTGAGCCACCCAGGCGCCCTAGGTATCTCTTTCTGTATCAATAAACATTGCTGCACATTGTCATTTTGCAGACTGCATAGTATTTCTTCTTATTAATATTTATTAATTTAATTACCTAGAACTGTGCTGATGAACATTATATTTCTTCACAATTATTTGTAATTATTCTCTATTACAAAAAGTGTTGTAGTGAATTTTTTTAACACATCCATTTGTAGATGTGTGTAGTTATCGCCTTAGACTAGAGGCAGGTTTCTTAGATCAAAGATTGTGTTCATGTAGAATTTCTATATTGCCCTGCCATATTCCAGAAAATTTTGACCTCTGTTTTCATTGCTTCAGCAGTTGATTAGGAGGGCTTTATTATACTTGAAGTCTTGTTCATCAGCTCTCAGCACTAGTCTTCAGTAAGGAACTCTCATTCTATATCTTTTTTTAGCCCTCTCTTTTGGTGTCTTTTCTTGAATTATTTATCTTCTCTGTGGTGGCAGCAGGGACTGTTAAAGTTGTGTAAGATGCAAGATCATGAACTGGACATGAAATAAATGCAGTCTAATATGTGATTATCTTATAGCAACTACCAGACATTGTTACACCTAGCATATTGTTATATGTGTTTTTAAACAAACATTGTGGAATGTTAGACCTCTCAAATCCTTGATCATATTTATATAAAAGTTTCATCTTTAAATGTCATCTTCTTTATATCTGCTTGGAGGAACTAACATAATACATTATTAACTTTTTTTAAAAAAAATTATTTATTTTAGAGAGGGAGAGACAGCACATGTGGTGGGGGAGGGGCAGAGGGAGAGAGAGAAAGAGAGAATCTCAAGTGGACTCCTTGCTGAGTGCAGAGGCAGGGCTTTATCCCATGACCCTGACATCATGACCTGAGCCAAAAATTGAAGAGTTGGCCACTTAACCTACTGAGCTACCCAGGCACCCTTGCTATTAACTTCTGTTTTTGTTTTTAACATTTTTATTTATTTGTCAGAGAGAGAGGCAGGCAGAGGGAGAAGCAGGCTCCCCACTGAGCAAGGAACCAATGCGGGGGTCGCTCCCAGGACCCTGGGATCCTGACCTGAACCAAGGGCAGACGCTTAACCAACTGAGCCACCCAGGCGCCCCCACTATTAACTTCTTAATAATGTTTTAGTCCATACTCATTTATTTCCCAGAATCCTCTTGTAGACGAAAGAATTTGTGTTTTTAGGTCTGACTGACGTATATTCTGACTTCAGCTTTGCTGCTTACCTAGTTGTATGTGAACCTCGCTTAAGTTTTCTGGGCTTCAGTTCATCTGCAAAATTGGGGTATATTTGATTGCTGCCTTTGAATGATTGCTCTAAGAATCAAAACATTGGATGTGAAAATAGTATAGTGGCTAGCAAATATTAATAATTCAATATTTGTTCCATCCTTTTGTGGCATGCAGTAATACATACTGTTTTTAGATATATATTCACTATCATGTATACTATTGCCTTCACAGAAATCTTCTCTACATATACCCTCAGAGTCTCAATTTTGCCAATCGTCAAGGTTCTGCAAGAAATATAACAGTGAAAGTACAGTTCATGTATGGGGAGGATCCAAGCAATGCCATGCCGGTAAGAAATGTTCTTTACTTTTCCTGTTCTTCATATATGGTTCAAATAAACTTTCTTTTTTACTTCGTTGGCAGCTCTAAACTGGAAATTAATATTATCTCGTAGACCAAGTTTCTAACTGCATTACTTCCTATACAGATAGTACAAGTTTACTTGAATTCTTCTTTAAAAGTTTTTATTTAAATTCCAGTTAGTTACTATACAGTGTAATATTAGTTTCAAGTATACAATATAGTGATTCAATACTTCCATCTTGAAGTCTTAATTATTGAGGACTTGGTATATGCTAGTCACTCCCAGAGATACAAAGATGAATAAGACTTGTAACCTAGAGGATATGAGATAAACACATAAAATTCTAAAATAGTGACTTACAAAAGAGGATCAGAACAGAATCACCTAGGGTACTCTAATGAAGCACAGATATATATATATTTTTTTCTATTCTTGTCATCTGTGATTCTGATTCTTCTCCTTTAGAATGAAAGACCAGGTAAGGGAGGTGTAAGTTGATGTGTAGTATATGAGGTTGTGGTATAGGTTGAAAATGTTCCCCACATGATTCTAATATGTATGATTTTTCCCATGTTTGTTAAGAAATCTTGATAATAGTGCATATTACACTTACCTAGGGAGCCTTTAAAAATACCAGTGCTCAGACTGAATCTTACTCCAATTAAATTATAGTGTCTGGGGGTGGGAACTAATCATGTATCAGTATTTTTAAATCTTCCCAAGGGATTACATTTTGCAACCAATACTGAGAACCAGGGTATTTGCTAAGTGTTAGAAGATTGCTATAGGGATTCAAAGGCATAGATGTACACTAGTAGGAGAGAGTGTCTTGCTGAGGTAATGAACAGGTATCACCTGGAGGAGGTATATCTGAACTAAAACCAAAGGTGTTTAAAATGTAAATGCCATTGGGTCTTAGACAGTGGAGGAAAGAAAGCAGCTCTCCCAAGTGGGAGAATGTTCTTCAACAGTGGTACAGTGCTGGGTTGCCAGTGAGCCAGAGCAATGTAAGATAAGTCAGAAATACTAGATTGAGGCCAGACTGGGGAGATTCTTGATTGCCCAGATTGTCATTTAGGATTTGGGGAACATTAATGCACATTCTGTGAAATACAATGCAAGTTCCATGAAAGTAGATTTTAGGTTCAACTAAACTTAGTAACATATGGAGTAGGAGCACAACTGTCACTGTAGATGTTCAACTTCTGAGAACCCTAGTGGAATGAAAATGAGCTTAAGAATAGGTGCGTTGTTAACAGTTTTATTTTAGTCTTCCATGTCAGTCATTAAATCAAGTTCTGATTTTCTACTTACTAGGAAAGCCGTATGTTTTCTCTTTTCCTATTGTCCCCGTTTCATCCACATTTATAGATCTTGACAGCAACAAGTACAAATTATTCATCTTTGTAATCTTCTATGGCAGCTGCCTCAGATCTTTGCATATAATACATGCTGAATAAATATTTGTTGGTAAATGTAGAATTTATTTTTGAGGTTTGGAATTAGCATTTCATGTTCTTTATTAGTTTTTTATTTCTGCTGAAGGAATGAATGTACTATCACAGTTGATGAAAAGATACTGGATTGTGAAAATAGGTGCTTTGTTACGTGAATTGCCATATGGATTTGAGCTAATGACAAATGCCGTATACGTAAGATAATCTGTTGTTATTGTTTGCCTAACAAACTCTTCCTTGTCTTAGCATATGGCCTCCTCTGCAAGAATTCCAGCTGCATCCAGCCACATTGGCAGTTAGACCACTCCCTCTTTTGGTGCTACCATAGCATCTTCTCATTTCTTTTATGGGCCTTATCACCTTAAGATTATATGTTTATTCCTTTATCTTGTCTGCTAGATTGTGAGCTCCTTGAGGGCAGGGACCATGTCATGATTGTAACTGGATGCTTGTCATAGTGCTTGGCACAGAAATGATCCTCAGTCTGTGTTGATGAATGGTTAAAAATACCTGTCAAATGGTCAAAAAAAGGAACACTTTCCACTTTTTGTCATTCATGTTATGAATATAAATGTGTTACTTTGTGAAAAATGATAGTTTCTCAGGAGGAAAAAAGGTACTGCAATCCTTTCGCTTGTATGTTATTAATCATATGAAAATATAATGCTTTTATGTTTATCCTAGTGGCTGGTTGAAAGTATAGAAACATAGACACGTAGTCCTGGCTTACCCTTTTAAAAAATAAGGACTATTCAAATGGATCCTAAGATAATTTTTTGATCATATATTGATATGATAAAATCATAAACCAAGTTCTGTTATTGGAACAACATTTTATAAAAACATGGTAACGTATTCTTTGCAAATTGATGAAATTAGACTTATCTAGGAGAGTCATAATTATTACACCTTTACACACCTTTAAAATAAAAGGACCTGCTTGAACTGTTAGAAAAAGAAACACAAATATCTGTTAATATGTTCTTTTTATTTACGGATGGTACCAATTAATCCCTTTGTATAAGATATAAAGTTTGAGTTATTTTACCAGTTGTGTTGATGGAAGTGTGATGACATGTCCATGTACTTATTTCTGCATATGTAGAGATGGCTGGCCAGACCTAAGAGTTTAACTTATGGCTAGATAACATTGCAAGCCTAACTGTCTCACGTAGGAATTGTAAGCCATTTATCTAATCAGCTGCCCTAATTAACTATAATATTGCTATTAGAACTCAAGAGGCAGATATACAAGACTGAATTATTTTACCTCTAACCCTTCTCCAATAGTATTGTACTTTTTTTTGTTGTGGTGGATTTTTTTTTTAACACATATGAAAGAATGTAAGAATGGCGCTCCTCCTTCTTTATAGAGTAGCTTATAAGAAATACTGGAAGCAAAAGATACATAGCTTGACCTAAAGTAGGATTTTTAAATATCATTTATAAATAATTTATATTTGACTTACAGAATGATTACTGTTTTAGTAGAGAAGCCACCAATTTGTATAGAACTACCATTCTAAGACCATATTTCTTACATAAATTCCAAACGATATGCTACATCCAGATTTTAAAATGAATTCTTCACCTTCTTGAAGAAAAAGAAAATATAATGGGTAGAAACTTTTCGAATGTTTGAATGTCAGATGGGTCTATAGTTGAAAAATTTACAACTAAGCAATTGAATTTATTAATAAGCGTTAGTAGGCACATTGTTCTTCATTGGGCTGATTTTGCCCATTGTTCTCCAGTAGTTACTAAATCAGACAAATTCTTACATAGATATGAACATCCAGCATTTATTACAACAAAGTTTCAACATGCTGTTATTTGTTACAGGTAATCTTTGGTAAATCTAGCTGTTCAGAATTTTCAAAGGAAGCCTATACAGCCGTAGTATATCATAACAGGTACTGAATTCAAATATTTCTTTCAAAGTTACTCACTTCTCAGTGGCATTGTTAGCACTCACGTTAGTGTGTTTACCAAATGCTTTGCTGCACTGAATGTGCAAATTCAAAACAGCTGACATCAGAGTTATAATTTTCAACCTGTAGATGCATATTTTCATAGACATCAAGTATAAGACTTTATACACAAAACATCTTTCATATCAAATTCTCTGACCCTTTCATTTTTATTATACTGTTATTGATTATCATTGTGGCCTCTGGTCTTTTGGACTTTCTCTGTTATTTTCCCCTCGACACTTTGTAGTTTTACTTAACTCTTTACTAAGCTTACAGCCATTAGTCAGTTAATTGGTAGTATTCTCAAAATCTAATAATCCTTTGACTTAGAATTCCAGTTTACTTCTTTTGGAAATTTTTAACTTTGGATAACTTTTCATCTCTACTTACTTTCTTTTCTTTTTGTTTTGATTATTGAATGCTGTTGGAGAAAAATCACAAAATTCTACCAATCAAGATGATCACAAATTGACGTCATTTTATCCATATGATCGGGCTACAGAAATTCATTTTACTTTATTTCATCTTCCTTTCGTCCCCACCACTCTTTGGTAATCTTGCCATCGCTTTTTTACCCTCTGTCATTTGGCAAGACATATTTTAAGCCTTTCTCTTCCTTTCTGTAGCTCCTACTTACTCTGTTTGCCTTACTCTTAGCATTCCTACTTTATTAAGTGGATTGAGACCATCCAACTTGAGAACCATCCATTTGTCTACTCTTTACCTCTGATGATCTCTGCATGGTCTGCCTTTCCTTCTGGTTCAAGGGCAGTCGGGGCGCACACCTGGCTCAGCGTGAGTCTTTCCCCTCTGCTTTCCTCCAGTCTCATCCTTGCTCTTTCAGAGTGTGACTCCGTCACTTAACCCTTCTCTTGTCCCATCAGTCTCTTACTGTCAAAAAAAAGCTCAAGTTTTTTGTACTTAAAAAACAAAACAAAGGTCTCTCTTCAGTGTTGTTGTGCAGCATGGTTTTTCCTTGCCCTCCTTAAAACTTTATTCTTTCTCACCCTTACTTAACGACCCTCTTTGTTTCCTCCCATCTCTGTGGACAGTTTTTTTTCTGTAATGATTGCTCTAATTTTTCTTTCTTTCTTTCTTTCCTTTTTTTTTTTGAGTATAGATATTCCATACAAAACAGTAAGGTTTTACCCATAACCTTTTTCTATACTTTACTCTCTGTAAATAATCTTATATGTATTTCTCAGAGTTACAGTCAGCGAAAATGCTACTACTTTTATCTTTGTGTGGATTGTTCCCAACTCTTATTTTCAGTCATAACCTTCTTTGTGAGGTGCAGACATATATTTTTTAGTGGCCTATTGGGCATGTTCAAGGTGCCCTGCTGCCTTCTCAATATCTATGTGTTTATCCCTGATTCTCTTCTGGACCCTATTTCTATCTGACTCTTCATTTTTATTAATGGTACCACAATTTTTCCAGTTCCTTTGATTCAAAATCTAAAACATCCTTGCTATCCTTCTTCTTTTCTCTAATATCCAGTCGTCTTTTACATCTTGATAATTTTCTTTTTGCCTGATTACCAAACATATCCTGTGCTCTTCTGTTTCTGGGCCTTTCTTGGATCTCTTTTTCTATTCTAATACCAATTCCCTCTACTGATTGAACTCCTATTCATTCTTTAAGGCCTGTACCATATAGTCTTCCTAAACACAATTCCCTGATCCAAAACTTGAAATAATCTGTTCAGCTCTCTTCTTGAAGCACTTAACCTTATATGCTCTATACCAGGAGTTGGCAAACTTTTTCTGCAAAGGGCCCAGTAGGTTTGTTTTAGGGCTTGTGGGCCATATGGCCTCTGTTGCAATTACTCAGCCCTGCTGTTATACTGCAAGAACAGCCGTAGACAATAAGTAAAGTTGCAAATGAATGGGCATGGCTGTCTTCCAATAAAATTTTACTTATGGACACTGAAATTTGAATTTCATGTAATATTTCAAGTGAAATGTTATTCTTTTTATTTTTTTTAAGGACTTCTAAAAATCATTCTTATTTTGTAGGCGACAAAACCAGGCAGTGGACTAGATTTGGCCTATGGGCCATAGTTTGCCAACCCCTGCTTTATAGCATTGCTATTGATATATGTGTGTCTTATTTATATTTCTACTAAATTACATATTTTTGAGGGTAATTATTTTTTCATGTTTATCTATAAAACCACCACAAAAATAACACAATACTTAGCATAAAGGTGAACAATTAAAAGTACTTGTTGATGAATAACTAGTATATGCTTAATTTTCCATAAAAGCCTTCAACATAGTATGATTTCAGAAAAGAAATGAACTAAAACATTCAGTACCAGGAAAGATACTGATAAAGAAGGTAGTAATTCCTTAAAGTATCTCAATTTGTAGATATATCTTTATTTTTGTTGCTCTCAGCATTAGTAGAATTAAAATGACAATACTGTCTAACATTGTTAGTAAATTCAACTTTCTTATAATTCAGTAGTGATTAGTAAGATCAATAATAAGATGCATAGCATCTTTTATTCACCAAAATCATCAAATTCTCAAATGGCTACCATTAATTATCTTTCTTGTAGGTATTAAAAGCCTCATCTATCTAATGTTTCTGTGATCAAATCTACAGTTATTAGTGTTTTTGAGGCTTATTTGAAATGTAAGGATATTAGACTTATTAGCATCAGTTTTTTCTAATTTGTGGAACAGAATTCACTTTTAATTAGTTGGAGCCATATGGTTTGGATGCATTTTCATTGAATATAATTCTAAGAGATACTAACCGATTATGGAAGGTTGGGATGCTAAGGTTCTATCCCTTTTAAGTCTATATCGTAAATAGCAGCAATACTTTTCTATAAAAATGCTCCTAGGGACCACTCTCAGTGAATACTGAGGTGAAAATGCCAGTGGTTTGATCAAACATGATATTGGTTGTATTCTTATAGTGTCTGGGAGCACTTCTAAACTAGGACAAATGCAATTTGTAGGTGTTCCTGATTTTTTTTCTTTTCATTTTTTCCCCTCTTTTCTGAGCTGTCAATACATTAGTTTATGTTTTGTTAACATCTATTTCTTTAGCAATGGAATAATTGATATAAAATATTTCCATAGAGAGCCCAACTTGATACCAAGTTGTCTAGAGATACTTGTTTTTTTCTTTTTTACAAAAAGATAATACATATTAATCTTTAGCATGAAGCTGCACTCCTATAATAGAAAATTTTTTTTTATGGTATGGTTTTAAAATATCTACTTATAAAAAACTCCTATTATTTTTTCTATGTAATGTGTATCAGAATATAGAAAGCCTTGCATAGTCTGCTCTTTTATATAATTTCCAATCTAATGAAGATCTCAGCATCAAGGTGGTGATTATTAATGAATTTCAAAATAGTAGGATTACCCAGCCCATTAATAAAAATGGGATGAGAAATTTCAGAAACAGAGGCAGCTCCCTCAACTGGAAATAGAAGTTAGTTACTTAAAGTTTGGGAATAGAGAAAAATACTTTGTACTAGAAGAAAAATTAAGTATGAATCCTGAAATTAATTTAAAATTACTCAAATATACCAATGCAATAATTACTTATTTTGAACAAATTACTGACTATTGATCTGTTTTGTTTTGTTTTTTTTGTATGAAGGTCTCCTGATTTTCATGAAGAAATCAAGGTTAAACTCCCTGCTACTTTAACTGACCATCATCATTTGCTTTTTACTTTTTATCATGTTAGTTGTCAACAAAAACAAAATACTCCTCTTGAAACTCCTGTTGGGTATACAGTAAGTATTTTTTTGTTTAATATTTAGCTCTTCGACCTTAAAAATACTGTAATTACAGTATCTGAGATGAAGTTGGTGTTCATTATTACTTGAGTATTCCTTATCTGATTCCCCATAAGGGTTAAGAAAAGTCATCATAATAAGAAAATACTCATTACTGTAATTAAGTAATGTAATTAATTACCTAACGTGTGAACACTTAGGTGTTGGTCCTGATTATTATGTGTTTACCCAACAATACAGTATAAATATATTAATTTTAATGGTTCTTCAGAAGAGAATGGTTTCAATGTAAAATGATTAAAAGAGACCCTTGGCTATTAAAATTCTTTTGGCTTTAATTAAAGGCAATTAAAACTCTTGAGTATTTTTTGAAAATCATTATGATTGAATTGCAAAGGTAAACCTAAGGTGAAGGATATGGTGTCATGATGTGCTATCACAACTTTGTCAGAAAAATCGTGCTGCTACCCAAAAGAGAAAAATCAACATTTGACTTTTTTTTTGTTTCTTGCAGTTTATGAAATGAATTTTGCTAAACGTAACAAAATAAATTTATGTTCATGCTTTTTAGTTTTGTTGTCAGCATTCACGTTTAATCAAACCTTTCCCTATATACATTGACACTATTACCCCCATTTAAAATGGATCCACTTGGTGACCTTTATCTTCTACTCCAGCTTTTTCTGGGATAATAAGGACCATCTATAGGTTCAAATATTGCATGGTTAGTTAGTAATAGTAATGTTTTAGGGATCCTCCTTAATAAAATATTGTCAGGGAAGCTTTTCTTTAGAGGAATCATGGAAACCTATTATTATTACTTAATCAAATCCCGTTGGTGTTTGGTGATGTGAGACAAATTTAGCTCATACCAAGTTCTTAAAACAGATTTTCCAAGTAATTACTTTTGTAACAAACATATTTAACTTAATATTGTTTCCTTTTTAATTAAAAGTGGATACCAATGCTTCAGAATGGACGATTAAAGACTGGGCAGTTTTGCCTACCAGTCTCACTGGAAAAACCACCACAGGCTTATTCTGTACTGTCTCCTGAGGTCAGTATCTCTCATGGTGAAACTCTCCAGATTGAATGAAATGAATTTTTTATTACAAAGGTATTTTTCTCAAACGAGACCTTGCTATTCTGGCTAGAAGTATGTAGATAATAATACTGTTTTCTTTTAGAATTAAAATTACTCTGTAGAATACTTAAAGCTTTTAATCTAAGTATATTGATTTTAAAACCAAAGTAATATGTGAAATATAAACTTAAAAAAGGCAAATTTGGAGAATTTTCATATTGTAACATGAGAAGCTTTAAATAAATGAGTTTTTGTTTTGTTTTGTTTTTTAGTAGACAACATTTCACTGAAAGTCTGGAGGAAGGAGTACAAACAAATTTTTTAGAATATTTTTGTAATTGATCATGTATGTGAAAATAAAGTAGCTATAAACATGCAATACAAGAGGGGCACCTGGGTGGCTCAGATGGTTAACCATCTGCCTTCGGCTCAGGTCATGATTCCAGGGTCCTGGGATCGAGCCCCATATCAGGCTCCTGGCTCAGCAGGGAGCCTGCTTCTCCCTCTGCCTCTGCCCCTGCTCATGCTCTCTCTCTTTGTATCTCTTTGTCTCAAATGAATAAATAAAATCTTTTAAAAAAAACCCATGCAATACAAGAAACATTAGCAGCTGTGATGATGACATATGTGACTTGAAAGAAACAAAAACATTGGAAAAAGCTCAATCAAGAATCAGTAGCCGCTGTTCCAAACCTGAAGTGCTTTTTGAGAGAACTGTTACCGGATGATTTGCACGTGACTCTTTGTATGCATTAATCTGAACTATGTCTTGGGAATGTTCTCCTGGTGGCATTTATTTTCAGAATAGAACTCGAAAAATATTCACAAATAAATTTGTATTGTTTTTATTTTTAAAAAACAGAGGCAACAGAAAGCTCCTGCTCCAACCTCCTTTCTTACTGTTCTCTGTCACTTACTCTGGCCCAGCCACACAGCACAGTGCCTTGGCTGTTCTCAGACGTGCAGAGTGCATTCCCACGTCGGGCCCTTTGCAGTTCCCTCTGCCGGCAGTGCTCCATCACCAGGCCAGCTTCTTCGTTTCATCCAGATAGCCCCTCAAATCCTGCTTCTTCAGACAGGGTGTTTCTGAGCGCTTCATTCAAGTGCAGCCTCCACCCTTTTTTATCCCTTTCCTTTGCTTTGTCCTCGTAGTACTTTTCATTGACTTTATACTTCATATATCTTTGTTTATTTTCTACAGAGTATAAATTCCAGGAAGGTAGGGACTTTGTCTTTCTTGTGCATTGCTCTCTCTGCAAGTACTTAGAATAGCGCTTGGCTCACAGCAGGCAGTAAGTATTTATTAAACGAATGAATAAAGACAGTAGGAAAGAAAGATGACTCCTTCCTTCCTCCCCGCCCCCCCCCTTGCCAAACCTTTCATTCAGTTTTCTAGGAACACATCTTCTCAGTAAAATCAGCTAATCTTCCATCAGGGATTGCATTATATATTTCAAAAGGAAATATTTTAAAAGAAAATCTGATTTTATGGAAGTTATGCTTTTATTCTTAATTGATTTGCAAGTGCAAGTTCAGCTTTCTAAAGGGAGGTTGATGGTTTTCTTCTAGCTACCATGCTGTGTATGCTCATATATAAAGAATATGGGCATCATTTGGATTTGACTATACATGTGTCATATGACTGATAGATGATAAGTGCGTAAGCTTTTGTATTTTTTTAAAATTTATTTGAGAGAGAGAGATCATGAGCAAGGGGAGGGAAAGAGTGGGGGAGAAGCAGGCTCCCTGCTGAGCTCGGAGACTTGGGGCTCGATCCCAGGATCCTGGGATCATGACCTGAGCCAAAGGCAGAGGCTTAAAAAATTGTGGTAAAATATACGTAACATAAAATTAGCCATTTTAACCATTTTTAAGTGTCCAGTTCCATGGCATTAAGTGCATTCACATTGTTTTGAAAACTAGCCTCTTAAAACTATTTTTAATTGAGGTATATGTATGTCTAAACAATACATTTTTACTTTGCTTATTTTTTGGATTTAATGAAAAGGGTATTATGCTGTATATAATCCTCTGGGGGACTTGCTTTTTTCATTCAGCGTGATACTGCCAAGACTAGTGTTTCTTTATGATCACATATAATGTTTATATAGTGTATCTATATTTTGCTGGCATTTCATTGTACTTAGAATATAAATCTAGATTTTTCTCCATGACCTCCAAATCTCCAAAGGATCTGAGCTCTTCCACCTCTTTAACATCATCTTCTACCATCCCTGAGCCCCTTCTTCTGTACTTAGAGCTTCTTCTAAACTTTTTCCTGCTTCTAGGCCTTTGAATTTTCTTTCCTCTTCCTGAACTTCACATGGCTGGATTCTTTTCATTTTCTGAATTTTATATAAAATAGTACCTCCTCATAGAGGTCTTTGCTTACTCCATGAATTTCCAACCCTTCCTTCTACTTCACTGCTGATATACTCTATCATTTTTAATCCAATTTTATTTACTTAATACTTACCACTATCTGAAATTATATTATTTATTTCCTTACTTTTCTCTATAAGAAATGGTGGGTAAGCTCCCTGAGAGCAGACCTTGTGTTTGCCATGGAACCTTAGTACCTAGAAAACTGTCTAGAGCCTTCAATAAATATTTGTTGTATGAATTTAAAAAGTTACAGGATTGTTGATATTAGGAAAACTAAAAAATGAAAATTTTGTTGAGACCATACAAAGTTTCTCAAAGTGACTAGCCATTTGGCAGTGAGGAATATCTGTTGTGTTCTTTTCCCCACAGAAACATTGGCCATTTCTTTGCATCTCCCTCATCCCACTCCCCCACTGGGGGAGGGCAGGCATTTCACTGGCATGTGGAGAGAGAGGACTCTAGGCTGTGAAATACAAACCCATTTGCCAAATCCCGCCATAGTTCCTCCCCTTCCAAAGCTTGAGTGCCATTTTGCAATGAACCACCAATGACATGCAGTGAAGGATATTACCTAGCTACCTTTTAAAAAAGTATTTTTAGTATCTCGTTTGCCCAAGTTCACTGGGTATTTCACTTCTCTGACCTAAGTTAGAGTTGGACTAAATCTGTGACATCCTGAGTAGCTCACTAATTTTAACTACATTAGTTGAATGTGGTTGATACATCTGTGTCCTCATTTCTACAAAGAGCAGACCAGGTTGTACCAAGCATAGTCAGGACATGCCATGCCAACATAGATGTATTTAACTATTAACATGGAAGTGTATAATATATGACTATAGTATTTTTATTTTTATTTTATTTATTTTTGTTTTTAAAGATTTTATTTATTTGAGAGAGAGAATGAGTGAGAGAGCACCAGTGGGGGGGGGTGGTGAGCAGAGGGAGAGGGAGAAGCAGACTCCCTGCTGAGCGGGGAGCCAGACACGAGGCTGGATTCCGAGACTCCAGGATCATGACCTGAGCCGAAGGCAGATGCTTAATTGTTTGAGCCACTCAGGTGTCCCTCATTTTCATTTAAAAAATTTCTTATTTTATTTTATTTAAATTCAAGTTAGTTAACATAGACTGTGTAATATTTTTAATAGATATATTTTGTTTCATCTAAAAAGAAGGAAAAATTATAGGATTACTGGTATTAGCAAAACATAAGTGAAAACTACATGGATCAACCAAGAATTTAATACTGAATTAAACTCTTGTATATCCATGCAGTGGTACAGTAGTTAAGAGGAGTAATACAGATTTCAATATCCCACCTCAATATCCCAGTAGAACATTCATTCATTCATTCATTCATTTTATTGAGAGGAAGAGAGAGAATCTTAAGCAGGCTGTACACCCAGCACGGAGCCTGATGCAGGGGTCAGTCTCACAAACATGAGATCATGACCTGAGCGGAAAACACAAGTAGGATGCTCAACCTACTGAGCCACCCAGGCGCCCCCCAATAGAACATTTGTAATAAAAACACAAAAGCAAACAGTATAGTGACAAGCAAACTCACACCTCAAGTACACATCAGTAATTGGGTGATAAATAGTTTGGAAAATATACATCAAGTTTAGCAAGGTTAACTTTTGAAGGGTAGGGATTATTAAAGTTTTTATTGTTGTTTCAAATCTCATATACTTTCAAAAGGCAGTATATCATTATTTTCAGGGTTTCATTCCTGGCCTCACCATTTATTAGTTGTGCAACCTCAGGTAAGTTTCTTAATCTCTCTGCTGTGGACTGAATTATGTCTCCCTACCTCATCCCGCCCCCGCCCCCGCCCCCCAAATTCATATGTTGACAATGCGCTAGTATTTGGAGATGAGATCTGTGGGAGTTAATTAGGTTCAAATGAGTTTCAGATGAGGTCAGGAGGGTGGGGCCTCATGATTAGTGCCTTAAGAAGAGCCATCAGAGTACTCTTAACTCCTAGCTGTGTGAGAACACAGTGAGAAGGTAGCCGTCTGCAAGCTAGGAAGGGTTTCTCACCAGAAACTGACCATGTTGTCACCTTGATTTTGGACTTCTAGTTTCCAAACTGAGAAAATAACTTTCTGTGGTTTAAGTCACCCAATGTATGATATTTTGTTATGGCAGCCCGAGCCAACTAAAATATTCTCTGTGCCTGAATTTTCTCATCTGTAAGTTGAGAATAATTAATGCTTATAAGAAGGGGTTACGTTGGTGATCAAACTGATAGTAGTCTGTAGAGCGCTTAGAGTGGTGCTAGGCACATGAAAAGTGCTATAAAGAAATGTTCGCCTCTATTATGGCATTCCTATTGCCACAATGCTTGTTAAGAGTTTTAAGACAACAGTTCTTACCTTAGCATGCATCAAAATCACCTGGAGAGGTGTTACGCCAGCTATTGAACCTCACCCCCAGAGTTTCTGATGCAGGACGTCTGGGTTGGGGCTTGGTTATTTACATCTCCAATAAGTGCCCAGATGACGTTTATGCTGGTGATCCTCAGATCAGACTTTAAGAACCACTATATTTAGAGCAGTCTGTGTTCATTTTATTTGCGTATCCTATTTTTTTTAAGCCGAAAATAAGTGTTTTGGGTTGAAAGAGCTAGTACTAATTCTTTCTTTGAGTAGTTTGAATTTACTGCACCATCTTTCTTTTACAAAAGTTTCAAAACGTCTATTTACCTTAGTAGAGACATTGCATTTCTTACCAACTTAGTCTTGAATTTTGTAAGAGGAAACTGACTTTAGTCGGTTTTCTTTTCTACGCGTGATAAAAAATGAAACCATGGGAAAGAAATCCCTAAAATATTTTTTTTCCTGAGACTTGCTATTTTGGTCATTTATTTCAAGGATATTTGTAATTGCTTGTTGAAGCCTGTTTTGTTTTGTTTTAATGATGACGGTCCAGCATCTACGTCATCTTAGTGTTTGTTGATTGCCTTTTTTCTGGTTTTTGGTGTGATGCAAGATTTGTTTTTCTATCTAAGACATCTTGGGTATTATGTTATGACCTCAGACCTTATTTAAGCCTTGGGTTTTAGCAGTAGGGGAAGGCACTATTGCCACATTCATGCAACAGGTAAAGATCCACATTCCTCACTTTGCAGTGGTTTCAGGGTGCTTACTAATGGATAGAGGTGGGATTTCAGGCTCCCCACTAGGCCTCCGCTGACACGTTCCTGTATGTGAGGAGGAAGGGGCACCTTGGTACTGCTCCCTGTTTGGCTTCCACTGACACCACAGTTGACGGGGTACTTGTGACCACTGGGCTGGGACCAGTTTCCACCTCTGTCTTCTCTGATAACCCCCAGTGTGTTGGGCGGTGGTGTGGGGAACGAGGGCACCTCATTACAGCTAGCTGAGGGTGGACACCTGCGCTCCCTCCTCAGCCTTTGGAGGAGGGGTGGGGCTGCAACTTGTTTCCTTATGTTTGGCCAGAGTAGGGCACTTGTTGGCTTTGATTAGAGAGAGCAGCCTTTTCTTGGAGCTTGTTTTTGTCTACTCCTTTTGGCGTTTCTGGGTTGCCAGCTTCTCTAGCACCTAGTCCAGGATCTATGATGGAAAAATAAAACCCAGGGAACACTACTTTATATTTCTTCACATCCCGAGGTCCCTAGTCGTTTGCATTCTTCTTTCTACCTTTCAGTGTTTATTTTGTGTCTCATGCTCAGGGTTTTTAGCTGTACTTAGCAGGAGGAATAGAGAGAAGTGATGTACTCTCTTTTTAAAAATAACTTTTTATGATACAATTTTAATTAATATTCCTAGCAATTTACATCAGACAGAAAGTTTTCTGACCCTTATAACAGAATTCCTTTGTGAGGCACCTGGGTGGCTCAGTTGTTAAGTGTCTGCCATCGACTTGGGTCATGATCCCAGGGTCCTGGGATCGAGCCCCACATCGGGCTCCCTGCTCCGCGGGAAGCCTGCTTCTCCCTCTCCCACTCCCCCTGCTTGTGTTCCCTCTCTTGCTGTCTCTCTCTCTGTCAAATAAATAAAATCTTAAAAAAAAAACAAAAGAATTCCTTTGCTATGAATATTTTACAGCCTTATTAAAATAGGCGTTTTTTATAAGAAAACAATATTAAAATGATACTGTAGATGTGAATATATTGACATGAAAAGAGATTCACAATACATGTGAAAAACAGGTTTAAAATAGTGTTTTATATAACCTATGCAAGGGTAGGGTGTGTAAAAAATGTGCACAGAGGAAGATTTGGAATGATATAAAGGGATATGTCTTTGGGGAGATAGAATTTTGAGTGTATATTTTCTGCTTTTTGCTCCTTGAGCCTTTTAATTCTCTTGTAAGAAACAATGATTTTGTAATAACAAAAAATAAGCTTTACATTCATTTACAGTGCATAAAAATATATATCCACAGGATTTTTTTTTCTCATTGAGGTATTATAATTTTTTTTTTCAGAATTTCTAATCAACTTAAGTATCTGTGATCATTATATTTAATATATTTAATATTTTATAGGTTCCTCTACCTGGCATGAAATGGGTAGATAATCACAAAGGTGTTTTTAATGTTGAAGTTGTTGCTGTTTCATCTATCCATACACAAGTAAGTGAGTTTTAATAATTTTTATGATCAATTTTCACTTGAATGAACATATTGTCTAGTACTTAAATCAGTTTCATTATCTGCTGTAACTTAGGGGATTATATATCAGAAATGTATAAATTTAAAAGTTACTTTTTAAAGGAATCAACCAAAGCCTTTTAATATACACCCAAGCAAACTTTTTGCTCTTCAAAATGTCATCGATTTCATTTTGAACAATTCGGTGACTTTTTTTTTTTTGTAAGTTTCTGGTACATTGCAGAATTAGAGTTGAAAACCATCATCCAACCTGTTTTATTCCTCATAGACTCAGATATTTCAAATGGTGAGAGTTTGATCATTTGCTCTGTCTTCTCTGCTGTTTATCTGGAATGTGCCAGGCTCTCCTCAAAGCCTGTATATTTACTTTCTCTAGCTGGAATACTTTCCTCCTGACATGCACTTCTTTTCAGTAAGACTTCTGCATACCTCAGGCCTTTCCTGCGGACTTTTTGAAAAAAATTTATTTATTTATTTGAGAGAAAGAGAGAGTGAGTGCACGAGCATGCAGAGGGAAAAGGAGAAGCAGGGAGCCTGACGTGGGGCGCCATCCCAGGACCCTGATTTCATGACCTGAGCCGAAGTCAGATGCTTAACCGACTGAGCCACCCAGGTGCCCCTTTCCTGGAGACTCTTCACCATAGCAGCCCCATTACTCTGTTGTCTCACCCTGCAGTTGCTACTACTTCTAGCTCTTACCTGTACTCTCTTGCACTTTTGCTTTCTCTCATTCTGTGTGTGTGTGTATGTGTGTGTAATATGTGTGTATGTACGCATTGTACATATGCATTTATTTATTGGTTCTTTCCCCATTAGACTGTAAGCTCCATGCAGTCAGGGATGTTGTTACCTGTCAAGGAAAGAAACTTCCCTTCAAAGACCTTACAGTGTAATAGGGGAAAGTGTGAAAATAATAGCAGTACAATAAAGTTAGTATTGTGTTAAATGTATGAATGAAATCCTTTCAAGAGTAGAGAGTTGTCCTGCTGGGAACTGAGATGTTGTATTGATAAGTAGGCATTTACCATACAGAGAGAGGGTGGGCAATTCAGATGATAAAAAGCAAGTGCAAAGGGATAGTAGTCTAAGGACAGGCAGGTAACCTGGTGTGAATGTAATTTATAGTGCCTGGGGAAATTGTGATAGATGAGAAAAGAAGACCAGGCTGGTAACCGATTATGAGGGACCTTGAATGCCATCGAGTTTAGAGTCTAGGTAGATGGTGATTTCTAATGTAAAGAAGAAAGATGAGAGAAGTAAACTTGGTTGCATGCTAAGAGAGATTATGGAGATGATTCTGGAGTTATAGTGAGTTTATTTTTGAGCCTGTTGAGTTTGAAGTGCCTGTGTACTTCAGATAAAAATATCCCAAGGCAGTTGTAATTAATTTCAAGTTTAACATTGAAGGTGGCAGAATAAGTGTGATAGCTGAAACTATACTGGCTGAGTAATTATCCAGGGAGAAAATGTAGAGTGAGAAGAGGCAAGTGTTTAAAATGGAATCCAACTTGAAAAGGGAAGGGGTGGGATATGGGGATTTCCAAGGCCACCCTCAAGTTCAAGGATTTTCTAGCAGAACTCAGAGGACCCAGCATACAGTCATATTCACAGCAGTGATTTATTTTAGTGAAAGATAAAACAAAATCACCTAAGGGAAAAGAGATCAAGTCCACAGGAAAGAAAGCACAAGCTTCCAAGATCCTCTCCTAGTGGAGTCACATAGGGTGAGTGGAAGCAGCATGTGTGAGATGTTGTGTACCAGGGGAAGCTCATTCATTAGAAACTTAGTTCCCAGGATTTTTAGTATAGGGTGTAACATAGGCACCCTTTGCCTATCACATACCAAAATTCTTGAGTCCCAGAAGGAAAGCACGTTTTCAGCATAAACCATACTGTTTGCACAAACAATTTAGGTGTAGTAAGTCATCCCCTATCAGGTGGAACTCTCTTGGAATCCAGGTTCTCATCTGGCCTTCCAAATGATAGCAGTCTTAAACTTGCTATGTTAACTCTTTTCTGCAGTGAAGGAGGGAAAAATAAGAAGCCAGAGCACCTCTCTGTTATGTTTTAAAACATCAGCAACAAAAGGTAGTAGATAGATTTTAAGCATTATACAGGTAGATCCCAGTAAAAGAATGGCTCCAGTGGCGTTTTTCCTTTTCTGGTACTGGATATGTTCTGTTTCCTATAGTCTTTACTCTTTTGATAATGATAAGATTGATGTTACAGTATACTGTTGAAATGTATTCTTTCCCTTAATAGGATCATATCTTCTTAAGTGTAAAAATACATTATTCTTCATGTTTTTTTTATTCCAATAGTCATTATTAGTTTTCTCTTTTTAGAGTTGGTAGTATAAGTATCTTTTACTCCTAACTTTGTTTTTATAGAGGTGGATACATGTGTTATCTTTATGTGACAAAGAAGGATTGGGGCAAAATATATAGATGATTTAGAATCTATAGAATGTAGGAGAAGATAAAGTGGAAGTATCTACTTTGTAGTACTGTGGCTTTCACAGTCCTGATGAGTAATACTCAAGATTTTATATATTTTTGTCACTATGTAAAACAATTTCATCATGTATTATTTTCTTAAAAGGATCAAACACAATAATGTTTCTTATGTTTTATACTTTGCATGTAGCTCTTTGAAATTTACTGGATCTATAGTTAGAACTCAAGAATTTTTTATTCATTTAAATTCTACGTATCAAATTAGAACAATATTAGAACTATAAATGTGAATGAAGCTGTTCGGCATTATTGTCTTAAAGTTTATTTTCACTATTAACTAAGTAAAAGTCTTCCCAGAGTTCCAATAGACTTCTGTTCACATCTCACTGGTCAGTGCTATACACGCAGTCATATACACATCTCATCAGTAGGCATAAAGCAAGCTGGGCGAGCAAGCATCTGCCCTGGGACTAGGCACAGAATTGCTTTAAATAAGACTGTGGTTCTGTTGGTGTAGAAGGAGGTTAAATAAAAGCAGTCAGGATTTAGTCAGGAGATGGAAATTGCCAGTAATTCAAATGGAGACAATTTATATCCAAATAATTGTTAACTTGGTTAAAGGTGATTCACTACTAAATGGGGTAAAAGAAAATTCTGAGATTGTAACAGAGATAGCAGTTGCAGAAAGTGATAAGGAAGGAACTTAGAAACCTAGGGGAGGATCCTGAGGGCTAAGAATCAGACCTCTGAGGAGAGGACACCGCTGCTTCGGGCACACATTGCCTGCCGTACCAGGGTGTGGAGGGCACCTGTTCGGGGACAGGAGCCACCATTCCTGGTGTGAACACTGCTGCCATGTCCCTCACCTCTGAAATTCCAGCATTCACATCTGCTAGCTGCCATCGGGAAAACAAATAGGAAGAAGGAAGGCTGTTTCCTGTACCCTCTGTGGTCAGAGCCTAACCACAGGCCAGCTGACAAAGGAGAAATGCAATTTGAAGAGTAGTAATACTACTCTCGCAGTATTACAAATTGTGGCAAGATGGTGGGTTTGGATGGAGCTGAGAGGTAATAAACTAATAACGGGCACAGGCCTTGTACTGATAGACCTGCACAATCATTAAGTTCTAAAACAATAAGATGGACTCACACTGGGGGGAAAAAATCCTTAATTAGTATCAATAGAATTCTGACTAATTAATAGTGTTCAAAATGGCCACTTTACAATAATAAATGAGAATAGATCTAGTTTTAATTGGAAACAATGTATATAATTGTGTACTTTTTTGTATTACTAATTTATACGAGCTATTTTATATAAAATATTTTATATTTATATGGTCCAAAGTTTCGGGAATTTACAGTTATAATTGGTTAGTGATTTTGTTTATTCTTTGTTTTAGGATCCTTATCTCGACAAATTTTTTGCTCTGGTCAATGCTCTGGATGAACACATGTTCCCAGTCCGAATTGGAGACATGCGTATAATGGAAAATAACTTAGAAAATGAATTGAAGAGCAGTATTTCAGCGTTGAATTCATCTCAGTTAGAACCAGTGGTCCGATTTCTTCATCTTCTGCTTGATAAACTGATACTTTTAGTTGTTAGACCTCCTGTCATTGCTGGCCAAATAGGTAATTTTTACTTATGTTTGGGGAATTAGGAAATTTGTAACGTGGCATTTCTAGCTTTTGCAGAAATAGAATCATGATTTACTATGTATTATCTATAAGGATGGTGTTTGATTTGGGGGAGGAGAGGGTGGGGATGTTTACTTGTTTCTGATGCCAGAAAGTAACTTTCTTTTTTTCGTTTTTATAAAATGTGCCATATAGACTTCAGCTCAGATTATGGAAACAAATTCATTTATCCACTCACCAAATACTGATTAAGCTCTTACTATGTGCCAGACACCAATAGGCTCTGTCCAAGGTTTAGTTCCTGATTTTAAGGATCTCACAGAATATTTTGGAAAACAGGCAAACAGATTAATCATTTTGCTTTTTACATGATGTGTGATTTACCTAGCCTACATTTTTACTCATCTGCTATCCTCTATTTAAAATAGCTGTTCTTGGGGTGCCTGGGTGGCTCAGTCGTTAAGTGTCTGCCTTTGGCTCAGGTCATGGTCCCAGGGTCCTGGGATTGAGCCCTGCATCGGGCTCCCTGCTCAGCTGAAGCCTGCTTCTCCCTCTCCCAATCCCCTTGCTTGTGTTCCCTCTCTCGCTGTGTCTCTCTCTGTCAAATAAATAAATAAAATCTTTAAAAAAGTAAAATAAAGTAGTTTTTCTTTTCTTAACTCAGAATCTCTATATTCTCATTTTCTTCTGTGTTATTCTGGAATTAGAGGTAGTCCTGTTTCCTGTGTTAAATGGTTGCACAAAGGAGAGGAGTGTTCAGCTCCTTGGAATTTTATTTTATTCTTATTATATTTTTATTTCTTAAATTATTTTTTTATTATTATGTTCAATTAGCCAGCATATAGTACATCGTTAGTTTTTGATGTAGTGTTCAATGATTCATTAGTTGTGTATAGCACCCAGTGTTCATCACAACATGTGCCCTTCTTAAACCCATCACCCAGCCACCCCATCCCCCCACCCCCTCCCTTCTGTAACCCTCAGTTTGGTTCCTGGAGTCTAGAGTATCTCATGGTTTGTCTCCCTCTCTGATTTCTCCCCCTTCAGTTTTCCCTCCCTTCCCCTATGATCCTCCACACTATTGCTTATGTTCCACATATGAGTGAAACCATGTGAGAATTGTCTTTCTCTGCTTTAGGGGAGACTTGTTAATAGAGGAGATTTTTGAGTCAAACATGTAAACTTGAGTAAGAGTCTGACAGGCAAATAACTAGTCCAGGGTGATTAAATAGTATGTGCATGGTGTACAGACAGATAAATGAACTGGGAAATTTGGAGGAAACTATAAGTAGTCATAAATTGGAGGGTTGGTGATTAATGATGATATTGGAGGTGAGGGAGATGAAATGGGATCTTCCATGATCCTTTAGGGAATTGGGACTATTATTCTATAAGGAATCAATAGTTTTTGAAGGGTCTGGTCTAATAATTAGGGAAGTAATGTGACCCAGTTTGGCTCTTATAAAGATGAGTGTGCTATGTAGAGATGGGTTGAAAGTGGGAAAATCTGGAAGCAAAGAGACAAATTAGGAATCTTATAGAATTTCATACAATAAACTATGAGGTCCTGCCAAAACAGGAGGCGACAGTGAGTTGGAGAAGAGGGGTGGATTAAGAAATACTGAAGAGCTGTTGTACAGAGTACTGTCGCAGGAGTCCTAGGAGAAGGTTTTAAGAAAAAAATTTAGCACTGTTCATTTTTGTAGATTATGTAAGTAAAATAATAATGCCATAGTAGCAGACATTTGCACAGCACTTAATATATGCCAGCAGTATTGCTATGCACTTTATTTATATTAGTGAATGAAATGCTCACAACTCTATGTGTAGATAACATTACCACTGTTTTACAAGTAAGTAGAGTGATGAACACTCTACTTGAAAATTTGCCTAAGGATTCAGACCCAAGCAACTGACTCCAGAGTCCCAGTCTTATCTACTAAAGAGGTGTTCACTAGTGAAATTAACAAGAGTTTTAGTCAAACAGTGAAAGTAGAAACCAGATTACAGAGAATTAAGTAGCGCATTATACATGGTGAAAGGAATACAAAATGTATACACTATTTTTCAAAGAAATTTGGTTAGAAGAGGAAGCAGGGTTGATTATGGCATAAGAATGGAATCATTTGAGCATGTTTATGTGCTTTGAGTAACTAGTGGAGGGGGGAGAAAAATATAAGAGGTGCTAAAAGGTTTAATTAATGGAGCAAGCCTATGGGACAAAAGTCAAGTGATCATTGTTACATAGGAGAGGAGCACTGCTTCCTTTAGAAGGGAAATAAAAATGATTTCAGATTTGGATAAATTTGTGGTAAAACGTTGAGGACTTTAATACTGTAAATTTCTACTGTGAGATAAAAAGCAAAATTTCCTGAGAAGGGAATAAAGTGGATCTGAGTTTTGAGCAGGGTTCTGATGGTTTGGAATAGCTGCTATGAGGAAAAGGAAAAGGAATTAAGCAGGAACCATTTATCAGATTATTCCAGTTTTAGGAAAATTTAATTGGCCTCATTTCTGTTCATAATTTACTGTCTTGATTAAATAAATCATAGGGGCGCCTGGGTGGCTCAGTTGCTGGGCGTCTGCCTTCGGCTCAGGTCATGATCCCAGGGTCCTGGGATCGAGCCCCTCATCAGGCTCCCTGCTCCGCGGGAGGCCTGCTTCTCCCTCTCCCACTCCCACTGCTTGTGTTCCCTCTCTCGCTGTGTCTCTCTCTGTCAAATAAATAAAATCTTTAATAAATCAATCAATCAATCGTAGACTCTGAGGCTTAATCGCCCAGAATGGCTGTTTGTTTTACCCATTTATTTAGTGTGCTACCAGAATTTCCCACCTTTTGCAAAATTTTCATTACATGCTCACTTGAATGACTAGGTAGGTATTGCTAGCCTGGCATTTAAAATGCTGTGCCATGGGGCGCCTGGGTGGCTCAGTCGTTAGGTGTCTGACTTCGGCTCAGGTCATGATCCCAGGGTCCTGAGATTGAGTTCCGCATCGGGCTCCCTGCTCTGCGGGAAGCCTGCTTCTCCCTCTCCCACTCCCCCTGCTTGTGTTCCTCTCTCGCTGTGTCTCTGTCAAATAAATAAATAAAATCTTATAAAAAAATAAATGAATAGGGGCGCCTGGGTGGCTCAGTTGTTAAGTGTCTGCCTTCGGCTCAGGTCATGATCCCAGGGTCCTGGAATCGAGCCCCGCATCAGGCTCCCTGCTTGGTGGGAAGCCTGCTTCTCCCTCTCCCCCCCCCCCCCCCCCCCCTGCTTGTGTTCCTCTCTCGCTGTGTCTCTGTCAAATAAATAAATAAAATCTTTAAAATAAATGAATAAATAAATGCTGTGCCGTCTTACCTCAGCCTGTTCCTCCAGGTGCCTAATCCTTTTACTGATTCCCTCATGTCAGTCATGGTGCTTATTCACTATCCTCTTTTCTTAGTATTTTAAGTTGATATTTTTAATAATCTACTTTCATTGTTAATATTTTTTTAAACGAGTAACATGCTCATTGTATATCACCTGGGTTTTCAGAGTCCTCTTTTAAACAAGAAATGACTTTTCAAAGGTGATACACAAGATAGATTTCTTTTTTTCTTACGTGCTTTGTATTGTTTTACAAAATAATGGGTACCTGTTGGGTGATGTTTTGTTTTTTGACTGAGCAAACCCATATAGTTTTCATTAGTAAAATAATTGTGTTTTAAAATTTTGTTTAGAAAAGTAATTTTGATTCAGCTAATACAGCATTAAAATCATCAAATATCATCTTTATACACTTACTATGCATAGTCACTATACTTAACACATGTAGAGATGATAAAACCTTGATCTTTTTGGAATTTGCAGTTTAAAAAAATTAATGCAAAAATGTGTTCCTTCTTCTTAAAAGTTAATCTAGGTCAAGCATCTTTTGAAGCCATGGCATCAATTATAAATCGGCTCCACAAAAACTTGGAAGGAAATCATGACCAGCATGGCAGGAACAGCCTTCTCGCATCATACATCTATTACGTTTTTCGCCTACCAAATACTTACCCTAATTCACCATCACCAGGTACGTTATTCCTTTTCCTTTGAAATTCTCTTGTATGTTCGTGGCAAAATTGAAATAATCTCATAGTCTAGTGGGATGCATTCATTCAACAGCTAGCATTTACTGAGTGCTTGCTGAGTGGCACGGAATATGCTGGGTGCTGGGGTTAAAAGGATAATTAGGTTACATCTCCAGGCATCATTATTTATACAGCTTCCTTTAATTTGAATTAGAGCTTGGTTGAATTAATTCTTGGAAACAAACCTTGAAAATAAGTTCTGTGTCTCTGGAAGCATTTTACCGTAAGATAAATAGAATGTTATATTTGTCATTTGGAATGTTGGACATTAAAGAAGAAATAGGATAGCTTAGTTCCCTGATAACTTTGTGAAACCTACAATGGTATAAAAGATTATTCTCTAGAAAGGTCCTGATCTCTTCATGGTCAATAAGATAATGTAGCCTTTGTGAATATCAGCGCCCAAAGTGGTTACTTGGCTTTGTATGACACTGGTGGTAGTGTGGTGGTGCGTTGGGGGTTGTCTTGGTTTGAATAACTCGTTAGGTGTTAGTTAGTTAATGATTTTGTTGTGCGTACCTTTCAACCTGCTCACATATTTGTATGAGCCATCATTCATCACTAATGATGATGGTAAGTGACCTTTCCCAGCTCTTGGCAACGTTAACATTAATAATGGTGAGAAATACGTATGACATTCATTATGAAAACTAGACATAATAGTAATATGACTAAGTTTTAGCTTATTTTATTGCTTAATTGCAAAAAGAGAAGTAATTGACTCATATTCTGGGTTGTAATTTCCTATCTTGATTTAAAAAATTATAGTACTTCAGGCTCTGAAGGTATATTGTGGACTATATACAATGCTTCTCCATTTCCCCTTTCATCCAGTGTACTATTGTAATTCCACAGATTTTGCAAAACATCTTTTTTACATGCTGACCTGACAGTTGTGTGTCATTTGCAAATATGAAAGGTTTCTTTAAGAAAATGGTATAAATTATGGATACAGTTGCTGCGTATTTTTATGTTCATAGAATATGGTTGAATGATGGTTGAACATAGTTGGTTTTAGAGGAATTCTTGCTTTTATAACTTGGGCTCTTAGAAGTATCTTGATTATACATATATATTGTATATCGTAAGGATGCCATTTTGTTATAGTTCAAATTTCATTGATGAAGTTGCAGAAACAAAACACAATCTCATTTAAGAGATGTTGACAGTAGGGGCGCCTGGGTGGCTCGGTTGGTTAAGCGACTGCCTTCGGCTCAGGTCCTGATCCTGGAGTCCCGTGATCGAGTCCCACATCAGACTCCCTGCTCAGCAGGGAGTCTGCTTCTCCCTCTGACCCTCTTCCCTCTCGTGCTTTCTATCTCTCATTCTCTCTGTCTCTGAAATAAATAAATAAAATCTTTAAAAAAAAAAAAAAGATGTTGACAGTAAATTGGTTGTCCTTCCAGTGACTGTATATCCAGGACAGAGTAGGAGGAGTGGGAGAAAGGAAGAGTCATCAGCTGAAGCATTTTGGGTCCTAGATACTCCTATCTAAAGTGAAAATAATGTGTGTGTGTGTTTTCTGTCTTGTTTTTTATTGTACATTTAATATATAATCGGAAACATTGACAAGATAATGACTTTGCATGTGGTTTTGTCAACTGCTGTAAAATAGAATATCTTGGTGTAGCTATCAATAAGTTTTAAGTGTTTTTTTACTTAGTATTTTTCATTTAGAAATAAATAATTCCTCATTTTTATGGAATTTTGTAAAGTGGCAGAGATTTTTGCAGGTCCTTTCCTGACTAATTTTTTTTTGTTTAATTATGTGCTATTCTATATACAACTCTAGGTCCTGGGGGTTTGGGAGGATCAGTGCATTATGCCACAATGGCTAGATCTGCTGTGAGACCTGCAAGCCTTAATTTAAATCGTTCTCGGAGCCTTAGTAATAGTAACCCAGATATATCTGGGACTCCCACGTCACCAGATGATGAAGTACGGTCAATCATCGGCAGTAAGGTAAACTGAAGATACTCATCTATACATTTGGTTTTCAGTTTATGAACAAATGAGAAATGTCCAGTTTTATTTTATTCTTAATTTTAAAATGTATTTGAGTTAGTAACAGGCAAGACATTGTACCTTTCTATCAGTCTACACTAAGTGTCTCATGTTTCTATTAAATAAGCTTGCTGTTACAAACTGGTTTGTGCCTTCTGCTCAGGAAAATCGCCAAATTCAGAAATTTGTCCAGGATTACCAGTCCATATAACATTTTTGTCTGTGTGTACTCCATCCTGTGAAAAATGACTAGATTAATTTCCTATAGAGTTAAAAGAGACCTATCTGACTGCTGTGTAGAAGGGACATTACATCATTGATTTAAAATACGAACCTCCATCCTTTCTCTGAAAAATATCAAGACCATTGATTAGCCTTCATTGGTAGTAGAGCTGCCTTTCACTGGAAAACTCTATATAAAGATGCACCAGAGCTCAAAAAATATGATTTATTTAATGATGGTTAATGATTATTCCAGGTAACAAGTGAGAGGCCAATATATTTTTTAACAGCATCTTTATTAACCCCCTCAAAAAAAGGAATAGTTAGTACCTTTTTATAGGTCAGGTACAAAAATAATTCCAAGTTTAAACAGAGTGGAAAAAAGAACAGTAAGACTAAGGCCAGTAAATAGTGTTATGTTGTGTTTTGGCCAAACCATTTCAAAAGTAGTTTTTGCCATTTGAAAGGAGGAAGATACCATTGTTGTGGAATCACAGCCAGCTTTTCTTGGCACTTTTAGTCTATTAACTAGGATCTGAGGAAGAATTAATAAACATGTTCTAGTGTCTGTGTTGAACCCTTAACCTGAAGTATAATAGATTTTTTTTTTAAACGATCTGGGTTTGTTATGTGAAATACTTGAATGTTGATCAAAAACATCAGAACTACTCATACCTGTTCATATAGTTAAAGAAATTTTACATTCAGAAGCTTCTAATGAACTTAAGCATTGCTCTTTTTAAAAAGCAACTTAATTTTTAAAGTAATTGCTCACAGATCAAAAATATATTTTGTAGTCTTACATTTTAAATAATAAACATGAATTTCAGTAACTTACAGATCCATACAGACCTTACTCTAATTAAACAACTTTCACTTTCTGTGAACTCCCTGAGAGAATGATGTGCAGATGCATCTTCATGGGCTTGTGCAAAGTAGCCTGAGTAATACAGCAATCGCCAAAGGGAAGGCTCCTATGGCCCCCCCCATATATTTCCATCTTTAGGAAAAGAACTCAGGTTTTTTTTATCCTTGTATTCATTCTCAGTTGAATCTCATTATAATAGAGGTAGTACTTAGCATTATTTATATACTGTAAATACAGTTCTTCTGTAGAATGAATCTGATTTGTGAATTAATAAGAAATTTTCCTGTTAAAGAGCTACAGAGATGAAAAAGATACCATTGTCCTCAAGGTTCTACTTTTAAAATGCCTCTTAATTTCTCTAAGACTTGCATTATGTTTCATCTAGAATAAGTCTAGAGTTTTCCTTTTTATGATGTATTTGACAGATTATAACATCAAGATTTAGAACAAAGGTCTACATATATTGGAATGATTATTTGCCTTTTTTCAAATAGTCGTAAAATGAGACATAATGATGACATAAACTTCTGATGATATGTATTGTATATATCTGAGAAAGCCATCATAAGATGAGAATTTTTCTTATGACAACACAGCCTCTTCCTAATCAAGTTTTATTTAAATGGATTTCATGTTTCCTCTTGGAAAAATTTTTTTTAAAAGATTTTATTTATTTATTTGACAGAGAGGGAACACAAGCAGGGGCAGTGGGAGAGGGAGAAGCAGGCTTCCCGTCCAGCAGGGAGCCCGATGTGGGGCTCGATCCCAGGACCCTGGGATCATGACCTGAGCTGAAGGCAGACACTTAATGACTGAGCCACCCAGGCGCCCCCCTCTTGGAAAATTTTTGATAGTTACTTCATTTTGGAATATCATTTAGTCATAATCACTAATAATAATGGTGTAAAATTTTATCTCATTCTTAAAATTACAAGGAATTTGAAGTTTATTTATAGCTACTGTTCATTTATTCTGATTTCATTGGCCTGGAAATTCAAGAAACTTTTTTTTTTTTTTTTTTTGAACTCCAGTCACGATCAGATCTCTTTTTTCAAGATTTTATTTATTAGAGATTTTTTTTTTTTTTTTGGTGTGAGAGAGAGAGGGCACAGGGAGAGGGAGAAGCAGACAACCTGCTGAGCGGGGAGCCTGACATGGGACTGCATCCCAGGACCCTGAGATCATGATCTGTGCTGAAACCAAGAGTCAGGTGCTTAACCGACTGAGCCACCCAGGCACCTGAAAAAAATCTTTTTTTTTTTAATGGTTTTGTCTTTCCGCTGCCTCAGCCATGGTCATGCCATAGATGTCATTACTAATAACTTTAACCCTCATAATCTCAATTTCATGAATTGTATTCTCTATTAGCTCAAGTTTTTCTCCCTAGTACGCCAACTCCCAACACTGCTCTGCAACCTCCCATCACTTGATCTGATAGCCTTTTACTGTGTCTCAATTCCTTAATGTTATTCCAACTTAGCTTAAATTCCATGACCAATCATTTTTTTAAAAAGATTTATTTATTTTAGAGAGAGAGAGAACACATGAGTGAGGGGAGGGGCAGAGCAGGGGGTAGGGGGAGAGAGAGAGAGAGAGAGGCAGAGAAGCAGACTCCCTGCTGAGCACAGAGCCTGATGCAGGGCTCGATCCCAGGAGCCACCAGTTGCCTCTCTATGACCAGTCATTATAGTTAACCCTGTTATAATCAAACCTCAATTGCCTTTTCTTTCTCTCATTTCATTTTACTTGCGTAGCCCGATCTCAAGCCATAGTTGAACCCAGTCATCTGTCTGTGCCATGTCGGCACCTGTGCTGATGAACATGACTTGAGAAATACTGTAATGACTGGTTTCATTTGAAATGAAAAGCCATGGACCTCAAGAGAGCCCTCAATGCTGTCAGGAAGTTAATTATACTATATTTCTGCATTCCATTTACTTTCCCATTCTCCCAGAAAGATTTCATGCCTTCTTCCCTTACCTGCCCACCAGTTGTCCTTCTCACTTTATCTCCTACTTCGCTGAGAAAGTGGAAGCCCTCAAAAGAATAATTTTGTAGATTTTACCACCATATCTACCTACCTACTACCATCTATGACTACCCACTACTTAAAATAATACTCTGCTACAAATGAACTATCCATTTTCATACATCCATTTGTAGATAAGCTCCTGTCTCCTCTCACCTACTCAGGATCCTCACTCTGGCAATTATTTCATCTCTCTGCTGCTTCATCAGTTGCCCCTATCTACTAAAACATCCCATCCACATAAAGCATGATATTATTTATCCCCAAATCTCCTCTCTAGCATTTCAGCTGCTAGCTTCCTCACTATTTGTCTGTTACCTTTTGTAGTAGAATTCCTTAAAAGAGTTTCCTATACTAGCTATCTCCAATTCTTTTACTCCCATTCTCCTTACCCTACTTTAATCAGATACCGCTCCCATCTTCCATCCAACCTGCCTTTGTTAATGTCACCAACACTCTCCATGTTGCTAAATCCAGTGGTTAATTCTCAACACTCCGCTTACTTGACCTTATGGCAGATTTGGACATAGTTAAATTCTTTCCTCCTGGGTTTATTCTATTTACTTGCCTTCTAGGGCCCTGTACTCTCTTGTTTTTCCTTTTACTGTTCTGGTTATACCTTTTCAATCTCTTTGGATTCTTTTCCTGATCTCTTAATCTGGAAGTGCTCCAGGCCTCTGTCCTTTTCTCTCTCATCTTCTCTCTTTTCTCTCTGTACTCACTTGCTTGATGTTATCCAGTCCCATGATTTTAAATACCACTGTATGCTAATGACTCCCAAAATTATATTTCTGAAACAAATCTCCCTCTGAAACTGTAAACTCAATCCTGTGGCCCTTCCTAAATCCTTTTGTTCAGATTTAGGTATATGTTAAAGATCAAACCACTGCTCACTACCTCTGCTACTACCAGTTGGTCTGAACTACCATCCTGTCTTCCTCAGTTCATGTAATAAACTGGAAGATGGTTTCGCTGCTTCCAACCTATGCTCTCTTCTTCTTCTTCTTCTTTTTTTTTTTTTAAGATTTTATTTATTTATCTGACAGAGAGACACAGCGAGAGAGGGAACACAAGCAGGGGGAGTGGGAGAGGGAGAAGCAGGCTTCCCGCCCAGCAGGGAGCCCGATGCGGGGCTCATGACCTGAGCCCGAGGCAGATGCTCAACTGACTGAGCCACCCAGGTGCCCCCGAACCTACGCTCTCTTCACAACATAGCAAGCAGAGTGCTGCTTCCAAAGCTTAAGTCACAAAAAACAAAACTTAAGTTAGATTATGTCATTCCAGGGGCACCTGGCTGGCTTAGTCAGTAGAGCATGCAACTCTTGAACTTGGGGTTGTGAGTTCAAGCTCCACATTGGATATAGAGATTACCTTAAAAAAAAAAAAACAACTTTATATCATTCCTCTGAGCAAGATAATCCTGTTACTAACTCCTTCACCTCTTTTCTACTCCGACCACCTTATTTAAATGTATAACATGTATCTTGGGGACTTCTGATCCCCTTGTTCTGTTTGTCTCCTAACATTTACTGCCTTTTTATGTAGCATATAAATTAGTTAATAATTATTTTTCAGTGTTTGTTTACCTTACCTTTATCACAGTATGAGCCCCATGAGGTCAGGCATAGTTGTTGAGTGATATATCCTAAGCACCCATAATGGCCAGCATATTGAAGGTGCTCGGTGGATATTCAGTGAGTGAATGTTAGTAAGTATTGCAAGAATAAACTACTCCTTTAGAAGTTATGTTTTTGTTTGCCTTCTTGCTGCCAGGATTAATTATATATTTAATGATATTAAGAGATTTGGCTTTATGAAAGTTTTGGCTTCATATTTTATTCTTTAATATAAAATGTAGAACTCCTAAAATTCAGGAATACTTACATCAATAGGATTTTATTACTCTGATGGCTGTAAAATCAGATTTGTGAGACTTTCTTCATAATTATTTTTTCCAAAACTGATCTCTTTGCCCTAGCAGTATTCTTTTAACATTCAGTTATGTAAGTATATGATTATGACAGGTTTGAATTTTATTGCTTTTAATCAAATGCCAGTGCAGTTTTACATGGATATGTAGTTTCTTTGTAATATATCATCTCCTATTGTTAAATTTAACACTGAGAGCTTACTGTGTGCTAGGCACTATGCTGAGGACTTGCAGATACAAAGCCGAAATCTTTGAATTCTAACAGCAAGTTGATGTCAGGTCAAATAGAATATGAGCCTTGCCCATGGAAGGAGCCTGTCTATATTTAAGGGACAGAATAACGTTACAGAGATGTGACAAAAACAAAAGCCCTTTCATGCACATGTGCACACATTTGGTTAATCTGTTCTGTTAGTTGGAGATCAGTAAATGTAGTTATGACATTAGTAAATATCAGTGATGAATTTGCTTAAGGAAGTTAAGATATAATTCTTAGCTTTGTAACACTTAAATTATCGCAATTATTTGCTTTACAGAATAATTGGCCATAGGTTTTCTTTAACTAGTTAGCTTTGATTTGATGTAATTATAACTGCTTAGTCTGAATATTGTGGATATAATACACAATGGCACAATGAGATTTGTTGTTTATTCTCACATTACTGATTAACATGTGCCTTAATTTCAAAGGAAATTAAGGAGGTGAAAAGTGTGTTTAAGAGTACAGGAAAATTATCGGTATTGTGGAAATTTATGGTAGAGAGAAGAGCACAGTTGTAATGTTCTAAAAATCAGATGCTTATGTATTATTTTTGTAACACGAGTAGTGGTTGTAAAAATTGCAAATGGCAGAACTTCATACGGTGGAGACATAAGTTGGGAGACTGGTGAAAACTTTTAACTTATCTGAAAAACATTGTTTGCAGATTTGCTTTTATTTGAAATAATACGGGGTTCTGAGAAGGTAGGTATTTTAAACAAATCTGATTACATAATTTTACTAGTATTTGAATATTCTCTCATTTACTTTGCTAGGAAGCATTTAAAAAAACATGAGTAGGAAGTTTTTGAACTATGTGAACTATTTTTTTTTTTTTGAAAGATTTTATCTATTTGCCAGAGAGCGAGAACGTGCACGAGCAAACAAGCAAGCAAGCACAAGTCGGGAGAGGGGCAGAGGGAGAGAGAGAAGCAGGCTTCCCACTGAGCAGGGAGCCCGATGTGGGACTTGATTCCAGGACTCTGGGATCAAGACCTGAGCCGAAGGCAGACACCCGACCAACTGAGCCACCCAGGCGCCCCAGAACTCTTTTTTGAGTGTTTACTATATTTGAAGCATTGTACTTAGTAATTTACTTCCATTTTTAAATTTGATCTTTGCAATATGAGGGAGACTATGATTATTCCTATTTTACACTAAGAAGCTGAAAATGAAATTAGATAATTTACCTTAGGTTTTACAGTTAATAAGCAGTAGAACCTGGATTTGAACTTCAACACTCATCTTACACATTCAATATAAAAAATGAGTGGAAATGGAGGCTTACTGTATCATTCAGCCGCTCTGTATTTTTGGAAAAATAGGGAAAAAGAAGGAGGGAAATTAGTCTCCCTAAAACCTAAACTCTTGAGAGTTAGTTTGTCTTGCCTCCTTCTCCCTAATCCTCATTCCCTCCTGTAGTATTGATACATTGGCTTCACTCCCAGAGATTCTTACTTGTTTAGAGTTAAGGCCCTGCATATTTATTGTTGTTGACCTTTCCAGGCGAAACACATGTCTACACAGTTGATTATTGTTACTACTACTCTTGTTTTTCCTTTACCTATCCTTTGGTGCTTTCTGGGGTTGGGTCCGTAGTTTGTCACCTTGTCTTGGGTTGTCTTCATTCTTCTTTTTTTTTTAATATGATTTTATTTTATTACTATTTTTTTAAATTTTAATTTATTATGTTATGTTAATCACCATACATTACCTCATAAGTTTTTGATGTAGTGTTCCATGATTCATTGTTTGCGTGTAACACCCAGTGCTCCATTCAATACGTGCCCTCTTTAATACCCATCATCAGGCTAACCCATCCCCCCACCACCCTCCCCTCTAAAACCCTCAGTTTGTTTCTCAGAGTCCATAGTCTCTCATGGTTCATCTCCCCCTCCAATTTCCCCCCCTTCATTTTTTTCCCTTCCTACTATCTTCTTTTTTTTTAAACATATAATGTCTTATTTGTTTCAGAGGTACAGGTCTGTGACTCAACAGTCTTAACGCCATTCACAGCACTCACCATAGCACATACCCTCCCCAATGTCTTCATTATTCTTATTCCAACAATCCTCTAAAAATCCCTTATAACTGGCTCCAGTTCTAATAGCAGATTCCCAGGCCACAGCCCAGGTTGCTGAATCAGGATTTCTGGGGATGGGGCCCAGAATCTGAATGTTATAAAACTTCCCAAGTGACTCTAATGATCAGTTAGGTTTAAGAAATTAAAGCCCCAGTTCCCTCCACCTGGGATAATAACTTCTTTCAGGGAGGAACAGATGTAATTCACTTCTGGTCATACACAGTAGCATATTAAATTCAGCGATAGTGATGATGAAGATGTAATTCCTACAGACGAGCCCCATCATAATGCTTTTTTTATAATATTTATATAAAATAGTAGCCTATTATGTTTAATTACAACAAGCACAATAAAACTGAGCACAACCCCAAATCCACCCTCATTTTTAGGCAGGAGCAAATATTAGTCATCCCCCCCCCTTTTTTTTCTTAATTCTTCTTATTTTCTTAATATCTCTTGTTGTTCCCTTAGAAGAAAGCAAAAGAGGAAGCAAGGTCAAATAGAATTATGGAATATCAATACACAAAAGTTTCAATTGGTGACAAAGTGAAAGTAAAGGCTTTTAGACAAGAATGAAATGATGTACTTCGATTCTTTTTTTTTCTCTTTTAAATCCTGGTTAGAGTCAGAGGAAATTATGTTGCTAACTCGTGCCATCTTTAAAGAGGGTTTGGGGGGATGGTACTGTGGGAACTTTAGTTGGTACTTCAAGGTGATCCCTTTACATAAAGAGAAATTATCTTTAAATGCTATACTTAATATTCTTTGTGATTTAAAAACAAATTATGTTATGTAGTAAGGTAATTTTGGTGAACTAATACTTCTAGATGCCTAAAAATTTTGGTTGCTTTAACAGTACTAATTAAAAACATGTTTGCATTGGAAAGTCTGGATTTCTTTAAGAATAATTTATGGCATGCCACATGTAATATTTCTTTCCTTTCCAACTGCTTTCTGTTATATGCTTAGGGTTTAGATCGCTCCAATTCCTGGGTTAACACTGGTGGTCCAAAAGCTGCCCCATGGGGATCCAACCCCAGTCCAAGTGCAGAATCAACACAGGTGGTGTTTATATTAGAGGTTTTTTTATTGGCTGCTGATGTTTCCCTTTAGAACATTACTTTTTAGTACATACTATGATTTCAGTGGCTTGCTTTTTAATCATTAAAAAGTGTGTATTTTTGTTTACTTAGCACATTTTCCAACTACTATGCATGAATACCACCAATTGCACCAGTAATGCTCTCCTTTCCTACTTTCTGTCTCCCTCCCCTGTCCCTCCACCCTGTCAGTATTTCAGTGCCTGCTGTTTATGCAAGTGATGGCTTTGATAACAGTTTCTACTGTAGGGGGAGCACATCTCTAGTAGGAATTTTAAAAAATTTTGTGTGGAAAAAAACCTGACAGTTTTCCATTTGCTTTTGGTTTAAAGTGTAGCTTATTGTATCCTTTTCATTAGCATTTACTATCTTGTCTTTTTTTTCCCCCCATAATTACTGACTAGAAATACTGGGACTAAGCTGAAATTAAGTGTGAACAGTATATGATCCCCGTGCTGTAAGATTTAATACCAGAAGCAAAAATCCGTTTTAATTTGTATTGTGTTGCAAAGTATGAAATTTGTGTATGACTTAGTTGAACCAGGTATTGCTTACTTAAGTCTAGTTCCTTCATAGCTAATATTGCATGATACCTCAAAATATACTTCTCATCTGTGTATTGGCTTTGGAGTGAAATGCTCCTGTTCTTGAAGAATTTAATTCCGTGTTTAATATCATAAGTGTTTTATATTTGAAGTATATGGCAGAGCCGAATAGTAGTTTTTGATAGTAGAGAAAAGTGAAAGAATTTTCTTTATTGAGAATAAAATTCTTGATTTCTTTTTTTGGTCTGAAACCAGTGAGAAGTATGTTTTTACTTTTTACATTTTCTTACTAGATGTGTGCATGTGTATAGATCACACAGATAAAAGTTTCATTCTTTGCAGCACTCTGAATTTATATAGTCATTAAAATATTCATCTTTTTACTAAAAATATATAGAAGCCATTTTGATACTTCTAATGTACTGTCATTAAAGCAGCTTAAAATGGTGAAAATGAGATGAGCAATAATAAAACAGTTGTTGAAACCAAAGTAAAACTATTTAAAAAATTGTATGTAATCCTTGAGCTGCAGAGGCCTCCACAGCAGACTTTAATGTTATTTCGTCATTCATTCACCTCCACTCCTTAGGCTATGGATCGAAGTTGTAATCGTATGTCTTCGCACACAGAGACGTCAAGTTTCTTACAAACATTAACGGGACGCTTACCAACTAAAAAGGTAGATTCATATGAAGAAAATCCATATGGGGGAAAGGCCTTAAATAGATGTAAGATTTCTTTAGCCAGTATGTTGCAATAATTGCATTTAAATTATTTGTTTAAAAATACATTTGAGCAAGCACTGCTTGTCTGATGCCTTTGTTTATATCTTTGGGATTGACTGTTTGAAATCAAATTTGATGATCAAATTTTAGTACCAAAAAATGTATCAACTCTGAATTCTGTTTCTGTAACTGCTTCTGTTTTGTGTTTTAAATCTCCAGGGAAAGGAAGATGAGTTAGAAAAATTATCACTCTTAGTAAGATATGTTGATTTGCTTCCCTTATGCACAGTTTTGTTAGTCCTTTTTCATATCGATACACACTACTTTGCAAATGCTTTGTATGCATATCCATTATAAGGCAGGAAATTTCTGCTATGTTTGTAAAAAAGACTTCAGATACCTGAAAACTTGAAAATTAATGGCTTATATCAAAGTTTAAATTTTTAAAGGTATTTCCTAAATTGTACCAGCAAAGTTCATGAATGTATTTGCATATGTTGGAATATGTATTTAAGGCACAAACAAGATCGTATTTGTAACTGTGAGTTTTTGGTCTAGTTTCTGTTTGCAGGTACAATTTAGGAGCCTATTTCCCACCTGTCCTTTTAAAATTACATTTTACTGCAAGATAACATGTAATTTTTTCAGCTGTTCAACATGCCACTGTCTTACATGTATAAACAGCCGTTTCATTATGGGTGTCCTCACTGCATCATTGAATGGTTCACATGCCTTATTTTGCTTATTCTCATTATATCTTCATTTGTAATTGCATTATTATTTGGTTTGTGTTATCAGCAGATATGACTTTGATAGTAACTTTGGCTTTACTTCTGGATAGCTTTTTCATGAGGAGCTGGCTTTGCAGTGGGTTGTCTGCAGTGGCAGCGTTCGGGAATCGGCTTTGCAACAAGCCTGGTTCTTTTTTGAATTAATGGTGAGCAAGCTAAACACGTTTTTAATACTGTTTTCCTTAGTTAACGACTTTGTGTTAGCTCATTATTTCATCCTAAGAATCCTTTTTTGTTGTCCCTCTTAGGATTTTACATGTGCCTCCAAGACAAAATTACACTTGTTACATCTCCGAATAAACACTGTGGGCCCTCGGCACAATTTAGGTGGAATATAAAAGCTCCCGTTAACTATTTTTTTAGAGATGGTTGCAGAACCAGCTGTCTTTTTAAAGGAAACGTGGTACCTTATTTCTTAGCCTAGACATGGCTAGTGTGTAATGTATTGTAGATTTCATCCCAAACATAGATAAAAAAGGCCTTTATAGATCCTCACTGCTTTCATGTTTCCAAAGCTCTTAAGGAAATGCCACTTACAGCCAATTAAAAAACAACACTTTTGCTCAATTTAATAAATGATATTAAAAACAAGGGAATTAATATCTTAATATTTATATACACATAAACACATATATACACAAGAGCAATAAAGATTTGCCGTGTGTACAGTGTGTAGCACTGTTCCTGTGTGCCGGGGGTTATCAAGGCACAGAGAGATTAAGTAACTTGTTTAAGTTGGCACAGCTTTTATTTATTTATTTATTTTAAGATTTAATTTATTTATTTGACAGAGAGCAGGAGAGCACAGATAGGGGGAGCGGCAGAGGGAGAGGGAAAAGCAGGTCCCCTGCTGAGCAGGAAGCCCAATAGGGGCTCGATCCCAGAACCCTGGGATCATGACCTGAGCTGAAGGCAGACGCTTAACCGACTGAGCCACCCAGGCGCCCTGGTACAGTTTTTCGATAGCAGAACTGTGATTCAAAGTCAGGCATTTTGGCACTTAGGGACTTTCCTCTTCAACCTCTAGAAAGCTGAAGTCATTGAAACTTTTTCTTCCAAAAGAGAAATGTGTAAAAAAATAAAGGAAAACAAAGCAACAACAAAAAGGAAGGCAGGAAGAAAAGAAACAAAAAGAGCTTCCAGAGTATGTCATAGGGTCATTCTCAGCATTGAATGTTACCTATACTGGGGATAAGAAGACAGTTTTTCTAGAGACTTACTAATCTACAGAAGAAAATAAGTCAAGGACCCTATGTAAGTGATAGGCAACTCATTTTTTCCTTCTAGAGAATAAACACCAAGTTTGTCATTCTTGTGCTTTTAATAGAAGATCAAATTGAAATTTTGATTTTTTTGATAGTCTTACATGTATGTTCAAGTTTCTTTAGAATAGTTAAAAAGCTGCAGTTTAAAACTTAGCTCTGCTGTTTACTAATTGTTGAAACTTGGCTCTGATTTCCCTGAATTTGTATTACTAATACCACATTGTTGTAATTATCAATAACCAGAAGCATCTTTTAAAAGATTCATTTGAGAGAGAGAAAGAGAGCGTGAGTGCGTACACAAGCATGTTGGGGGAGGGGGAGGGAAAGAGACTCTCCAGCAGACTCTGCACTGAGCACAGAGCCTGATGTGGGGCTTGATCTCAGGACCCTTGAGATCATGAGATGAGCCAAAACCAAGAATTAGACACTCAGCGGGCTGAGCCACCCAGGTGCCCACAGAAGCATTTTGTACACATAAATCACTTTGTTAATTTTTGCCTAATATCTTATAATTCATATTGAGTCATCAGTGTTCAATGTACATTCACCATATGTCACTATATTATGGATGCTGAAGAGACCACAGTGAAGTCAATGTGTCTAGTGTCTCAAAGCTTACAGTTTGGGGTATATGGAATGTCAAAATGTTGAGTCTCGGAAAGATTTCATTTAAAACCGTTTTAAAGGGGGAAATATTTTTCTGTTCACATTCATAATTCTTTTCATATTGGTAGCCAGAATAATTTTATGAAGGTGATGCAGTGATTGAGTTGTACTGTGTTTGATATTTCTTGGGAACATATGAAATATTGCAGGGAGATTCTCAAAGTTTTTGAGGAGCCAGAAGTATTTCAGCCATCTGTTAAATCACATAGTGTAGTGAAAAAATAGCCCTAATGTGATTAACTGTTAATTGCATTCATAAGAAATTAAACTAATGGCTTATTTATTTTTTCAGGTAAAGAGCATGGTGCATCATTTATATTTTAATGATAAACTTGATGCACCAAGGAAAAGTCGTTTTCCAGAACGTTTCATGGATGACATTGCTGCTCTTGTCAGCACAATTGCTAGTGATATAGTTTCACGATTTCAGAAGGTAATGGTAACTTTTTAAAAAATTAAATCTCTATCAAGCTCACATTATACTATCATACTTTTATATGTTTTTGCTTTTTATTCTGCTTTCTAGGACACAGAAATGGTTGAGAGACTCAACACAAGCCTTGCATTCTTTCTCAATGATCTGTTGTCTGTTATGGATAGAGGATTTGTCTTTAGCCTTATTAAGACCTGCTATAAACAGGTAATGCATAATTAGTAATAATTAACAAATAATTTAAACACGGTGTTTGCTGTTTTTAGAGTTGCAGCTAAACGATCTTCAAGAACACACTCATATACTGATGTTTTTAAAAAGCAGCATTTTTCTTTTTAAAAAGGATTTATTTTCAGGAGGGGCAGAAGGAGAGGCTCTGAGAGAGAGAATCTCTGGGGCACCTGGGTGGCTTAGTCGATTAAGCATCTGACTCTTGATTTCGGCTCAGGTCATGATCTCAGGGTCCTGGGATCAAGCCCCGTGTCAGGCTCCCTGCTGAGCTCGGAGTCTGCTTGTCTCCCTTTCCCCCTGGCTCTCCCCCTGCTGTCTCTCCCTCTCATTCTCTCTTAAATAAATAAATCTTTAAAAAAAGAAATAAAAGCAGAGTATTTTTATTAGTAAGGCAAAAATAAATTTCATTTGTTTTATGAGGACACAGTCCTATGGCAAGCTGATATCTGTACAGCTGACTTTTCCTTGGTTTTACTGGCCCAGTCATAACTCTTGGTTCCCATTCTGAAGCAGATCATCAAGTCACTAGTCTAAATGTTAAGCAGCCCTGGGGGTGCCTGGGTGGCTCAGTCGGAAGAGCATGTGACTCTTGATCTCGGGTCTGTGAGTTTGAGCCTCCCATTGGATGTAGAGATTACTAAAAAAAATAAACTTTTAAAACAATTTGGAAAAAAATAAATGTAAAGCAACCCCCACGATGCCATGCAAGAGTACTAGTTACACTGAATGAGCAGCCAAATGAACTTTTTTGTATATTTATTGGGTGATTTTTAAAGCAGCTACATTTAGCTGTATAGTTCTCCTAATGTAGACCTAGACATTGTAGAGTTTAGGATCATGGACAGATGCTTACCCAAATCCCCAGTGTCAGTCATTATGTTGCTTTTATTATTTTTTAAATTTATTTATTTTTTCCATTATGTTGCTTTTACTAAACTAAAAGCATCCCGGAACTTTTCTACAAACAGCTGACTTTAGCTTAAAATTTTTATCAACTGAATAATGAAATGTGTCTTTTGGAAAACATTAGTTATTGGTCCTGATAGGCCGTTTAGGTAATGAGCTGTATAATCATCCTAAAATTACCTTTTAAAGGAAGTTTAAAAATATGCAGCTCTTGGGGTCCTATCCTAGCATTATTGAGGAGTTTGGAATCATGGGGGTGGGGGGTGGGCATGTGGGGCACAGTGCTTGTGCAGCATTTCTAAGAATTGCTGGTTCACAGGCTCATTTTTGAGAATTACTGCTTTAGAATGCTGTTTGGCAGTCTAATATTTAGAGTTTTGGAGATCTATCAGCTGCCTTTATTGTATGTTCCATTGATTGATTAATTGATTGATTTACTTTAGAGAGTGTGCATATGAGTGGGGGAGGGGACATACGGAGATGGGGGGAGAGAGAGACTCCTAAGCCAACTCTGCACAGTACAAGCCCGACGTGGCGTTTGATCCCACAGCCCTGAGATCATGACCTGAGCGGAAAGCAAGAGTTGGACGCTCAACCAGCTGATTCATCCGGGTGCCCCTGTATGTTCCTTTTAATAGAGAAGTTAAAACTACACATGGGCACTGACCCACTTGCAGATATTTGCAGCAGTATGTATTATTTTTACTTTCCCCCCAAAATTTCATGTTCTGTTGCTCCTCAAATCTTGTTGTTATTCTTCAAGCATTGATTTCCTGTGTTTGCCAAACACTGAGCTAGACCCTAGGGATGCCAAAGCTATTAAGTCAGTGTATATATGTCTCTTCAAAGTAGCTTATCATGTAGCTGGGTGAATAGACAAAGAGGTAATTATAAATACAGATTAACACAGCTGCTGATTATCCAAAGAATGGATCAGTTCTTTTATGAAGTTATTTTGGTGGTATACTTTTCCTTCATAAAGTGCATCTTTGAGAAGTGGAAGTATTAATCCTATATTGGAAATACAAAGAGTATGACTTTTAGCCTAGTCAGTGGATTTGTAAATCTTAAATAGATCTTCTAGTTCCCCATTTTTTATTCTAGCAGTAACTCTGGAAGAAGTGGATACTGTTGTTTACACCACAAAACCCCAAACTGCCCACTAAATACTTCACCTGTCATTCTGGTGTTGGCTTAGAGAAATGATAAATTCAATTGGTGTTCTTTTATTTATGTAATGCTTACAAGGTATCTTCAAAGCTTTATTCATTACCAAATCCAAGTGTGCTGGTGTCCTTGAGACTGGATTTTCTGCGAATTGTCTGCAGCCATGAGCACTACGTTACATTGAACCTTCCCTGCAGCCTGCTTACTCCACCTGCATCACCATCACCTTCTGTTTCTTCTGCAACATCTCAGGTATGCAAAGTGTCTGAAAAAAATTTTTTATAGAGCTCACTTTTGTAAGAAAGCATTCTGAGCACTGGAATAAATGATAAGAAAGACTTGAATAATAGCTGTGTGATAGGCTGCATAGTAAGTGCTTTATAAATATTATTTGCTCCTTAGAGTAATGCTAGGAAGTAAGTTCTATTATTTTCATTTTACATATGAAACACAGAAAAGTCATGAACTTAGCCAGGGTTACACAGTCATAAGTGGCAGAGCTAGACTTTGACTCAAGGCACATGTTAACTTTATTCTAGAGCCCAAGGTCTTAACTACTATGTTGTACTCCTCTTACAGATTTATGCACATCCATGAGAGTGAATTCACTAAGATAGGCCATTTCGTTGTTTTTGCAAGTTGGGTTTTCGTGAAGCAGATGCAAGGTTGTCTTGAGTTTGGGATAGAAGATGTTTATTAGGGATCAATACCTGTGGAAGGCAAAGAAGTGAAGCCTAATGTAGCAGAGAAAGAAGTCAAACTGTGGGGCAGTCCTGAGAAAGCCCTGCCTACTGCCCTTGTGCCTAGAAAACCCAAAGGAAACTAGGTGGTTGTTCATAGGGTTTTACTGGGTGGCAGCAGACTTCAACAGCTAGTAGTTTCTTTTGGCGGGGGGCGGGGGGGGCGGAGGTTCCTTTTTTAAATGTAAATTCAATTAATTAACATATAGTATATTATTAGTTTCAGAGGTAGAATTCAGTGATTCATCAGTTGCATAGAACACCCAGTTACCCCATCCCCCCACCCACCTCCCCTCCTGCAACCCTCAGTTTCTTTCCTATGCTTAAGAGTCTCTTATGGTTTGTCTCTCTGATTTCACCTTATTTTATTCTTCCCAGGTTTGTTTTTTTTACTAACCAGAATCATGCTGTATGTATTGTTCTTTGGTGTGCTTGTTGGAGATGTTTTCAGCCTAGCTCATTCCTTTTATCCATTCTGTATTCCGCAGAAATAGTGTCACTGTTTGGGTTGCTTCATTCTGCTGTTATAATTATGCCCACTTTTGTGCACAAACTTGAGCATAGAAGCTGGAATTTGAGGGGAAGAGTGCCAGTTTGAGCCCTTGGCAATCTGAGGTGAAGGCCTATTGACTTGGTATTGAGCAGGTGGCAGACTGTGCATGCTGACTCGGGCAAGAGGTTGGCTGGACTGGGAATTTGGGACCCACAGGCCAATGGCATCATGTATGACAGGGACGTGGCTGGTTTTGCTTTTAACTTTTGTTTTTCTGGGAAAGTGTATCTCTCCTTCTATTCTAAATGAAAGCCTTGCTGGATAGAGTATTCTTGGCTGTAGATTTTTACCTTTGAGCATCTGGAATTGATTGTGCCCTTCCCATATCGCCTGCAGAGTTTCTGCTGAAAAACCCACAGATAGCCTTGTGGGGTTTCCTTTGTATGTCACTGCTTTCCTTTCTCTTTCTTGCCACTTTTTTTTTTTTATGATTTTATTTATTATTTATTTGACGGAGAGAGACACAGCAAGAGAGGGATCACAAGCAGGGAGAGTGGGAGAGGGAGAAGCAGGCTTTCCACGGAGCAGGGAACCCGATACGGGACTCGATCCCAGGACCCTGGGATCATGACCTGAGCCGAAGGCAGACGCTTAAACGACCGAGCCACCCAGGCGCCCTCACTTGCCACTTTTAAAATTCTCTTTTTATCACTGCTTTTGGCCATCTTATTTACTTTGTGTCTTTGTGCAGACATCTTTGGGTTTGTTTTGTTGGGGGCTCTCTGTGCCTCTTGGATCTGGATTTCTCTGTCCTTCCCCAGATTCAGGAAGTTTTTAGCTATTATTTCTTCAGACAAATCTTCTGCCCCCTTTTCTTGCTCTTCTCCTTCTGGGATTCCTACCATGCGACTGTTAAGCTTGACAGTGTTGCTGAGTTCCCCGGGTCTATTCTCATTTTGCGTATTTTTTTTCCCCTCTCATCTGCTCAGCTTGATTACTTTCCATTACTCTGTCCTCTAGGTGGCTGATTCGTTCTTCTGCTTCCTCTCATTTGCTGTTTATTCCAGGTGGTCTATTTTTATTTCCATTTAGTGAGTACAATAGCTCTAATTGGTTCTTTTTTACATCTCCTATCTCTTGGTGGAGGGTCTCATGGAGGTTCTGCACTCTTTTCTCAAGTCCAGTGAGTATCGTTATGAACATTACTTTAAATTCTCTATCACACATATTACTTATCTCCATTTCGCTTAGGTCTCCTGCTCGCTCTGATTTTGTTCCACTCTTTCATTTGGGACATACTCCTCTGTCTCCTCATTCTGTTTATTGCTGTATCTGTTTCTCTGTGTTAGGAAAGTCAGCTACGACTCCCACACTTGAAAGTAGTGGCTTTATGAAGAAAAGGTCCTGCAGCGCAATGTCTCCTTTTCACCAGAAAATGGTGCTTCAGGGGGGTGTCTCCTCTGTGTGTTGCTACAGGAGTGTCCTACCATTGTGGCTGGGATGTGTTTGCCTTCAGTCCAGCCTGCGATGGCGCTCTGCCTGTTGTGGGCAGAGTCTGGTGCCCACGGTGTTAGTGGGCCGGTCTGGGGCTGGCTTGGGCTTGAGTTGAGTCAGAGCAGGTGTTTGCCACAGATGAAGTAGCACCAGACTGCAGGCACTTTCCCTGTGTTGTCCCCTGAGAAGCTTTTGTTGGTGGGTGGGGCCTGCAGTCTGACCAGGTGCCTGCCCCCAGACACTGCTGGGGTCACGGTCAGACTGGTGTGTGGTTATCGTCCCCTCTGCCTGGAGCAGGACTCACTTTGGAGTGGTGCTGGCCTTGTCTGGGCTGCATGCGCACTGCCAGGCTTATGGCACTGCTTTGATGGGATTTTGCCAAGAGCGATCGGAGGGGGTGGATCTGCTTCGCTGTGGCCTCTTGTCTATGCTGGGCTGCAGAGAGTCTGTTCTGCCAGTTTTCAGGCTGCTTTCTGTGTTATTTATGCTGATGTGGGTTCTCTCTAGGCAGCCATGCAACAGGAGGTGAGCCCAGGGACGTCCTACTCTGCCATCTTCCCAGCAGCCTCTCAACAGCTAGTAGTTTCTGTCAGGACAGAAAGGGGTTATATCATAGCAATTATTTTGTTTCCTATCATACAGATTGAGATAAAGGGATTTTCTGGTTTTAGTATCAGAGAAGCCTGGTTCTTCCCTCTAGTGAAACATTCTTTCCGCTCTGTAATTTCTGAGGCAGACAAGCTGCTTTCTTAATCTCTTAATGTTTAAAGTTATCTTAACTTTTTGTAATGTTATTTTTGAGTTATTTAATTCCTGGATGTAATTCTCTAGCCTAGATCAATCTCAGATGCATGATAAAAAAAATTTTTTAAACTTTACCTTGATTAGAAAACATGAGAGAGCACCCATAACTTTTCATTTTACCTTTACGAAAAATCTTATGGATTGGCGTATTTCATGTACTCTTTTACCTGGCTAGCATACGCTTCTTCCTATAACAGATGAGGCTGTGTCTTTTGCTTTCTTCCCACATCCTCTGCCAAAGATGTGGCTATCCAGTGAAGAACAAATTAATCATAATATAGTTCCTAAAACCTTTAATGAAACACATTTGTTTACATCTAACTCCCTCTGAACATCTCATTCAGCCAAGAAATTAATAGAATTCTTTCCATTCTCTTGCTCCCCTTGTTTTTTATCTAACTACATTAATTTCATTCTAATAGACGATAGAGACCTCACTCTTTCTGGGGGGAGGGTGCAAGAATAATCTTATATACTTATTAGGAAGATGATTTCTCTGTAGAGAAATCTGAAATCTGTTCTAAAAAACCTCACATGGATGGTCTTGAATATGAATTAGAGGGGGATGAGATTACAATCTTGAACTATATCTTGGGGAAATGCTATTTTGCAGTATTAAAAAAAAACTATGAGTGAATCACAAAATGATAGTAATTTTCTAAAGGTAGTATTTTCTCTGAAAAACAATTTTACTGGTATTTGGACTTTCTCTGGAAACCAGTAGCTTTGACTATAAATATGTCTTTTGTACTCAGCGGTAAATGCGTAATATATCATTTGGGTTTAGTTGCTTTTTTTCTCCTTTAGGGTATGATATTGAAACATTAAGTGGCTAAAAGAATAAAGAAAAAAAAAGATGGAAAAGTTTCAATCTGAGAAAAAGGAAATAGAAAATACACTTGGGGCGCCTGGGTGGCTCAGTCAGTTAAGCGTCTGCCTTCGGCTCAGGTCATGATCCCAGGGTCCTGGGATCAAGCCCTGCGTCAGGCTCCCTGCTCAGTGGGGAGCCTGCTTCTCCCTCTCTCTCTGCCTGCCGCTCTGCCTACTTGTGTTCTCTCTCTCTGTCAAATAAATAAATAAAATCTTAAAAGAAAAAAAAGAAAATACACTTGATCTTAGCCAAAAGTCCGAGAAGCGATAGGAAATAGAAAATAATTAAAAGTGTTATTTCATCATAGTTTTCCTATACCAAAAGTAAGAGCAGTTACTTTCTCCAATGTTAGTAATAGTAATGTAAAATAAACTACCCTAGGTGAAGTGTATCTTACTTTGAGATAATGCTCATACTGCATTTGTTGTAATGTTCTGTCTATAGGATGTTTTGTTGCACAGCTATTGTGGTTTTGTTCTGTCTCACTCCCAAACAGAGTTCTGGATTTTCCACAAACATACAAGACCAGAAGATTGCAAATATGTTTGAATTATCTGTGCCTTTCCGCCAGCAGCATTATTTGGCAGGACTTGTGTTAACAGAGCTGGCTGTCATTTTAGACCCTGATGCTGAAGGGTGAGTAGACTTACTTTGCCTTGGGAATAGCAATTTGCTTTTGGATGATGGGACAGAAGTATCGCACTTATATTCCTAAGAATCAAAAGAGTACTCTTTACTACTCTTCATCTACTTCTGTATTCACTAAGGTCCATACCCATGTTATCTGCATTTCACTGATTTTAAAGAAAGCCATTTTTTCATACTTCATCATCTCTGAACTTGAGATTTGTTTTGAAATCAGTGGTGTATCATGGTTTATTTGATAGCATTTGTTTTTCCTTATTCATGGTTACAAAAAATATTTGTGAATATAAGTAGGTAGACTGTTAGATGTGTTGATACACAGTAGGCACATTTCAGTTGAGGAAAATGGACTAGTTTTCTATTCCTTGTAAGGAAAATTTATTGTTTGCCATTATACTGTGTAGCATTTTATTTCAAAATATGCCCTATAAACAAATATTCTTAGGTTTTAAGAATTTCCAAAGTTGTATACACTTGTACAGGATTTTTAGAAATTGATATAGTAAGGAAAGGGCATATTCTCTGATGATATGAATTTATAGAAATAGCTTTAGTGTTGTGGTCTAGCATCCTTAGAGAGTACTTCTATCTTAAAAATTGTTTTAAAAAATCCATGTAATAATTCCTTTAGGTAATGGTCACTTTTAAAAAATCCTCGTAATAGGATCTTTTGGAGTTTTTTTAAGTTTTTATTTAAATTCCAGTTAGTTAACATGCAGCATAATATTAGTCTCAGGTGTACAATATAGTGATTCAACACTTACATAACAATACCTGGTGCTCATCACTGCAAGTGCACTCCTTAACCCCCATCACCTATTTCACCCATCCCCCCACCCCCTTCCCCTCCGGTCACCAGCAGTTTGTTCTCCATAGTTAAAAGTCTGGGTTTTTTTGCTTATCTCTTTTTTTCTTTGTTTGTTTTGTTTCATAAATTCCACATATGAGTAAAGTCATAGGGTATTTGTCTTTTTCTGATTGACTTATTTTGCTTAGCTTTATACCCTCTGGATCCATCCATGCTATTGCAAATGGCAGGATTTCATTCTTTTTTATGGCTAATATTCCTCTGTGTATGTGTGTGTGTGTGTGTACGGCATCTTCTTTATTCATCTGTTGATGGACACTTGGGTTGCTTCCATATTTTGGCTATTATAAATAATGCTACAATAAACATAAGGGTGCATATATAACTTTTTGAATTAGTGTTTTTGTATTTTTTGGGTAAAATCCAGACTTTTACGATTTATTTATTAGAGAGAAAGTGCACATGTGTGCACAGGAGGTGGGGGCAGAGGGGGAGGGCGGGAAAGAGGAAAAGAATCCCAAGCAGACTGTGCTCAGCATAGAGCCCAATGTGGGGCTCGATCTCATGGCTCTGAGACCATGACCTGAGCCAAAACCAAGAGTAGGATCCTTAACCAACTAAGCCACCCAGGTGCCCCTAACATCTAGACTTTTAATAATGGTCCTCAAAGCCCTATTTAGCTGGCTCTTAGGTCCTTTTGCCACTGTCTTCTCTCCCCACATACTAAAATCTAGCCATCCCAGTCTTTTTCTTCTGTTTCTTTAATATGCCAAACTCATTCCTACCTTATGGTATTTGCACTTGGATTTTTTTTCTCTGCCTAACAGTGCTCATGTTACCCTAAGACTGTCATGTACCCTTGTGATTCTTCAGGTCTCTGCTCAAATAGCATCGTCTCAGTGAGGCTTTCACTGGCCACCCAATCAAAATGATAGCCACACTGCCCTGCCACAATCATTCTTAAACATATATTTTTTCTTTTATTTTCCACAAAGCATTTCTCTGAAATTTGCTGCTTAATTTCTGTCTCCTCCCATTAGAACGTGATTTCATGAGAGCACACACTTTTATCTTTTTTGTTTGCTGTTGTACTTCCAATGCCTTAGAATTGTGTCTGGCACAAGGTGGATGAATACACATTCATAAATAGATGTCAATTCAGTAATAAATGAGTAATTGACTTTGGGAGACTCACATCCCATCTCTAAATTTTATATTCTTTAGTGATACACAGATAAAATACAACATACATTGTCTTAGATAAGTACTTGAGAGGAATGCTTTTCTTTTTACTTCATCTGCTTGCTAATAAGAATAACTCCTTGAGTGGCAGTAATATGTTTTAATATTGATCAAAGATTTGCTCTTTAGAAACTTTGATTATAGTTAGAAAATTAAGACTATGAAACAATATGATTAAATGCTAATTTTGTAGCGCATAATTCTATAGAAAATCAGTACCTTTACTGCATTTGTGACACTGAATTATTATTTTTGCGTCTTTCTCTCTTACAATAGCAAACTCTTTAAGAACAGGGACAGTGTCTTATCCCTAACACTTAAAATAGGATATTGCAGGTCCTGCATAAACATATATTTAATACCATGTGATTGAGTAATGTAGACCTGTGAAAAGGCTTATAAAGATGATTGGGTAGAGCTTATTGGTAGGTTAAGGTCGGGCTGGTAGCTACACAGCTAAGGAATACACACCCGGGTTTGGGAGTCATCATTGGTAATGCAAAAATTCAGAAGGGAGAACATAAAAACCAAATGACCAGAATCTGAGACTTGGGTGAAATGAGAGAGAGAGTATGAGGAAAGGGTGGGAACTATTTGGAGAAAAAATTGAGAAAAGATAAGATGACAGCGTCGAGTAGAGCACTGGAGAATAAAATCTGAGATGTGTCAGTTAGATGTGGTTCTTGACAGTGTTTAAAAATACACTTTCTGAATAAAAATCGCGAAGGAGGAAGAAAGAATCTCCAGCTAGGTTGCATATATAGCAATGTAAAGCGGCACATAAGATGAAGGGCTCTGGTTTCCAATCCCAGCTTTGAAATTGGCTATGTGATCTTAAAAGAAATAAGAGCTAGTATTTACCGAGGAAGGCATTGTGTTAATAAGTATGGTACAAAAATTATGCAACTTAATTCTCACAGCCACCTTATGAGTAGGTAATTACCCTCTTACTGTAAGTAGGGAAACAGAGAAGGTAAGTAACTCTAAGAAATTATTTAGTTATTAAATAATGAAACTAGTACAGTGCCATGTTGTAAGCATTCAAAAACTGTTAGTTCCAAAGAAAGGGAGTAGATAGTAGGAAGTAAGTGGAAACAGCTGCTATGGACTGTACATTTAGGAAGTTTATTACTGGAGAAATTATTGTAATAGTTTATTACTCGGAGAGAGTATATAAGGTAGAAGAGACTAGTTTCAAGTGAACATGTATTTTCAATATAGGAAAGGCTTATTTGAAAGAAGGGAAAATTTTAGTGAGGGGGGCATTGAAGCTGTTGAAGACGCATGGGGTTCATTAAACATAATGGAGAAATTACTTTTTGAGAGAAGTACAACTTTTTCTGAGACAAAAGGAATGAGAGAGATAAATGTGGGGATGTGTTAAAGATCTGGCTAGAGCAAATTCAGAATGGCTTTTCTTCCCTAAAAATCAGAAGTCGGAGGTAAGATCTTTTTCTGAAGCGGATGGTGAGAGGCTGAAGGGGAGAATGAGGTGTGGAACTGCTGCCAGGTGTAGCCCTAAAGGCCTGTCGACGTTGGCCAAGTGTTTAATTAGAATAGTTGGCAGAGTCAAAGCACCTTCAATCCTAGAAGAGGCAAAAAAAAAAAAAAAGTGATGTGTTTTAGCCCAGTTGAAACTCAGGGGATTGAACCTATAGAAGGTGTATGGCACAAACAAGGTAGATGAGCAAGGAAGTTGAGTTTAAATCTGAGAAGTCAAAGACAACCCCCCCAGCCTATGGACTGCATAATCCATCAAGTAGAGGATTTTTCCTTTAGAAAAAGGACATAAAAGTTTATTTTTGGCAAATGTGAAAAGATCTAATATGAAATAAAATTTGAAGCTACTTAAGATTTTTTTTTTGCTTTAAAATATAACCATAACTGGTCTTAAGTTATTTAATATGAATATGTCCTAATAAGGAGTTAATATAAAAATAATTGAGATTTACTTCTAGGTGAATTTGTTTAGCATTTCTTTTTCCCCTCCATCTTTTCTTTATACAGAGAGACATTTGTTAATTTCATAATGAGAAGTGTTTCATAGGAATACATGCAAATATGTGGCAAAGTTTAAGTTAAACAAAATTGATTCAGTACTGTGACTTACTGTTTGCTTTAAAGATATTAACTAATCTCTGTGACCTTAGTGCTGCTGCTGCTTCTTCATCTTCTTTTTAAATAGACTGTTTGGATTGCACAAGAAAGTCATCAATATGGTACACAATTTACTGTCCAGTCACGACTCAGACCCACGGTACTCTGACCCCCAGACAAAGGCGAGGGTGGCCATGTTGTATCTACCTCTGATTGGCATTATCATGGAAACTGTTCCTCAGCTCTATGACTTTACAGGTACTTCGTATATTTAAAACGTCTTAAAGGAAATCTCAGTGTTGCAAAGTATTAGAAATATCTCGAGGCTAAAGATCTTATTTTAGGAAAAGAAATACAAGGAAATGTACACTGGCATAAATAAACTGTAAATATTTAACCATATTACTGAATGACTTTTGACTACATCAGAGAAATCACTGCAAGCTTTCCTCAAGTAGTTCTTACGATGAATTTTAAAATAATGCTTTATAGCACTTCTGTACCTACCTATTAGAAAATAGATTTTTGGTATGAGACTGTACTGTTCATCCCAAAAAATGTGTATAAAAAAACACGGCAGATGTCTCCCACCTTCAGTCTCTTTTATATTCATATATATATAATTGAAATTAATAGTCACCTGAATAACAAAAATTAGGTTTTTGTTAACACTGGGCTAATAAGTTGAAGTTATGTTGCTTTTTAAAAACTAGAACTCACAAAGTTTTATTGCTCTTGCTTTCCATATGTAGGATTTCTTGAATTCCTTCATTTGTCCTAAAGAAAACCCTGTAGTTTACATTTAAGAAAACATTTAAGAAAATAAAAACGGGGCACCTGGGTGGCTCAGTCGTTAAGCATCTGCCTTCGGCTCAGGTCATGATCCCGGGGTCCTGGGATTGAGCCCCGCATCGGGCTCCCTGCTCTGCAGGAAACCTGCTTCTCCCTCTCCCACTCCCCCTGCTTATGTTCCCTCTCCTGCTGTGTCTATCTCTGTCAAATAAATAAACAAAATCTTTAAAAACAAAAAAACATTTCCTGAGTACCTGTTACATATTAAGAACCTGAACAGAGCTGGTGATACAAAGATAACCAACTCTGTGTCTTTAAGGGACTGGTAGTTGAGTAGTTCAACTAGTATTTTGATTGCCTAAGTGGGCTTCCTAATCTGAAGGCAGAGATGTTTATATTATTATATCTTCTTTGACTAGCAACTTCTCTACAAAACTATAAATTATTACTGTAGGAATGAGTTAATGTTTACTGTTTAAAATAAGAAAATCTAATGATAAATATTAATTCTTAACAGGTTTTTCTTTTAAAGAGTAATGGAGAATAGGAAATTGCATGCTCAATAACTGTTAATTAACCTAAATGGAAATTTGGTTATTTATTTTGGGATTATTTGTTTTTCCAGAAACTCACAATCAACGAGGAAGACCAATTTGTATAGCCCCTGATGACTATGAAAGTGAGAGCGGAAGCATGATAAGCCAGACTGTTGCCATGGCAATTGCAGGAACATCAGTTCCTCAGCTAACAAGGCCTGGCAGCTTCCTCCTTACATCATCGGTAAGAACAACCTCCTGCAGAAGTTTTTTCTAGAAAGACATATTTACAAGGATGTACCCTTAAATAACAGATTGTTGTATTAGCTGATGCAAGAGTACTCTTGAGTTTCATTTACTTTGTGGAAATATTAAGGTTCTGACAGTATTGCTTATCTTGTACTGAGTTGTTTTAAAAATTAATACCTCAAAGTTTATGGTTGCTCTGTATTCCATCATTCAGAATTTTGGAAGTTACCTTATTATATATGGCCTATTTTCTTTATTTTCAAAATACATTTTGTTCTTCAACCCTAAGAAATATTTTCAGTTGTTTAGCAATTGAGAATATTTTTTTTAATCTCTGAAGATTTATACTGTTTCATGTTTAATAAAATCAATAGGTACTCTGCCCCTGTAATTTATGCCCCCTTAAAGAGGGAAGGATATGGGAGCAGAGAGGAAACAAACTGCCAGTAGAGCAAGATCAAGTTCTAAAAGTCTTTCTTTCAGAAAAATGCAAGAGTACTTACGGAAGCTGTCCTGACAACAAGTTTTATTGAGATAGTTTACATATCAAAAGATTCACCCATTTTAAGTGTAGTGTCATGGTTTTTAATGTATTTACAGAGCTGTGTGGCCACCACCCCAGTCTAAGTTTAGAATATTTCCATCACCCCAAGAAGAATGCTTAGGCCTATTAAGAGCCACTCCCTATTTCCCCCCAGCCCTAGGCAGCAACTCACCTACTTTCTCTGTGTATCTGTATAGATTTGCCTATTCTGGACATTTCATATAAATGGAATTATACACTGTGATCTTTTGTGTCTGGCTTCTTTGACTACACGTATAGTTTTTGAGTTTCAGCCACGTTGTAATGTACATCAGCACATCTTTTTTTTTTTTCTTAATTGCCAAGTAATACTCTTTTGTATTGGTATACCAGATTTTTATCCATTTGTCAGGCGATGAACCTTTGGATCCTTTCCAGTTTTGGGCTGTTAAGAATAATGCTGCTATCAACATTTGTGTGCACATATGTTTTTATTTCTCTTAAGTAGATATCTAGAAGTGGATTTGCTGGGTAATATGGTATCTCTCTGTGTAACATTTTCAGACACTTCTAAATTATTTTAAAAGTGGCTTCCCCAATTTACATTCAGCAATAAAGGAAAATTCCTGTTTCTCAAATCCTCACCAACACTTGTTACTCTCTTTTTTTTATTGTAACCACCTTGGTATAGAGTAGTATCTCATTGTGGTTTTGATTTGCATTTCCCTAATGTCTACTAATGTTGAGCATCTGTTCATTTGTTTATTGACACATCTTTTTTGTGTGTCTTATTTAGAGAAAAGTTCATCCATCTTCCTTGCCATTTTAGTATTGTGTTACTCATTTTCTTGTTATCAGGGTGAGAGAGTTCTTCATATATTCTGAGTACTAATCCCTTATCAGGTGATTTGCAAGTCTCTTCTCCCATTCTGTGTATTATCTTTTTGCTTTCTTCATGGTGTCTTTTGACGTGCACAGGTTTTTAATTTTGCTGAATTCCAATTTATCAGTTTTCTTTTATCACTTGTACTTTATAAATTTTGTATGTATAATATCAAAAGTACATGCACAATTAAGGTATCATAATAGAAGAAACAATAGTGTACCCACTATCCAGGTTCAGAAATAGAACATTGCAAATTCCTTTAAAGTTCCCAGTCTGCCCTCAATTCAGTCCCTGTCTCCGCCCAAAATGACCACTGTGGTCAATTTTGTTGACCTTCCTTTTCATTTTTTAAAACTTCTCTTGTGTGAAATATACTACAAATTAAAAAGTACATGAAACATAAATGTACAAATTTACAAAATATTGTAAAATGAACACCTATGTAACCACCACTCAGGACAAAATATAGAATGTTGGCTGCCTTTCAGAAATCTCTAGCATGTTCTTCCCCACCACAGCTATCCACCAAGCCGCGCTCTATCCTGACTAATGAAGTAATTGCTTAATTTTGCTTATAGTTTTATCATTCAACTTTGCACCCCTAAATACTGTAATTTAGTTTTGTTATATTTTTAATTTTCATCCATGTTATAAAATGTAGCTATAATTTACTGATTTTTATTTCTATATGTCTTTAAATTGTCTATAGATTAATTTATTTACCTCTTCTAGGCTTAGATGCATAAATGGCTTCTGTTCTTTGGTTATTTGAAATAGTAATCCTATAGATTTCTTTACATGTATGGTGTGTGTGTATGTGTGTATATACACTTTTATTTAGGTTATTTCCTAGGAGTAGAATTTGCTGGGTTATAGAATATGTATGTATTTTTATACCAGATATACCTGGGTATTTTTCCAAAGGGTTTATCTCAATTTATACTTTACCTACAGTATGAGAGTTCCCATTCTTTCACATGTTCATCAGCATTTAGATTTTTCAGACTTGAAAATTTTTGTCAATCTGGTAATTTATAGCTGTATCTCATTTCAGTTTTCGTTTTCCTGATGCCTTATGAGGGTATGCACTTCTTCATATACATTTGGCCTTTTGAATTTTCTCTTTTGAGGTTCTAGAGTTTTTCCCATTTGCCATTTGGTTGTCTGCCTTTGTTTATGATTTATATGAGTTTATTTCTGGATCAAGCCCATTGTCAGTTATAAGTGGTTCAAATATTTCTTTTGTGTGTGTGTGTCTTGCCTTTATCACATACTCAATGGTGAATTTGGTGATTAGAGTGTTTTATTTAAAACACTTAAATTTGTCAGTCTTTTCCTTTACAGCTAGTGTTTTTTGTATCTTTAAAATTTTTTTCCCTATTCCAGGATTTTGAAAATATTTCCTATGTTATTTTTTAAATGCTTTTTTGTTCTTTTATATTTAATCCTAAAATCTACCTGGAATTTTTTATGAACAGTAGAATCTGGGGATTCAGGTTTGTTCGTTCATTCATTCATTCATTCACTTATACCGAATTATCGCAGCACCGTTTATTAAAAGATTATTTGGCCTACTCCTCTAGAGTCCTACCTCACTATGGTCTATCATGTAGAAAAAGTCCTCATGCATATAAAAAAAATTTGTCTTTCTACATAAATTTTAGAATCAGCTTATGCTGTTCCACTAAAGAAACAAAAAACAATGAACCTGTGGGGATTTTGGTTGAGATTATAATGAGTCTATGGATCAGTTTTGGTGAAAATTGATATTAAATCTCTTAATCCTTGAATATGATAGATCTCCCCATTATTTAGGTCTTTAACATCTATGAATATATAAACTTTTATAGGTTTCATTTTTTAGAAATATTTTATTCATTTGAGAGAGAGACAGATCACAAGCAGGGAGAGAGGCAGAGGGAGAGGGAGAAGCAAACTCCCCATTGAACAGGGAGCCTGATGTGGGCTCAATCCCAGGACCTGGAGATCACAACCTGAGCCTACGGAAGATGCTTATCCATCTGAGCCACCCAGGAGCCCCTATGGTTTTCACTAAAGAAGCCTAGTACATCTTTTATAGATGTGGTTTTGGTCCTTGTTTTTATAATATTATAAGAATTAAATAATACATACAATTATATATAATCTTATAAATGTCATCTTTTTCGAAAATTCTTTTTTCCAACTGTTGATTAATTTTATGTGGAAATAGAATTAATTTTATACAGTGATGCTTATTTCCAGCAGAATTGCCAAACTAATAACATATGTATAGATTTTTTTTCTACGTACACAATCCTATCATCTGTGAATAATGGCAGTTTGTTCCTTACTTTCAAGTTTTTTTCATAACTTGTTTTCCTAGCTAGAACCTCCAGTACGGTTGTTAAATTCAAGTGGCAATAGTTGGCATCCTTAATGGGGGAAACTTGCAACATTTCATTCTTACACATATGTGGTATAGTTTTGGGGGGATTTTTTGGTTTTCGGGTTTTTTTTAAACTCTCCTTTGTTACAATATGGAAGTCTTCTTTCTGTTCCTGGTTTGCTAAGAGTTTTATTTTTTAATTATGAATAGGTGAATTTTATTATGCTTCCTTTGAATCCATTGAGACGCATGTTATTTTGCTTTTAAATCTTTTACTGTGACCTCTTTCAATTGATTTTCTAATGTTAAATTTACCTTCAATTGCCAGATTAAACTGATTTTTTTCTAGGATTGTATATTAATGGATTTTGTGTGCTGTAATAATGATCTTTACAGGTTTTGGAATCAGGGTTAGGTCAGCCAATTTAAATTTAAAAGGGAGTTTACCCTTTTATTCTGTTCTGTGTGAGGACTTGTTTAAAATTGCAGTTATTTCTTACTGGAATATTTGGAGAAACTGTGGGTGATGCCATCTGTACTTGTAGTTTTCTTTTTTGAAAGTTTAAAAATTACTGATTTAATTTCTTTAATGACTATAATACTGTTCAAGTTTTCTATTTCCTTTTACACTGATTTTTGTAAATTTTACTCTAGTAGAAATTAAAATTTATTGGCACACAAAGTTCAGATATCTTCTATAATCTTTTTAAAGTCTGTGCCATCTGTAGTAGAGATAAGTGGCTTCATTTCTGTGACGGGCTTTTTGTACCTTTTGTCTTACATCAGTCTCAACAGAAATTTGTGTATATCTTTAGTCTTTATAAAAACCAGTTTGGGGGCATGTTGATCCTCACTTTTGATTATTTATCTTCTTTATTTACTGTCTTCAATTTTCTTCGGATTTATATTGTTCTTTTTCTAACTTCTTGAGATGGCTGCTTAACTCACTAATTTTCATCATTTCTTCTTTGGTACATATTATAAGCCTGTACATTTTCCTTTAATTATTGTTTTAGTTACATGCCACAGCTTATATGTAGCATTTTTATTATTCAGTTCAAAAATGTATCTAAATTGCATTATGATTTTTTTTAGAATTTTAGGCTGTAAGTTTTTGTTTTAAAATATCTAGTCATACATAAACAGACATTTCTCCAAAGAAGACCTACAAATGGCCAACAGACGCATGAAAAAATGCTCAACATCACTTGGCATCAGAGAAATCAGATGTTGGTGAGGATGCAGAGAAAGGGGAACCCATTACGCTGTTGGTGGTAATGCAAGTTGGTGCAGCCACTCTGGAAAACATGGAGGTTCCTCAAAAAGTTAAAAATAGAGCTACCCCACCAATTGCGCTACTAGATATTTATCCAGAGGATACAAACATAGTGATTCAAAAGGGCCCATGCACCCCAATGTTTATAGCAGCAATGTCCACAATAGCCAAACTATGGAAAGAGCCTACATGTCCACTGACAGATGAATGGATAAAGAAGTTGTGTACACACACACTGGAATATTACTCAGCCATCAAAAAGAATGAAATCTTGCCATTTGCAATGAAATGGATGGAACTAGAGAGTTTTATGCTAAACAAAATGAGTCAGAAAAACAAATACATGATTTCAGTCATGTGGAATTTAAGAAACAAAAACAGATGAACCTAGGGGAAGGGAGGGGAAAAATAAGATGAGAACAGAGAGGGAGGAAAACCATAAGAAACTCTTAACAATAGGAAAAAACTGAGGGTTACTGGAGGGGAGGTAGGTGGGAGGATGGGGTAATTAGGTGATGGTCATTAAGGAGGACACTTGATATAATGAGCACTGGGTGTTGTATGCAACTGATGAATCACTAAATTCTACCCCTGAAACTAATAATGCAGTATATGTTTACTAAATTGAATTTAAATAAAAAATTTTAAAAAAGTTCTAGTCATAGGGTGGAGCGCCTGGGTGGCTCAGTCAGATAAGCATCCAACTTTTGATTTTAGCTCAGGTCATGATCTCAGGGTTGTGAGATCGAACCCCACATCAGGCTCCGTGGTGGCAGAATATAGAGCCTGCTTAAGATTTGATCTCTCCCTCTGCAGCCCCTTATTCATTCATTCATTCATTCATTTATTTGTGTGTGTGTGTGTGTGTGTGTGTGTGTAGTCATAGGAAAATTTTTCATAATCCCCATGTTTCTGATTTTGGCCTGATTTTATAATCAGAGAACTTTGTATAATTTCACTTATATTTGTAGTAACTGGTTTTATGGTCTTGTATATAGTCAGTTTTTGCAAATAGCTCGTGTATTTGAAAATGCGTATTCTTCATTGTCCTATATTTGTCCATTATACCTATTATTTCAAATTTATTAATCTTACTGTTTAAACCTTTTTTTTCTTTTTACTGAATTCTGTCTGCTTCTTCTAATACCTCACTACAATCATGTTTTTTTTTTTAATAACTTGTCATTTTGTCAGGTTTAGTTTCCTTTGAGGTCTTATTATGAACTTTACATTTTTTGATGGATTGCATCTTTTATCAACATGAACTGTAGTACTTTTTTTTTCTTTTTGCCTTCAAGTCTACTTTTGTATATTAGTATAGTTATGCTAGGTTTCTTCTGAGATATGAGTTTTTCCACTCTTTACTCTCAACATTTTTTTCTTATGTTTTAAATGTTTGAAACTTACGTTTTGGATGTCTTTTATAAGTAGCATGTAGTTAGATTTTGTTTTAAATTTTTAAAATCTGTTTATTTTTGTCTCACTAGAGTTTTTTAAAATCCATTTAATTCAGTATAACTAAATTTAATGTGAATTTAATGTACTTAACATTTTTAATTTTACTTCATATCGTCCCATCCCTTCTGTCTCTTTTGTCTCCTTTATTGTCTTATATTTTTTTCTCCTTCCGTTTTTTTCCTCATTTTACTTTCTCCTTTCTACTAGTTTGGAAGTTAAACATTCTGTTTGTATTCTTTTTGTGATTGTATTACAAATCACAGTATGCTTCCTTGAATTAAAGTCCACTCTAATTTAATCATTACCTTTACCTTCACATTGGTTAATAGAAGGCTCTCAGAACACGTTGCCGATTTATTTACCTTTCTCCCTACTTAAATGCTATTTTCAGGCATTTTTAATTGTATATATCATTAAACCTCAAAAAACATTGTTACTACTTTTATGGCTATAGAAATTTAATTATCATTTAGATTTGTCCATGTGTTCACCACTGTATTTGCTCTTTTCCCAAATTTGTAACCTTTCATAAGAAATATTTTTCTTCTTTTTGAAATATATCCTTTAGAATTTTCTGTGCTATGGTGATGAGCTCTGTGTTTCCTTGAAAAATGTGTGACCTTCATTCTTAAGGTTTTTGTTTTTGTTTTTTTGAAATAGCATCTGTGTTTCCTGTTTTCTTCCAGCATGCTAAGGACATTGTCTCTACTGTGTTCTCATTTCCATTGCTGATTTTTCCCCCTCTTCTTTATGATATTCTCCCTAGAATTGGTCTTCTGTGGTTTCTCTCTGTTCCATCTAGTTTTGAATATTTATCCTGCTTGGTATTTTTTGGACTTCTTAAATCAGTGGTTCAGCATCTTTCTTCAGTTCTATGAAATTCTCAATTATTATATGCCCAAATATGTCCTTTTCTCCATTCTGTCTCTCCCCTTTTTGCATTCCAGTTCAATATATGTTAGTCCTCTATCTCATCCTCTGTGTCTCTGCTCTTGTTCTGTGTAGCCCCTCTTTTTGTTGACCTGTGCTTCGTGCTGAGTTGTTTCTTTTGATCTATCTTCCAGTTTATTAGTTCTCTCCTTAGCTGTATCTAATATTACATTAAACCAATCCATTGGGTTCTTAATTCGGTTATTGTATAATTTGGCTAAGTGAATTTATGTAGGTGAATTCACTTACATGTGCACGGATCCATGAGAGGTAGTGAACATAGAAAAGTGCTCGATCTCTCTCTAGAGCCACACTTTCTGCATTTGAATCTTGGTCCCACTCTTTACTGCAAAATACCTGTACAAAATACTTCTTGGTGTCTTGGTTTTCTTGTCTATAAGATGGTTTAAGTAATAATATTCATCTCTTTGGATGGGTGCGAGGAATAAATAAGTTCATATGCATAAAGTTTTCAGTACAGTGAAGAGCACAGAGTAAGCATCATACAAGAGTCAGCTGCCATCATTTTCATCATCCCGGACAGCAGAGGGATTAGGGTGGTAGTTGAGATCATGACACCAGCGGTTAAGTACTTCCTTTGTCTTTTTCTCTCAACATCCCTTCCACTGCTTTCTTATTATTTAGTATATTTACTTCACCAAATATTAGAATGTAGTGTAATAGAAAAATATAGAAGAATATAAGATTTGGTATCTGGTTAACCTGGACTAAAATCCTGGCTTACTTTCTAGCTTTTCATTTCCTTACCTGTAAACTAGAAATAACCGTAGTTAGTACCATCTCATAAAATCATTGTGAGCATTAAACGTGAAAAAATGATTGGCATAGTGCCTGGCACATTTCAAATTTTGTTATGTTTTGTCATCATTGCCATCATTATTGTCATCCTGTATTCTTGTCTGTAAAACTGAGATGATATAACTCACTTGGTAATATTGTTGGAGGATGGAATGAAATAACGTATGGAAAGAGCTTAGCATGATGACTGGAGCAGAATAAATACAGAATAAATGGTATTGTAGACAAGTTTTTATTCTTAGTTTTCCGTTTATGTTTCACATACTGTATACAATTGCAGACTGAAGACTGAAAATAGCACCTTCACCTTATCTGCTCTAACAGTGGCCCTTGAAAGGAAACTGTGGTTCTCTAAACCTGATCAACATTTTTTATTACTTTCTATTCTTATATCACTTTTACTGAGTGCTTTTTTCCTTTTACCATATTACATCAGACATAATGAAAATAGATACATTAGTTTTAATAATAGGATCTTTTAGCTTTGTCCCTTGATGTTTATTTATTGTCTGCTGGAAGCACTACCATAAATTAAAACAATCTTTCAATCCCGGGAAAAGTTTATTAAAATTCAGGACCTTAAGTTTAAAGTTCTCTGTGACTTATTCAGGTATTGTCTAAATCAAATGGTGGGGCTTTTTTAAAAGATTTTATTTATCAGAGAGAGAGAGGGAGAGAAAGAGAGAGCCTGTTCTCACAGGTGGGGGGGAGGGGCAGAGGGAGAAGGAGAAGCAGGCTCCCCACTGAGCAGGGAGCCTGAGGCAGTTGTTGATCCCAGGACCCTGAGATCATGACCCGAACCAAAGGCAGACGCTTAACCGACTGAGCCACCCAGGTGCCTCTTCAAATGGTTCTTTATAAATACTTGCTTTTTTAAGCAATTTTTGTTTTATTGTATTCAGAAGAAAACACCTAACAACCCCCCAAAAGAAACGGCCATTGATCAGTCTGTCTTATTCTACTATTCTTTATTTTCAGAGTGGCAGGCAACACACTACCTTTTCAGCAGAATCCAGTCGGAGCCTTTTGATTTGTCTACTTTGGGTTCTCAAGAATGCAGATGAGACGGTTCTACAAAAGTGGTTTACAGATCTCTCAGTCCTACAGCTAAACCGGCTACTAGATTTGCTTTATCTCTGTGTATCTTGCTTTGAGTACAAAGTAAGTGATCGCTATGCCATTGCAGAGAAGAATGAGAAAGCGAACATCATGTGGAAAAGGAAGAACAAAAGTTCCTCAATGTCTCTTCTTTCCTAATGTTTAAATTTTAGGGAAAGAAAGTGTTTGAAAGAATGAATAGTTTGACCTTTAAGAAATCAAAAGACATGAGAGCAAAGCTTGAAGAAGCTATTCTTGGGAGCATAGGTGCTAGGCAAGAAATGGTGCGCCGAAGCCGAGGACAGCTTGGTACGTACACAGTATCTTCTCCTTCTGGTGAGAATTTTTTCAGTTTCCTTGAACTATATATTATAGTGATCATTGTTGCAAGTCTTCAAAGATTCTGCACTTTTTTAAGTGTTTTTCATTTTTTGTTTGTTTTAGAAAGGAAGGGGGGTGAGGAGCAGAGGGAGGACGGAATCTTAAGCAGGCTCCACGCATGGAGCCTGATGCAGGGCTTGATCTCACAATCATGAGATCGTCACCTGAGCTGAAATCAGGAGTCAGATGCTTAACTGACTGAGCCACCCAGGCGCCCCTTAAAAAGTGTTTTAAATGAAACTGTGAATTTACTTGAGTAACCACTTCTTTGTAGGAATTCAAATTAAGAGTTCTAAACAGGGTGAGCATATTTCCTGATTTGTTCTGGAGAGTCCCGGTTTATTACTGTTGCCCTTGTGTGATTATTAATAGCACTCCCCCCTTTTAAGACTTTTCAAAAGCAGTTTTAGGTTCACAGCAAAACTGAGCTAACAGTACAGAGATTTCCCGTATACTCCCTAACACACATGCATTGCCTTCCCTGCTGTCGACATTCCCCGCCAGAGTGATGACTTGTTAAACTTGGTGCTGAACCAGCACTGACAAATCATTATCACCCAAAGTCCATAGTTGACATTATGGTTCAGTCTTAGTGTCATACTTTCTACACAGCATCACTTTTTACTCTTAAAAATTTCCTATTTGGCACAATAAATTAAAATACCCAGTATTTAAGGGAAATATATTGTCCATCAGACTCAAATATCAGGGAGAGAAACAGGTTAATAGCATTTGAGGCCTATTTTCTAATCCCAAGTACTGCTATCCATTAGCCATATAACCTTGGCCAAGCCACTTAATCTCACTTTCCTTTTCCTTATCCACTTGTGATTGTTTTGAGAACTTAGAAGGTAGTTTAACTAACTGATCTTATCGTATTTGTAGTGACTGTGTGTGTAAACATTTCCTAAATTCTAAAGTGACAAATAATAGTGTTGCTGAGAGCTCCTTAAAGTCAGGGACATGGTTTAGTCATCTGTGTATATGACACGTGCTAATAGTTCAATATATATTTTATGCACATTTACGTGACTATTTTTTTTTTAAAGATTTTATTTATTTATTTGACAGAGAGAGACACAGCGAGAGAGGGAACACAAGCAGGGGGAGTGGGAGAGGGAGAAGCAGGCCTCCGCCGAGCAGGGAGCCCGATGTGGGGCTCGATCCCAGGACCCTGGGATCATGACCTGAGCCGAAGGCAGATGCTTAACGACTGAGCCGCCCAGGCGCCCTACGTGAATATTTTTAAGGTTTTCTGATAGACCATGAACACATAAACACGTAGACATCATTTATCTATGTAAACTTAAATATCTTTTATATGCTATCCAGTATATTTGGAATTTCATAAGAATATAAAACCTTTGCCTTTGGAATTAAGAGAACCATTTTTTTTTTCACTTTGAATTTATATACAGTCTACAGTGTACTTAACAGATTTTCTTTTAACTCCTTTATTACATACAACAACCCTCTAAAATATGAAAATGAACTTTTATTTAGGTCATTTAATTATCACCAAAATCTAATGAATGATTATCCCTACCTTTAAGTTAAAGAAAATGAAACTCACCAGAGGTAAATAACTTGCCTAAGATCATAAACTAAGTGACAAAACCAGGCTCTTTTGACTTCCAGTGTAGTTCTCTATATTATACCACAGCTCTTTCTAAGGTTTAATGTCAGAGAGAGTGGAACTGTTAAGTGTATGGTACGTTTTTAAGCCTGTGGCCTTAGGACAGCTATCTTTGAATATAAGAATTGAAGTTCTCTATGTGGAATCTAAAATAAATAAATGAATAAATTCATAGATACAGAGAATGGATAGGTGGTTGCCCTGGGTGTGGGGCGAGGGATGGGCAGAGTGGATGGAGGAGGTCAAGCGGTATAGACTTCCGGTTATAAAACACATAAGTACTAGGGATGTAATGTACAGCATGGTGCCTACAGTTAATACTGCATGGTATGTTTCAAAGTTACTAAGAGAGTATGTCTTAAGGTCTCATCATAAGAAATTATGTGTGGTGATGATGTTAACTAGATTTATAGTAGTGATCATTTCGTACATATATTGAATCATGCACCTGAAACTAAAATAATGTTATATGTCAATTAATCTTATTTTTTTTTAAAGGTTTTATTTATTTATTTGACAGAGGGAACACAAGCAGCAGGAGTGAGAGAGGGAGAAACGGGCTTCCCGCGGAGCAGGGAGCCCGATGCAGGGCTCGATCCCAGGACCCTGGGATCATGACCTGAGCCAAAGGCAGACACTTAACAACTGAGCCACCCAGGCACCCAGTCTGATTTTTTTTTTTAATTCTTAGAAAAGTTAAGCCTTTGCGATTCTTATTTATATTTGGACATACAAGTTACGTCACCCGATGATAGATATTCTTAGCTAAGAGATGGGAGAGAATTTCCTGGGGGAGAAAAAGTTAATGATGAAAATGTAAATAGATCCCAGATAATCAGTTTTGTTAACTGTGTAAAGATAGGCATATATTTTTTTGTTTTCTTTTACAAAATTTTTTGAAAATACAGATTTCACAATTAAAAAAAAAGGGAGATAAGGGAAGGGAGAGAAAGCAGAAGAAATATACCAGACATGTCCTTTATTGTGTGGCAGATTTGTCTCATTATTTTTAAAATTTCTATTTGAACTCTGAATTTTTACCTTTTTTTTTCCATCCTCCTAACCAATTTTAAGTCTTGGGTTTTTCTTTCTTTTTTTTTTTTTTTTAAAGATTTTATTTATTTATTTGACAGAGGGAACACAAGCAGCAGGAGTGAGAGAGGGAGAAACGGGCTTCCCGCGGAGCAGGGAGCCCGATGTGGGGCTCGATCCCAGGACCCTGGGATCATGACCTGAGCCGAAGGCAGACGCTTAACCGACTGAGACACCCAGGCACCCCAACTCTTGGGTTTTTCAAAAAGGAGCATTAGTTTTCTAGCTGAAGGTCTGAAATCATGGCTGATTCCATCATTTAGGTGTGTATCTCTCCACAATTCTAAATGCCTTCTTCATTTCTGTTGAATTTGTGTGAACAAGTTCTCTTGCTGCTACCCCTTACAGGAGCCCCCAGCATTCAGTTTGCTTTCCATCCCAGAAACTTTGGGAGAAAGCCCCCATCTTTCTCCTATCCTGCCTTCTGTGGACCAAAGGAAGTAATTACTTTAGGAATCCTTCTATTTTGTTTATATATTAAACAAAAACTTGTTGAGCTCTCAGTATTGCCAGACGCATCGTCAACCCCGAACATAAAAGGGTGAACAAAATAGGCATAATCTCCATTCTTAAGTAGCTTAAATTCTTGTGATCATAAGTGCTAACGGAGGGAAATACAGCCAATTAAGAGGGAAAAAGTGTTGGAGAGGGACGCATGGGTGGCTCAGTCAGTTCAGCGTCTGCCTTTGGCTCAGGTCATGATCTTGGGGTCCTGGGATTGGGGCCCGCCCCACCTCGTCTGGCTCCCTTCTCAGTGGGGATCCTGCTTCTCCCTCACTCTTTCTGCCCCTCCTCCCTGCTTGCGCTCTTTCTCTCTCTCTTAAATGAGTAAATAAAGTCTTTTAAAAAAGAAAAATGTTGGAGAGTTGGGGAAGACCTTTCTATGGAGATTATGAATGACTGGCCAGTGAAAATTGTGGGAAGACCGATCCCATAAGAGGACCAATAACTATTGTGGAGGTCCTCAATCAGGAGCATGTAGAGGGAGACTATATATACAGAGAACACACAGAATGACTGTGGTGGTGTACGCAGGAAGGGGAGTGGTTGGATGTAAGGTCTTAACCACGTGGGGCCTTATAAGTCATTGTTTAGGTTTTGCGAAAATCTGTGTTAAGAAAGTTTGCTTATATAAAAGGGAGCTTGTTTTTTAATATTACATGTAACAAATATATTTCTTCTATAACTTTTTTTAAAATTTTAATAAAAAGTACTATTGTTAGTTTTTTCCACTTGTGCTGAAGATAAAATGACTATATATAAAGTTAGCATTGTGCAGTATTTCTTATAAGTTGCAAATATACTTATAGGTGGTCCAAATGAAATAACATTTTGAAAATGGTTTTGGAATTTATTTGACAGAGAGAAGCCCATCTGGAAGTGCCTTTGGAAGTCAAGAAAATCTGAGGTGGAGAAAGGATATGACTCACTGGCGTCAAAACACTGAGAAGCTTGACAAGTAATATAACTTTCTATTTTATGTTACTGATGGGCTTGTTGGATTTCAAATGCAGGATGAAAATCACTAATTTTAGTGTTTTTTTTTATATATTAGGTATTCAAATCTTAGACAACAAAATACTTATATTTAGTTTTTAAATTTTAGATTAAAAAAGATTTGGGGGAAGAATTTTTCATGTGGTATAGTAAAGCAAAATGTTACCCATTTTGTTTCCAACAAATGTGTCTAAATATCTGCCTTCGAATTATTCTGTAATAATTTTTTAATGTATTTTGGGAGTCACAGTGAACTAAATATTTCCAGGTCACCAACAGTTATAAAGTTAATCTTTGCCCTCTTGGAGCTTAAAATATAATTAAAGAAAGACAAAATACTTCAGGTCTTCTGTTTTTAGCATGAGGTAAATAGATACACTGACTGACCCTACTGCCAAAAACAACTAAAAATGTACTTCACTGATTCTGGGATCTTAAAGGGCTGTACCATTGGTGTAGGGGAAACTAGAAGTAAACCCTTCTCACTGCCTAGGTGACCTCGGGTAAAATTTGTTGGCTTGAAATGTGGCATTGAGTCAAGGGTCTAAAATTTTTCTCTTGAGAATTTGTAATTACAAGTTAGCCCTCAAGTAGGTTGACTGGCCCAATAAACTCTGAGAATATGGTGACCAACTCATTCGTGTTTGCCAAGTATACCCATGTTCATATCCCAGGGAATCCCGCAGTCCTGTCCTAAAGCAAACCAGGATGCTTGGTCACCCTACGTAAGAACTATCTTGAGACCAGGCTTTAGAGGATTTTCACAGATAAACTTGCGGAAATATTAGCTCACAGACAGTAGCAGTATAAACCATAGGAAGGACTGTCTTGTGCAAGCCATCAGAGAGCAAGTCACAGACTCAGTTCCATATAGATGAGCATTTGGATTACAAGAAACTGTCTTAGTCTCTGCAGGCTGCTGTAACAAAATAGAACACACTGCGTTGCTTATAAACAACAGAAATTTATTTCTGACATTTCTGGTGGCTGGGAAATTCAAGAGTATTTCTGATACAAAATATTGAGAATTTAGATGATAATTTAGAAAAAAATAAGTACTTTCATCTTAAATAAATTGAAAATCCTTGAAATGGTAAGATGAGCACTAAACATTTTGAGTGTTGCTTTACATGAAGCAACCCTATATCCAAGCCCACATAGCACCACCTAGTGTCAGTGCCGTTCAGAATAAAACAGTGTCCTGTGTTTGCTACATCTCTGAAAGCTAAACATTTATGCTATCAGTGGTATTGTGGGACTGTAATGGGGTGAGAAAATATGTACTGACATGGTCGACAAAATGCAGGGTAAAAGAAAACACTTCTTATTGTGTAAAATATTGTCTTTTTATTCTCTTATAATTTTTCTTTCAGGCAGATATTGATAAATGGTTCCAAGTTTTTTTCTATGAATCTTAAAACTAAGGTCTTTTTTGCATAGTGGTTCTATGTAAATGTACTTTCTTATAATATTTTATATTAGATCAAGAGCAGAGATTGAGCATGAAGCACTGATTGATGGAAATCTGGCTACTGAAGCAAACCTAATCATTTTGGATACATTAGAGATTGTTGTCCAGGTAAGATACAAACGAGGAATTTCAGGTATGGACTTGGTAAATTGGGATTGTGCAAAAAGTATTTATTGAGCCATACAATTACATTAAAATATCGGTAGTTCATAAAAATTTTTTTTTCTTTTTTTCTCACTTAAATTCTATTCATTTTTTTTTTTTAAAGATTTCATTTATTTATTTTTTTGACAGACACAGCAAGAGAGGGAACACAAGCAGGGGGAGTGGGAGAGGGAGAACAGGCTTCCCGCGGAGTGGGGAGCCGGATGCGGGGCTCGATCCCAGGACCCTGGGACCATGACCTGAGCGGAAGGCAGACGCTTAATGACTAATCCACCCAGGCAACCCCTGTTCATTCTTTTTCCCCCATTCTTCCCTTATTCAAATCCTGCTCAGCTTCTTTTCCCTGACGTTCTCCTAGATCTTATGTTGTCCTTATCCTGTTTTTTAAAAACTGTTTTCTTATATTCTGTCTCCCTAACCAAATTGCAGGTACATCTCCATTTTTTTAATCTGTTTTTAAATTGCAGACAGTTTCTGTAACAGAATCCAAAGAGAGCATCCTTGGTGGGGTACTGAAAGTCTTACTGCATAGCATGGCCTGTAACCAAAGTGCAGTTTATCTACAACACTGTTTTGCTACACAGAGAGCCCTGGTTTCAAAGGTAGGTCATTTTTGAACGTGCAGTCTTCCCAGACTAATTGCTTTCTCTTTTTATGTTGGTTAATATATTTATAGTTAACATTTTAATAATAGCCTGAGACCCACGATTCTTCTTTGCCTCTTTTCTACTGCTTGCCTTTTGTAATTTCTTTCTTATTTGGATCACCCTTAACCAGTTTTGGGCTTAAAAAAACAGTAGTTTTGTTGTGGAGAAGGGCCCCAAATTAATAACTAATTGAAAATATGGGGCTTTCCTTGTTTTCTCTTTATCTCATTCTGTCTGTTCTTATTAATTTGATTTGTTATGTAAGGTGTAAATAATTCATTCCATTGGCGTTAACTTACCCATGATGAATGGAAAAGAAGGTACTTTTGTTTGTTTACCTACTGCAAGTATTTATTTCTGGTGTTTGTCTTTCCCCAGGAAATAGGGATGTTCTTAAATCTTGAAGGTATCTATTTTATCATAGTCATCTAATAATATGGAATGTGTAGAGCTGTCAGTGGAGATTTAACCAATGGGTTATAATAAAATCATTGCAGAATTATTACATGTTCGTTACCATATTAAGTGTTTTGTGCATAGTATCTTATCTCAGATACAGTCCTACAATTCCCTGTAGATATTGCTAGGCCCATTTTATGGCTGAGAAAACTGGTCCAGCATTGCGCTACTGGCTAATAAGTGACATAATCAGTATTCAGACCCAATCTGCCTGGCTCTGTGGTCCACATTATCAAGCATTAGCAAATAGCACTTCACCGTTTTTTAAAAACGCTATACCTGCAACTCTCTAGTTCGGGCTCTGTTAACCTTCCCCTGGAACTCTGACTGCGGAAGTTCGGTGTTGGTGTTGTTTTGTTGTTATCGTTGTTTTGTGTTGTTTTGGACAGTTCCCCGAACTCTTGTTTGAGGAAGAAACGGAGCAGTGTGCGGACCTGTGCCTGCGCCTTCTGCGGCACTGCAGTAGCAGTGTCGGTCCGATTCGGTCCCATGCCGGCGCCTCACTGTACCTCCTTATGAGACAGAACTTCGAGATTGGGAATGTAAGTGTTTATCCCTCAGCTCATAAGGGGCTCGAACTTCTGCAGATACCTAGTTAGCGTGTGTTGGAGGGGAGCAGGGCGTTTTGTATATTTCGAGCCTACAATGTCTTGATATTTCTTATTATGTGACTATCTTACAGAAATCCAAATCTCCAGTTTGGCTTCCTGTACTACAAATAACCTATAGTAGTACAACTCGGAATATAAATGTATCACGAGCTATGGAAAATTTAATTATTATCATTAAGTAAAATGAAAACATTAATAAAGGAAATGAAAGGTTTAAATATCTTGGTTTGATATTTTTTGATTATGGGCCAGCCTGAAGAACTCCATGTTTTCATTAAAGTGTTTTGTTTGATAATCTATTCATGCGTAGTGTTTTTTTTCTGACTTTGAGTCGAATGTATAGTTCATTTATTTTTACTTATATAAGTATTTAAGGCCTGGCTCGTCCTTCGAGCACTGTTTTTGGTATCTCATTGGTTCTGATATATAGTGTTTTCAGTATTCTTGTTTGGTAGATATTTTGTAGTTTCAGTTTGAATTTTTAAAAAATCCCAAGAGTTGACAGTCCTTTTTGTTTTAAAGTTTGGACGTTAATTTCTAGTTTTATTTCAATGTGATTATACAATGTTAAATACTGTGTCTCCTTTTTTGTACTGTAGATGTGTAATGTTACACAAGTACTTAAAAAGAAAGTTTTCTTTATTTCAGAGTACTGAGTTAAATATACCTTATTAATTACATTATTTTTCTATATCCTTGTTATTTTGGTGCACTTGGTGGACTGAAGGAGGTGATTTAAAGCCTATGCATTATTTATTTCTCCTCTACCTCTTATTTGGTAAATTGGTATTCATAACTATTGTATCTTTTGTTACTTTTTTGTTGTTGTTGCTTTAGTCGTCTCATTTGGCTAAATACTCTCCTGTAGTTGTTTATGCAAGACAGTTCGTGGGAATAATATATACCAAGTTCTTGATTATTCAGTGTTTTCTGTACTTAAAGGACAGCAAAGATAGTTATGAAGTTTTTTGCCTCAGACTTTGAATGAAAAAGGGGGGCGGGGCAGTGAGAAAGACCAGTAAAACATACCAGATAAAGAATAGTTAATAGAAAAAAGAAAAAGAGATACTTGAATACCATTTTCTTCTGGCTTTAAATATTGTTATAGAGATATCTGAAGGTAGTCTGATATTTTCTTCCCTTTTAAATAACTTTTCCCCTCCCAGTTGCTCAAGGGATTCTCTTTAAACTTAAAATTAAATACCTTTTCTAGAATGTATCTTGGTATTGACCAATTTTTGTTAATTTTCTCAGGCACATGATACCTACTTTCAGTTTATTTCAGAAAGTTTTCTTGAATATAAAGTTGAATATTTTCTTCCAGGGTTTGGGGTTTTTCTGCTAGGTACCAATTATATATATGTTGGGTCTGTTTTGCTTTACTTTTGTTGTTTTGTTTTGCTTTACTTTTTGCCTATCATTATTTTCTCTTTTCCTTTTTTAACATTTAAAATTTCCATTTATTGTGGTTCTTTTTCTCAGAATTTCTCTGTCCTATATACCTTATGTGCTCTCCATGACATCCTTTCTTTTTCCAATTTTATCTTTTTTTCTATTTTAAGTTATGTCAGCTCACATGTAAGCTTCTATTTTATGTCCTCTCTTTCTGATTTGTGCTCTTTCCTTGAGTTTATTTCTGCCTTGTTTTCCTTTCTAAAGTTCATACATTTTAATAATTTAAGGCAAAATATTTCATTAGAATTTTCATCTGTTTCATAACAACATTTTTCTATTAAGTGTTTTTCATCTGGTGAGTTTCACTAATCTTTCCTTTTTTATTACTCAGCGTAGAAGGAGTTGGATTGTCTTGGCTCAGGTATTTGTAGGAAGTTCCTTCAGGAATGTGTTTCTCATGGGATTTTGCTATTGTAAACACATCTTGCCTAACTTCCTGAAGTTTCTGGTCAATCCATTTCTAGCCAGTCTTCCCAGATTTTTAGCTCATTTCATTTTCAAGACAAATAGCTTTATGACTTCAAAGTGAGTCTCCTATCTGAAAGAAGTATTTTTCCCCATTATTTCTGAAATCTGTGCCCTAGCATCCCTCACTATTTGCTTTCTTCTCCTTGCCTTCTTTTGAAACTGTATCCTATCTTAGCCTGTCTTGGCAACCATTCTGCATTTTTCTAATACATGGATTACATCAGACTCCTCCTTTGATGAAAATAAAGTTTGTGGATTTTTTCCTATTCGTCTTTCATTTTTGTATAAAATCCAGGAGAAGCAGGAAATTGCAATTTCACACTGTCCCTTTTTAACTGGAAGCCAAGTCCTCATTTCTTAATCGAGAACAGAAGGATCCAGTTACTTTATTGATTCTGTTTAGCTTTTGAAATAAAGTCCCTAAAATTTGACCACACTTGGAATCTTCTTGGTACATCTTCTTTTGTTTTAGGAAAGCTTTATATAATAGGATAAAAATAGGTAATTTGTCCTCATAGTGTCAGGTAGTACCTCTAATAAGGAATAGGTAATTTAAAACTGGCAGTGATTTATAGTTTATGTATTTGACAGATATTAGAACCAAGTATTGAACTGTGTTCTAGGTACAGTAGTAGGCATTGGGTACACAGATAGAAGAACAGTCTTTTTTTTTTTTTTTTTAAGTAGCTTAACATTTAGTGGGAGAAGAAATGAACAGTGCTCATCTATGAACAGCCAGTGTTCATCCTAATAATAGCAAGAAGTACCCTTTCTGTGGTGAGGATATATAAATTCATATTAGGTAAAACACTTAAAACAGTAACTGGCACTGAGCAAATGCTGAATAAGTGTTTGCTGTTGTTAATATAATGAGAGGTAAGCACAGGGCACTGTGTAAGCACAGAGAAAAATGATTTATGCTGCCAGAGATGGGTTTTCAGTAAGAGGAGATGCTTGAAGCAAGGATGAAGAATTGCTCAATCAGAATGATAAATAGGTGGCTAGCACTTTGTAGGTGAAGAAAATGGCACATGCATAATTAAAAAGGCATGGAGACAAGAGACGGAAACAGGCAAACAGAGAAAGATACTCTTTTAGCACTTCGTGATGGTTCTGGCTCGAAGAGAGAATAGGAAGAGATAAAGTTGTAACTGAAAAGGCCTAGACTAAGCTATCCCTAGGGCAGGTACTTGTTTTAGTACTGGTCTTCCAATTCCCACTGTATAGTTTGATATATTTACTGAGTCATATACTTGAATTTTATCCTCAAGGCTTCGGTCAGCCATTGGAATATTTTAAGGAGAGGACTGATATGTTCAGACTTGAAAAATTTACACAAATTTCCCTGATATTATGTAGAAAATAAACTTGGGTTATGAGAGAAAAGACCGTAAGGTCAATTAAGAAGTTAATATGGTAATCCAAGTAAGACTTGGTAAGGGTGTAAACTATAGCAATGGCCTTGGGAATGGAGAAAGACCAGACTGGAACAGATTGGGGGGGGTGTGGACTGGTTCTATGGTTTGGATAAGGACAGGGGAGAGTGACAGAGGGATGATTCCTAGATATTTTTTTTGGCCTGAATGACTACAAGAATAGTAGTACCATTTGTTTAATAATAGGAAAAGAAGGTATATTAGAAATGTTAAAATTGGGGTGCCTATGAGATCCAGATAGAGCCATCTAGTAAAATACTATGGCCTGGAGCTCTAGAGAGAAATAAAAGCGGAAGACCTAGACATTATATCTATACCAATTGAAGGCAAAGAAATGGATGAGGCTGTTCAGAATGACAAGTGAAGAGGTTTCTTGACAAAATCTTGGGGAACACTGGTATTTAAAAAGGGCAACCAAAAAGGAGTGGATATATTTAGGAAAATCAAGATAAAATGGTACCACTGAAGGTTAGTCAGGAAATTTTCGAGGATAAAAAAAGTAATCAATACATTTAAATATACAGAAATGTCAGGTAGAATATTGATCAGAAAGTATCTTGGATTTGGCCTTTACTAGGTTATCCCTGATTAACCTCTTAAAAGTGGTTTCATAGGGGGAAATGGTGGGACAGAAATGAATTTACCCTGTAAAAGGAAGAATGTAAACTACTTCTAAGCATTAGTCCAAAGATTCTGCTTTAAGTTACTTCATGCATGATGTGTGTTAAATTACTTTCATCATGGTAATGGACCTAATGAAATGGACTGGAGGTTAAAGACGACATCTCCCACTACGAATTTTGTGATATTGGTCAAGCTCTATAACCTCATGTGTAAACATAGTGTTATTATTAATAATATATACCTCAAAACAGATTAATGTAAAGTGTTAGGCACAGCTTTTAATTCAATTCTAATACATGGCTTTTTTTTTTTTACTCTGTTTTGTAGCATATTATTCTTGGCAAAATTCTAAGTGTTAGGTTTTATTATAAGGTTTTAAAATAATTTGATTTTAATATGCATATTTCATTACTTTTTAAAAAATATCTTGCTTGGAATGTTTTTTGTTTTTTTTTTTTAACTAACCTTTTCATTTAGCAAGTACAAAAAGTAGACTTTTTTCTTAAGTTTTTCTATTTTAAGTGCTGACCCGACAATTTCTCTGTTACAGAACTTTGCTAGGGTTAAAATGCAGGTAACCATGTCACTGTCATCCTTGGTGGGCACATCTCAAAATTTTAATGAGGAATTCTTAAGACGTTCTCTAAAGACTATATTGACATATGCTGAAGAAGATCTGGAATTGAGGGAAACGACATTTCCTGATCAGGTCAGTCAAAAATGTGACTTTCTAGATCATTAGTTGAAATGGGATGATAAATAGGCACTTTCCAAATTGTTAATTCAAACTTTGGTTTTTACTGGAGGAATCTGTATTTTTCTTTCAATCCATAGATCATATGTCATAGATGGGGTGAATCATTTTGTTTCAATAAGCCATGCTTCCTTCTTGGAAAGCTTAATATCTTTGATATGTAATTCTGTGAATTTGTAACAAATAGAACAAATAGTAGACCTAGGCAGTATAAACAAATAGGAAACTTTATGATGAAATATTATTCCCAGTTATTAATGAAATAGTAATTGGCCTTAAAAGTGAAGTTTTTACAAACTACTGTTGGGAGAATCAGAAACAGAGAAACATAGGAGAGAATTCCCTTTTGTATTCTCTTCTTGTATCCTCTACATCCCTGTATTTTATTTCTAGTTCTAGTTCTGTTTGTTTCCAGGTGAGAGAACTGGAAAAAAAACAAAACAAAACAAACAGCTCACTGAGGAATTAGTATAAAGTTTACTACCCTTCACTCACCGTACCCCAGCATATCCATATCCTTTGGAACTATATCAGTATCATTTTATTTGTTTTGCAACCTTCAGATGTTTATCTGAAATATCTTCCAAACTAATTTAGTGATTGTGAAAGAATGATAATTAAAGAATTTTTTTTAAATAAAATTTTCTGCTGCAGGTTCAAGATTTGGTTTTCAATCTCCATATGATCCTTTCTGATACCGTTAAAATGAAGGAACACCAGGAGGATCCTGAAATGTTGATTGATCTAATGTACAGGTATCATTTGTTTGATTTGTTTATACCTTGTATAATAGGTTTAAATTGGTAAAAGTTAAAAATAGAAGTACCCTATGATCTAGCAATGGCACAACTAGGTATTTACCCAAAGAATACAAAAATCCCAATTCAAAGGGATGCATGCACCCCGATGTTTATAGCAGCATTATCTACAATAGCCAAATTATGGAAGCAGCCCAAGTATCCATCGACCAATTAATGGATAAATAAGATGTGGTATATATGTATATAATGAAATATCATTCAGCCATCAAAAAGAATAAAATCTTGCCATTTGCAACAACCTGGAGGATATAATGCTAAGTGAAATAAGCCAGTCAGAGAAAGACAGATACCATATTATTTCGCTCATATGTGAAATTTAAGAAACAAAACAGATGAGCAAAGGGGAAAAAGAGGAAGAGAGACAAACCAAGAAACAGACTCTTAACTATAGAGAACTGATGGTTACCAGAGGGGAGAGGGGCAGGGGAATGGATGAAATAGGTGATGGGGATTAAGGAGGGCACTTGTGTGATGAGCACTGGGTGTTGTATGGAAGTATTGAGTCACTAAATTATACATTTAAAACTAATATTACACTGTATGTTAGCTAACTGGAATTTAAGTAAAAACTTAAAAAAATAAATTGGTAAAACATACAGAAAGCATTAGATAAAAAAAATAAACATACCGGAATTACTTAAGTCATTTTCTAATGGTAGATTGAAAAGTCAAAATGCACTTTTTCCAGGCTACTTCTCAAAAAACAGAGGATTTTTAAAAATAATCATGACACGTATTTATACCTTACTCTCCTGTGCCCTAGACTTCATGCAGAGGCCTAAGACCCATATTTTAAATGTAAAAACCAGTCCTTTAGGAATACAGCGTATTATTTTACCATAACATTAAGTTTCCTGATTTTAAATATGGCTGTGCCTATAATGTAATATTTCTAAGAGCACATTTTGAGAAATTTGTAATTCCTGTTATATCTTGAAAGATGCAAGTAAAACTTGAGACTTTACTTTGGCATATGACCCTCTCTTTTTATAGTTTTGGTGTTCTTTAAAGACACAGATATTTCTTTAAAATAAATATGATGCAATGAAACTATCTTACAAATCTGTTTTTGACTATAAAACTTCTTTATATTCCCATAATGAACACATATGTTCTCATAGCTTTCTCTTACTGATAGCATGTTTTTTGGTTTTTTTTAGTCCCCCTACAAAAAAACTGCTATCAACCATTCCATGGGCCCACAGTTACTTCTTTAAGCATATTCAGAGACATTTTCATACCATTCAAACACTTGTCTTAATAGGTTGTGCTCAGTGACAGAAACCTCTCTAGGTAAATACTGAACAAGCAGTCCAACTCCCTTCCAGCTTGGGAAGCAAATGCTCATTGAAAAGAATTTCTCTTCCAATTAGAATTGCCAAGGGCTACCAGACCTCTCCAGATCTGCGACTGACCTGGTTGCAGAACATGGCGGGCAAACACTCAGAACGAAGCAACCATGCCGAAGCTGCCCAGTGCCTGGTCCACTCAGCAGCACTTGTCGCTGAATATCTGAGCATGCTGGAGGACCGCAAATATCTTCCTGTAGGATGTGTAACATTTCAGGTAGGAATCTGCCAGATTTACATTACATCAAGGTATGTCCTTTTTAGTTTTACCTTTTCTCACTGATGTTAAGATTCACTCAGCTTGTAAGGAAAGCATAAAGACTAAAGCTAATGCTTCACCAGATAAATTAACATTTTACTATCACTGTCTTGAATACATTGGTAAAGAGTATTTCTTGTTAATCCCTCCCCCCTTTTTTTTTTTTTACCTCTAAATACCAGTGTTTATTCTCTTTGCCTATACTGCTACGGACTTCATAGCATCTATGAAATACATGTGAAGTATGGAGAACCCGAATACAGTAGAAACTCTGAACTGGCTTTTACTTAAAACATCAGATAACCCAGCATTCTCCATTCTCTGTATAAAAGAGGCAGATAACCGTGGCTCAGAGATGATAGTTTACTCCCTCGTAGGATCCATACCTCTGACCCACTAGTGGAATTCTTTGCTTGCCAGGAGTCAGTTATGCTTTGCTTTTCTTGAAAACCTGTGAATGTCAGATTTGGGAAATTACAAAACTTAATTAAATGTTATCTCTGCTGGTGAAATCTAAATGTGGAGAGAAAGCCAGTCATTGTTTCTCTGAAAACTAAGTTAAATGTTTTGCAAAGACTTGATAAAAGTGAGTCTCCAAAACAATTGCTGTTGAATTAATTTTGGACCAACTACAAAAGACTGGGGGAAGAGCTCCTAGAAATCTAGGATAATTGGATAATCTGCTAAGTTCAAGTTTTTCAACTAAAGAAACCAGAACTGGAAATCTTTACTGAAGGTTGCATTATGGGTATCTAGGCAAGAGAGATTGGATGAAAATCTGGAGATCTGTACACAAAGAAAAGGCCTTAGATTTACTTTGAAAAAATGTCAAATGAGTGTATATTTGCTATAAATGTTTAGGTAAAAATATTTAAGGTAGTATGCATTATTTCTTCTTTGGAAATAATGGCTGATCCCAATCTCATTGGATTTTGTTATACCTGAGTTTGTTCATTAACTCAATGTATGTTAGGCAAGCCAAGCCATATTGCACCTTAATTTTCCTTGTGGGGGGTTTTGACAAGACCATTTAAGTTAAAAATAAAGACTGTTTAAGTCTCCAATGTCCTGTATCCTATCACTGTTTTCCTTAGCCCGTGATTTTTCTAATTTTCTATCTCACAACTTTTATTAATGGAAAAGTTACTATAGTATTACCATTTATTGTCATCTTCAGAATACAGAAAGATTTTGGAGATTTGTCTATTATCTTTGTGTTGACTACCCCTACCTTTTTTTTAATCCAAGCTGGTATTAATATTTCATCTTCAGTTCCTTCCTTATATACATCTTCCATGCTAAGAAATTAATTCCATTTCAAAAGCTGTTTTAATTTTCTCCGCCAGAATATTTCATCTAATGTTTTAGAAGAATCTGCAGTCTCAGATGATGTTGTATCTCCAGATGAAGAAGGTATCTGCTCTGGAAAGTACTTTACTGAGTCAGGACTCGTGGGATTACTGGAACAAGCAGCTGCTTCTTTCTCTATGGTAGATGACTCCTGTTCATTCTCCTTCCACAGATACATACCTCTGAATTATTCATAATATGTATAAATTCTTTGCCTATGACCCTGCTTTTCCTTATGATAGTTTTCTCCAAGCACCTTAAAAACTGTCTAGGAACAGATTTTTCTCTGTAGATATATCACTGCCTAACTCCTTTTTGTCTTAATAATCTGTCATTTCCTCCAGTATTTTTCATTTGCTTATTTATGAACCATCACTTAATCTATAACAGATTTTTTTTTTTTTTGGTTTATAAAACTTTTACCACCAAACATTTTCTAATACCTTAAAATTAAAAATCAGAACAAAAAAGAAAACCTCTGGATGATTTTAACTTCCTATTTGAGGGGACTAATGTGGCTCTAGCTCTAGAGCTGGTCTATCGGATGACAGGGAGAGTCTTCTTTTGAGTGTTTTGGACGTTGCCCTGGTGCTCAGGAAAGTTATGGCCCCTCATCTCTTGGTTGCATAGTGAGCCCTATTAGGAAGGTGTTAGAGACCTGGAACTTACTTACCAGGAGCTTTATGAACTACGTCTTTGATCCCTTGCCTGTACCATGTTATAAGCCCAGTCCTTGTCCCTCCCTATCTGTATGTGAGGAATTGAAGCAGTCTTTTTGATCCATAATAGGATGGTTATTGGAGAAGGGAAAGATAGCTAGCCCTGCTTACTTTCTTAAACTATGGTAATAGGGACACCTGCTTTCTCTGACATTTCTGTTGGGTGTTTAGTGTCCCAGTGTCAAGGTTTAGGAGACTGTGAAATTCATGTTAGGGTAAGGGGGAAGCTTAACATAATATGCAATGCTGCCCTTCTTCACCATTATACTGCTATAGGGAATTGGTTATTCTCCTGGCCTTAACCCTACCCTGCGATGTGTTGGTTAAGGGCATCTATTTAGAAGGCATACAGCCAGAATTCATATCCTGGCTCTGCTACCTCAGTAGTTCACTCACTTCAGGCACAAATTATGCAACCTATCAGTGCTTTGCTTTTCTCATCCATTAAATGTATCTAATAGTAGTAGGAGTCACATGGGAATGCTGTTAGGATTAAATGAGTTAATATATGTAAAGTGCTTATCACGGTGCCTGGCTCCAAGTAAGTATTAGTGTTTGGCATTACCATCCTCTTCACCATTATTCCCACTAAGAACCAGCTTATTTAAATATAATTATTCTGAGACTCTAAGAATGTTAGGTGATTGGCCATTTTAAAATTTCCTATCTGAGGACCTCGAATGTCCTGATTGCTCCTCTTGATCCCTGCTGCTTGAGTTTCATTTTAAGTGATCTGAACTAGCAGTGGGGAAATGTTTTTTGCTATTAATGGAATATTTTAATAAATACACACTCTGTGTTTGTGTGTGTGTAATTTTAATAGTTCATAGTAATACAATGGCCTGTATTACAGAAGTTTTTTTATAATAGCATCTAATTATGAAATTCACTGTTTTTCAACTAATCTGTTTAAGTTTTCTTTTTTTAATTTTTTTAAAGATTAATTTATTTGAGAGAGAGAGTGAGAGTGCAGGAACGGCCTGAGGGGCAGAGGGAGAAGATCCTGGGACTTCAGGATCATGACCTGAGCCGAAGGCAGACGCTTAACTGACTGAGCCACCCAGGCGTCCCCTAATCTGTCTAATCTTAATTGCAATAATTACTGGGGCATTTTAGTTATACTATGTATATTTAACTATTACAGTTACATGATTGCTTAAACTCCTGTGAACTTTTACTAGAAAATTTAAGAACCATATGTTTATTTCCTTGGGAAAATATGTTGATTTATGAGGTAATAGGAACTCAGCAGCTCTTGGAAAATCTTTCTTCCTACATTATAGCCACCAACCTGTTATTAAGGGTAAAACGGAATAACAGTACAGACACATGTTGTCCCTCACTGTGGTTGTGTAAGCAGAGTAGCCCTTGGCTGGCCATTGGCCTCTAGGGGAATAAAATCTGGTAGCTCAGAACCTTCTTAAATCTGGTGAAAGATCACTGATTTTTTTCCCACAGGGTATTTTCAATAAGATTTCCTATACCAATTTAATATTTTAGAAATGTAAATAATTTTAGTTTGCCAAGATGCCACAGGTTATCTGATATCTGTGACTAATGTAGTACTTGGATTTCTTTTATTCTTCTGCTCAGAATTAATTTCTGCCACAGTTTATATGCATATGTAAGTACTCACACATACACACGAGTGAAGTAATTACTGTGTAGATATCAGAATGTTCAATTTCAATTATATAGAAATTTAAATATGCATATATGTTTTTTGTGTAAAATACACCCACACATACATATCCATCCATCTAGAGGAGATAATGCGTTGTGTAAAATTCTTTTATTAAGGCTTGATAAAATTAAAAATTAGTAGTGTTTGTTTTTATGTCCTACTGGGAAAGCTTCAGTGGTATTGCCTTAGTGGAAGTATTGTGAATTCATAAATTGTAATTCTTTACTTTCATATTGATGTAAGAGAAAACAATATCTTATAACATTATTCTTATAGGCTGGCATGTATGAGGCAGTAAATGAGGTTTACAAAGTACTTATTCCTATTCACGAAGCTAATCGGGATGCAAAGAAACTATCCACAATTCATGGTAAACTTCAAGAAGCATTCAGCAAAATTGTTCATCAGGTAATGATTGCAATTTCAGTGTAAATGGAGAAAACTGTCTGAAAGCATTAGTGTTGCTTTGTCCTGATGTCAAACTAGATCCGATGAAATGACCGTCTTACTCAGTTTACAGATGAACAATGTCAAAATGATGGTTCATGGACAGAGCAAGATTCATTAACAAAAAATGAATTTACCTAAAGTAGATCATGATCATCATAAACTTTCTACATAGTTTTTTTAATTCACTTTTTAAAAATTAATAGTTGGCAAATTTTTAAAATTGTGAGTTCTTTTCTGTTTCAAATGTGAGTTAAAATTGTGAATCTGATTTTTCAGTTGATTTCTTTTGCTGCCAAAAAAGTTTTTGTATTTGTTAGTTTTTTATTAAATGATATGAAAGTTTAATAAACTAATATTGTTAATGTTTTCAACTTAGCTTCAACTGTTTTTCCCTAGATGTTCCATTCAGTCATCCTTTAATATATTTCTAATATGAAAATAATATTTAGTGAAAATAATGACTAAAACTGTTGTCTTATGCTTACTGAATTATAATAGTATGATTTTAGTACTTGTTTATAGTTCATGGAATCCACATATTATCACCAAAATTAAAATCAAAATAAGGCTTGGTTTAAAAATCAACTAGCAATTGATTTCCCTGAAACTAAATTCTCGGCTCTCTTAATATCCTCTGAAATATCCTGTTGAGCCTCCTCCTTCCCTTCCCTTCCCTTCCCTTCCCTTCCCTTCCCTTCCCTTCCCACCTGTGCTGTTACCTGCTACTGCCCCCATCCAAGAAGGACGTGGAGTACTGATGGTCCACGTTTGTATTCATTACTAGTCCTGTTCTACTGTCTGTCAGCTTGACCTCCTCTTTCTCGCTGTGGACTAAGCTATTCTGGATGAATTGATATAATCTGAAAAACTTTAATAGTCTTAAAACAGGGCTGCTATACTGTTAAGTCAATATTTTATTGTCCTCTACTAAAACACTGAAATTGCCAGAGATTTGTTACGATTCATGATGGTAACAGGTGGGTCTTATAATAATCAGTTGTGTACATACACTGTCAGTTACATGTCAGGTCTGGAACACCTGGAGGTAGTAGTTTACAAGAAATTTTTCTCCATTTGTATGATAGGCATTTGAGCAAAATTGCGATTTCTATTCCAGTTTACCCTGGGTAGTTCAGTGAAGCACAGCTCCCGTGAGTTAGAGGTCTAATTCAGATACATTAATTGAACACAAAGCTGCCTCTTTTTCACCAAAATTTATAGTTTCTCTTTCTAAAGTTTTTAAAAGGTGAAATTTTAACTACTTAGGTTTTGAACAAGCAATTTAGGAAATTATCACAGATCTTAAGTGAAAGAATATGGTGTTAAAAATATCCTGCTGTCTTCTGTTCGCAGAGATTTTATGGTATATGGTGCCTTACACTGCTCAAGTTCCTTTGGCCTTTTTTTTTTTCTTTTAAAACTTTTTTTTTTTTTATGACTTGCCCTTTTTTACTTTTTATTATACAGAGTACTGGCTGGGAGGTAGGTAATGTTTTAGTTAGTTAAAGACACTAATAGATTGATTTGACGAGATTTCTTATGCCAATGCTTTGCCCACATGTGCTAGCTGTGGGCATTCTGTTGCTATCTGCTATCAACTGAATTCATTAACCAAAGAAATTTTGTTAAAATACTCTAAGTTATTTTAAGCAATTTATTATTAAGAGGTTGTAGGCAGTGCATGGAAATTCATATGTTGTACTAATGAGATTCTTTGGTAAATGAGCCACTTTGTCATCACTTTAGTTTGTTTTTATCCTTTGAAGCATTTTCTTTCATCAACATTTACACACAGATTTCTTTTTTTAACCATATTGTTTCACCTCATTTTACAGAGGTCGATTTATGTGTTATTGCTCAGAGGTGTATAGAAAATACCATATTTCATCTGATCAAAGACGCCATCAATTGTAAGACATACCATTATTTTATATGCCTTTGAGAAAGAAAAGGAAACGTATTAAATCACAACATCAGGGATATTAAAATGTGGGCCAAAAAAATGTGCATCTCAGAATTGATGAAATAATGTGTTGATTTGATCTTGAGTCACTTCACCTTGAGTATGAGCACTACTGAGGGAAGAAATTCACTTTGTCATTTAAATTTTGTTGGTGGGAGGGATAAAAAGAGTGGGAGAACATGAAATTTACTTTGACCTCCTCTACTGACAGGTTGATAATTTGTGTTGAAGACTACATACGCTTCCTTTTATGTAGGAGGTAGGCTTGTGAAGAGTAATGTATGAATCGAATTTTACCTGAAAAAAGCCAGAAAGATTTGATTGCTATTGTTTTAAATCTTTCTATAAAGAAAAGAGTTCTGGAAAATGTGCCCTAATTTATTTTGATGAGGTAAAGCCAGGGTATTAATAAATCAGGTTTATTTTAAGCAAGGTATATTTGTAAAGTTGTCTGCTTTGCCTCTCACTTTGAGGTCACATTTACGTCGGCTCAACAGCTTAACACTGATTTTGCACTGCAGTCCTTATTTGGGGACCCAGATAGAAAACCTTAGGAATAAATGTTACTACTGTGTTTATTCCATTCCTGAATTAGTCCCTACTTTTTGCTTGTCTTCAGATGAAGCCAGTACTTGTATATCTACCTTAATTCTCCAGATTCAGTGTGTATGACCTTATTAATATCTAATATATAATTCCTCATTTTTGTGGCTCAGTTAGAAGGTAACCGAAAGAGACTTGCCATGGTTAATCTAGGAATGGTAAAGTTCCTTATAGATTTCCTCACATGAAATGAAATGAGCTGAAAAGTAGGCATGAAAGAAGATGTATTGAAACCTCTGAGCAGTTTATTACTAGTTGGCTTGATGCTAAATCGACCCCTGAAAGGTATAATTTTCACTGGTTATGACATTAATATCATTCTGTCATCATGTTTATTGCATGATAAAAGTCGTGCAGACTTTATTTTTCTGTTTATATTCTTGTCACTACCTTTCACTGGACTTTTAGCTTTGTAGCTTCTAAAATTGTTGCACGTTTGTTTTTTTGCTTTTCCCTTATAAAACTTAAATGGATGCTTGCATTTTAAAAATGTGTTTGCCACCATTTGCTGCTTATTTGTTTTGAAATTTCCCTAATTAAAATGCTTTCTGTTTTCTCTTCTCTCTTGCCCCTGGTTGCTGACCCTACTCCCTACTTTTACTATTGTCTATTGTGGTAAGTTCCTATCTTGTGAATATTTTTCTTTTTGACTCTGTGAAAACTTCAGTAATTTTGTTTTTTTTCTAAAAGCTGTGTTTCCTAGCTAATATCCTAGTATTCTCAAAGAACTCACTGGTTTAATATCCAGTAGGGATAACTTATCCATTGTGTAGAAAGGCTCTTGGAATGGATAACTCACTACCTGACTTACAGGAAAGCCCTTCTGGGCAGTGTGTTTCATTTTTCATTATGCTCTTTGATTTGGTACAAATTATTGGAGTTGGCAGAGCTTTTGAGGGGTGGGTGTGTGTGTGTGTATAAGAGATAACTGTAAAACTTGACACTTAGCAATTTGGTCAAGTATTTACCATGCAGAGGAACAAATCAGGAACCCGTCACAAATCATGGTGGCTCTTCCCTGCTCTTCCAGTCTCAGTACCTTAATGGCTATTTAGTGTTCACCTTTATTTTCTCTTTTCCCAAGCCCATTTCTTTTTCTGGCAACAACAGGAAATAAAGTGTGTTTTAATCATTTCTTTCTTACGATTGCATTTTAAAAAAATTTTTAGGAAAAGAGAAATACTGAATTTCTGTATGGAAATTTTTATACTGATTTCAGTTTTTGCATGTGTGTGTTTCATTTTTAAAAGAAGCATTTATCCATGTACCCAACAGTAATCAGTTTCAGAAATAGATTAATGCAAGTTTGGATTTTTCAGAATAATCAATCCCCAAACATCGGTAAAAGCCATGTGACACTTTCTCCTTTCTTTTTTTTCTTAAAAGATTACAACGTATTTCTTCAAAGGGAATATCACTACTGTATTAGGTATATCTTATCGTCTCCAGAAAGGCTCGAGAAGGGCTTATTAGCTTTGTGAAGCTAAACTCTTTCTGCTGGACTGCTAAAGAAAAGTGGAGTACCCTAATTTTTGAGATCGAAACATGCAAAAGGGCTATATCTTAACTCTTGTCATTGGGCTGGATGGACATGACTATGAGGCAGTTTTTGGGGTTCTATATGCTCAGAAATACTGGCCATAGTTTTGGTGCAGTGATTTCTGTTGAATTTTTTATGCTTTAATCCATGCTAAAGCTAAGTGAGATAAATTAACTCAGCTAAGCAAGTAAAGGTAGAGCAGAATTAGAAACAGCGATACGATGGAAGCGGAGGGAGTCCCTGAAGGAAGGGAATGAAAAAAAAAATTCCAAAAGCCTAGTCTTTACCTCAGGGATGTTAAGTCAGATATAAAGAAAGTTAAGGAAAACATAATAGGTGGGAAGAATCTTATCTCCAGGAGGAGACACTTTTTGGGTAGTTGGTGACTCCCTGATAATTGGCACAGACCGATGGCTGAGCTTCTGATGACGCAGTACCGCTGATCGTGTTCTGCCCTTTATGCTACTTTTCAGAAAAAGGAAAGACTTGGACAGAAAACATGCACAGTGTGGAGGACAGTAGATGTGATTTCTTTTTCCTGGACTATGACATGGAATGGTTGAAACTGAACTTCTGAAAAGAAATGTAACAGGCTGTATCTTAGAAGGATATATTGCATAGGTGAACCACCAACCTGGTTATCATATTAGAGTAGAGAGGACAGTGTTGTAATATAGCAAAAGACAAAGCATAGGGTAGGAGGTACCCATTAATTCTCAAAAGACTTACTCAAGGAAATTCTCAAGGAAAACATCAGAAGTGGAAGATGGTCCAGAGATCATACTTATATCCTAATGTTTGTATATCAGTATATAGGGTATGGGAATTTATATAGCTTAATTAAGAACTTGGACTTCAGGTGTCAAATATATTGGTATTTAACTCTCAGCCCCACCACTGATTAACATGTGACCTTGGACAAGTTACTTTTCCTCATCTATAAAATGAGGGCAAAAAAAAATGGTACCTATCTCATAGTTGTGATAAGAATTAATAATTCGTGTAAAGGGGATAATAGAGTCTAGCACATAGTAAGTAGTTTAAAAATGTTGGAGATTATTATTTTTATTGTTGTTACTATAACATCATCATCATCATTATCATTATTGCTACTTGAAATCTTAACACAGTTTGGCTAATGAAATCTAAGAGGTGTTATTATGTTCCCAAGTTGACATCTACTACTAACTAAACTGATGAAAGCGTTTGCGTTCTATAAGAGGAGTAGGTTGAGTAGAAGAGGAGGGTGATGGCCACTGTCTGAAATCCTGGTGTGCCTGTCTGGAAATCAATTACCTTGAAGGAAGCATAGCAGAAAACAGGTGTGGATAAAAGTTTTAGTAGTGATGTCATTGTAGAAATACAAAACTAGCCCCACAGAGTGTTCTTGCATTAAAGATAACAAAACTAGAAAAGATTTGCAGTCCATTCGTCATAAGACATTTCAACCATTAGAGACGTGGAGAGAGTAGATGGGTTTTGCTTGTCTGTGATGTGGTCACATCACCCAGGAGATGGTAGAATCAATAAATAGAAGAATAAATTGGAGTGTGGGAATGATAGGAAATTCAGAAAGAATTCATGACGGCAAGGAAAGGTAATGCTAGAAAAATAGAAGCTAGGTTGTAGGAAAGTAGAAAATGAGTGTCCTCCTGTGGTCTAAAACTCTGAAGAAGAAATAAGATGAAGTGATGTTTTTGCTGAGGAAGCAGCTATATGATCATGGGTTCGTGAACATGATAGAGTCAGTGGTTTTACACTATAGAACTTTTTGTAAATTGAAAATAAATTTACTCAAACTCTTAGCCTTCCTTCTGTTCCCTCCCCCATTCCAGTGCACACACATTCATTCTCAATTCCAGTGACTCCTTAGAGTTACCTCTCTGATCTACTCCATTCTGCCTCTTGCACACTCCCCTTCAATTCCCCGGCCTCCTTCCTGTTCTTCAAACATACTGGAGAGGCGCTGTCCTGGGACCTGTGCACTGGCTCACCCTTCTGCCTGCAGTGCTCTCCCCAGAGATCCACATGAATAACTCTCCCACCTCCTCCACATCTTTGCTCAGATGTCACCTCTTGGTGAGACCTACCCTGACCACGCTCTTTGTCTCTTTTGTTCACTGATTTATCACAAATGCCTAGAACAGTTTGCTGACATATATGGCAGGCACTCAGTCAATATGTGAATGGATGAATGGTTTCCCTCACATTCTGTTTCATGGCTTTTATCTTTTTCTTTCTTTCTTTCTTTCTCTGCTGAAACGGTCTTTCCTTCCTTCCTACATCCAGTTAGCCATTCTTCTGACTTGTAGAACCCTGTGTGTCACCTCTTCTGTGACCTGGGTCCAGCAGGATTAATCTTTCCTTTCTTGATTCCACTTTCTATTATAACACATAACCCTTTGTATTGTAATTATTTGAGTATATCCTTTACTTTCTTGAGGAGCCAAATCGTTTCATTTTTATTTTCGTATTACTGACGATGAACAGTGTCTAACACATTATAAGCACTCAGTAATTTTTTTCCTTGAACTGAATGTCAGTATACGAAAGTAAATAAAAAGAGCTTTAAGTGCTTAGTAACTAGGTATAAGCTGCATTAATAAAATTCAAGTTCATATGGGAGGCAGTGAGCCCACTGATCCCTGCACTGATCAGGTCACATCAGCAGTATTTTGTCTGTTTCTGAGATGCCACACTTTGAAAGGTGGCATTGAAAAACTAATAAAATGCAAACACGATAGTAATTCCTATCATATAAAGATGATTGGGAACTGGAAAGTTTAGCTAAAGGAAACAAGTCCTAATCTCAGTCTTCAAATATTTAAAAGGCCACAATATTAAAGATGTGGAATAGCATTTTAAGTTGGACACCTCTGAGAGGAGTTTGGCCAGAATAACAAAATTTTACTATTTGTGGTTTCTAAAAGTAGAAATGTTTTATGTGTATGTATGTGTATGACATTTTTGAAACATAATAATCGCAAGGTATTAATTTTCTCAAACGCCATTTTTATTTTCCATGCAGTGCCTTCATTCCTTGATTATGTCAAGATTTGCTGTTATTTTGTTTCATTGGCTTATGGATGGCTTTAATCAGAATTTTGATTGAATACCTTTTTTTCTAGAGAGATTTCATTTGCTGTAGGAACTCAGTTAATTTTTATACCTGTTAAATTTTGAAATGACTGTGAAAAAAATTTTTAGATTAGAAACCTCAAGGTTTTTTTTTTTTTTTTAAGCTCCAAAGACATTTTTGTCTTCAAAACTTTATTTCTCCTGGATAGAAATGTGGGGATATTTTTAGTCACTGTACCTTTTTTTTTTTTTTTTTTTGGTGTTATGAAACTAGTAAATTAAGGATCAGAGTTTCCTGTTTTGCTTAATTATCTGTTTCATTTGTGACTTATTTTATATATCCTTTAGCCTTTCCAGTAAGAACTCAATATAGGAAAAGTAAGTGTAAGACAGATTAGGCTTAAAGAGAATTCAGAGGTTTTTAAATACTTATGTGAGGCTGTGTATATAGGCACTACCACAAAATCCTTCTGAAACATCTTGGTGTTTTTTTTTTAAAGATTTATTTATTTATTTGAGGGGAGGTAGGGGCAGGGGAGAGCGAGAATCTTAAGCAGGCCCAACACAGGGCTCAATCTAATGACCCTGAGATTGGGACCTGAGCCGAAACCAAGCATCAGACGCTTAACCAAAGGCACCACCCAGGCACCCCCTTCTGAAACATCTTCGTAAATAAATTGTAAGAATTGCATAGAAAGCTTCCAAATATTTTATCTTTATTGAAGGAATTTGTCCTCAAATGTGCTGTGTAAGAAGAATTCAGATGGTCTTAGTGTACTTTGTACTTGAATGTGTGGTTAATGTATGCAGGGGGTGGTTTGGGGACTTTAGAATAACCAACTTGTGTCACAGTTTTTTCTTATCTCTCATGCACTTTTCCCTTTCTGTTCCATTTTTTGTTACTCTTCCACATAGAAGTATTGTTATTGAGAGAGGGACACCCATTGTAAATTGTTTGCCTTGGGGCTTCTGGATGGTCTTGCCATTTACTGACTCTCCTCTATGCCTGGTGCTATATACTTGGCTCCTAACTTTTATGATCTCATTGATGATATGTATAAAGATTGTATAAAGGCAAACGCTAACTAAAAATGTTAATGTTATTTTTAAATTTAACTTTATTTGGTATGCTATAATTTCAGAATAATTAAGACACAGTTCATGTTATACAAAGCATCTTTTCTTGCAATAAGGAAAATAATTTATCTCAAAGTATAGGGACTTAAAAACATAGACCAGTGTGAGGTAGTCACTTGGTACAAACTCTGAAAAACGTTAAACATATGTGATTTAGTCACCTGATAAAAGCCCTAATTGCAGAATGTTATTTGTTAGAAATAACGAAAAAGAAAGAATATTTACTTTGTTTTTACCTTCATTTGAAAAACAATAAAATTTTGTAATTTTGAATGAAATCTTTTTGCAATGTTTTGAGAATTTTATGCTATAGCAATGTAAACATAATGTGAAAAACAAAAAAAAACCTTTGTATTAAAGTTTCTTTGTTTTCCTACGCCTAGGATGGTAAGCGGATGTTTGGCACCTATTTTCGTGTTGGTTTTTATGGAACCAAGTTCGGGGATTTGGATGAACAGGAATTTGTTTACAAGGAGCCTGCAATAACCAAACTTGCAGAGATCTCTCACAGATTGGAGGTGAATGCTGTGGTAGCTTATAAATGTCATCTTTATTTTGTATTCTCTATGATGAATTGACTTTCAGATCCAGATCGAATCATTTAATAAGCCAGATCCTGCCAAATAAACTACTCCTTTAGAGACTAAGGATTTTTTGATAGCTACAGTAATAATCTTTCAAATCCTTCAAATCTTTTATGGCAACAGTAAAATAATATTAACTTTTTTTTGAGGCTCTTTTTTCACACATATTTTAGAAACCGCTACAACCTTCAGAATTACTGTGATTTACAGAGAAATGTATAGTATTATCTACATTTTGCAGTAAAAGGCATAAGGATTTAAGTAGCAACTAATGATGGAACTGGAACCCCAAGAAATTTTTTTTTTTAAGATTTTATTTATTTGAGAGAGAGAGTGAGAGAGAGAGAGCACATGAGAGGGGGAAGGGTCAGAGGGAGAAGCAGACTCCCTGCTGAGCAGGGAGCCCAATGCGGGACTCGATCCTGGGACTCCAGGATCATGACCTGAGCCGAAGGCAGTCGCTTAACCAACTGAGCCACCCAGGCGCCCACCCCAAGAAATTTCTGACCCAAGTGCGTTATCTCTTTGGCCTGATTCCCAGTGAGAATCCTTTAGAAATTAAAAGCCTGAAATCATACCCTGAAAACACTTCTTAGAACCCCTTAACCTTTAGAACTTCTTCATTTTTACCATGAATGACTAGTTTTCATATTTACGAGGTTTACCAATCTTTTCTGCTATAGTTAGTCTTTCCAACTTCTCTCTATTCTTTTTTACTCAAAATGCAGCCCATGGACCAGAAACACTGGCCTCATCTAGGAGATTGAAATGTAGAATCTCAGACCCTGCCTACCCCAGATATTCTAAATTAAAATCTCCATTTTAACAAGATCCCTGGGTGACTTGTATTCACATCAGAGTTTGAGAAGCAGTGTTCTGGGCTTGTTTTAATTCTCAGCTCCTATTAATTTCTTGAATGTTGTATTCTTATTGGTGACTTCCCTGGCCTCACCTTCCGTAAATTGGCTTAAAGTGTGATTTTTTATTTTTCAAGAGCTAAGTAAGTCTTGGGAAATATTGAGACAGTATTTTCCAAATTTACTCAATCATAAAAATTATCTTTGAGGGAAGAGTAGGGGTTCTCCTTTGAAGATTCAGATGTAATTTTTCCTATTGAATAGCTCCATCTGTTGCCCATGCTGCTCCTCCATGTTATATGGAAAAGACACTACATTCTTGACTGGGTTGCCTTTTCAAAATCTAAACCAGTATGAAACTTTCAGCAGATCAATGCTTTTATTTGAAAACTCTGGAATATTAAATCATTCATAAGAAAGAATGTTGGTTCATTGACCCATGTATGCAAGAAATCAGGCCACATCACACTCAATAGTAAGATCCTATACATCAAAGATAACCTTGTTTCTTTGGTTCTGCTTTCTGTTCCCTTTTTATTTTTCTTGAGGATCCCTTATGGAATCCTGTACTTTTATTGTAGAAAATTGTTCTTCTATTTTGTGTTAAAGTGAGTAGATATAAATAATATCAAATAAATAGGCTAATATAATTTTTGTGAACCTAAATAATTATTTTGTAATTACTCAGATGGTTGTACAAGAACTCACTAAATGGCCTAACTTTGCTCAGAGGTCTCCCTCAGAGGGCTTCTCTGTTCTCCACTACTGTTAACTTCATTTAAAGGTTTCTTTTTCTTTTATTGTAGGGATTTTATGGAGAAAGATTTGGAGAGGATGTGGTTGAAGTAATCAAGGACTCTAATCCTGTAGACAAGTGTAAATTAGATCCTAACAAGGTATGGTGGGTGAGACCGAATGCCACACAGGTGTAGCTCAGAGACCATGATTTTGTGGGAGAAGGACTAAATGATTTAACAGTGAGATATGAAGGACTTTTTTTTAACCCCCAGGCATATATTCAGATAACCTATGTGGAGCCGTACTTCGACACATACGAGATGAAGGACAGAATCACCTATTTTGACAAAAACTATAATCTTCGCCGTTTCATGTACTGTACGCCCTTCACTTTGGACGGCCGTGCCCATGGGGAACTTCATGAACAATTCAAACGGAAGACCATTCTGACTACTTCTCATGCCTTTCCTTATATTAAGACAAGGGTCAATGTCACTCACAAAGAGGAGGTAAGTCCACAAACGGGAATAGGATTTGTGAAGCAAAGACACTGGAGCCGTGTGAGAACAGCGTGTCTGTAGTGTTACGTACCGCCCCTCACATGGCAGCATCCTAGAACTTTACCCATTTTTGAGTCATTAACTTTGGGTTCTTTTCTAAATCTCTAGTTTACCCTCAGCTTATGCTTTAAAAGGCTGGCTCCCCCCCACCCAATTTAGGGATCCAAAGTTTGGAATTCTGTTATTGGAAAACAGTTTATAGCTGGTCTCCACTTTTTAAAAAAATGATTATATATCAAGCTCATTGAATAGTTTTCAATCAGTACACTGACCTATTAGATGTTATTTCACCCAGATCATCTTAACTCCAATTGAAGTTGCTATTGAAGACATGCAGAAAAAGACCCAGGAGTTGGCATTTGCAACACATCAGGATCCAGCAGACCCCAAAATGCTTCAGATGGTTCTCCAGGGGTCTGTAGGCACAACAGTGAATCAGGTTAGTGCTTTTGCTGGTACTCTGTGATGGCAGTCGTAAGTGGAATTGGGAATGATTTCCTGATTATGTTTCACAAAGGCCACGAGTGTCCAATCAAGTGGAAAAAGATAGGTGGGTTAGGAGTGGTTTGCAAAAGACACGAAGTATAAATGAAAATAGACTGAAAAAAGAAACTTTTTAGTATAACCGCAGTTATTAAGGTTTTCATGCCTGCCCTCTGTACTGCCTGTATTTTTCTACCTATCTGTTCTTAAACATTCTATTAAGAAGGAACTGATTCACTTAAAATGGCCCTTCCTTTAAAACCTTGTACTGAGGGGCGCCTGGGTGGCTCAGTCATTCGGCGTCTGCCTTCGGCTCAGGTCATGATCCCAGGGTCCTGGGATCGAGCCCCGCATCGGGCTCCCTGCTCCATTGGAAGCCTGCTTCTCCCTCTCCCACTCCCCCTGCTTGCGTTCCCTCTCTCACTGTGTCTCTCTTTGTCAAAAAATAAACAAAATCTTTAAAAAACAAAAACCTCGTACTGAAAGAACGTGATCTAAAAAGATCTCGTTTTCAGAGCTCTGTTCGTACATGTGAATGCCTGCTTCCTTAGATATTCCCTGATGTTCTTCTCCAGATCTCCTTCCCATTGAGTCATGAGGAGGAAATATGTGGAATCACTCTGAAAATTTTAATAATATATGTACATAAGATATTATTGTTGATGCTTTGTCATGTGCAGATTAGAAGCCATCCCTGTTTATCTCCTTGTAATGGGTTCATTCAGATTCTCTTGCTGATGATTAGGGAATATTCCAGGGTAAGGGAAAATCCAGAAAGGCTTCAAGTAAGAATTCATATTATATATCTTACCTATATTTTAGGTTAAAGAAACAAAGCCAAAAATTTCCCTACCAAAGCGGAAATAAATGTTTTAACACCTTTACCCCTAAAAACATACATGATTTGGGGGTTTTACTTCCAAATGATATAACCCTCACAAGGGATCATCTTTAACTTGCAGTGTTAGAACACATTTGGAATACTGAGGGAAGCTATTTTAGCAGAATCAAGTATCTAATAACCAGTGGCTTGACAACTGTTTGCATCCAGGGTAAATTAAGGAATGTAAAAAGTACAAGGCAAAATGTATTGATAAATATAATAGTCAATCCTTGAACTCCTACTATATTTCTTCGAAAAATACTCAGCAATTTAATTACAGTACCTAAGCATATAGATTTGGCATTAGGAGAAGCTAAAAATAGTATGGCCAGAATCTGTCTGTGAGAAGGTTTTTTTGTATTTTGGTTTTGTTTTTAAAGGTGGGTGTATTTATTTTAGAGGGAGAGAGAGTACACTCAAGGGTGAGGAGAGACAGAGGGAGAGAGAGAAAATCTCAAGCAGACTCCCTGCTGAGCCCACAGCCGGACACAGGGTTCTGAGATCATGACCAGAGTGGAAATGAAGAGTCAGACGTGTAACTGACTGAGCCACCCAAGTGCCCTGAGAAGTTTTAATATAGACATAGACATATCTGCATTATGCTTAAATGCAGCCATCTCAATGCTAAGAAAAAATCATTTGGGTAAATTCAACCTCTGATTTTAGAGAAGACAAAAACACACTTGTTTTATTTTCTTATTTTACAGGGGCCTTTGGAAGTTGCCCAGGTTTTTCTGTCTGAAATACCCAGTGACCCAAAGCTCTTCAGACATCATAATAAACTACGACTGTGCTTCAAAGATTTTACTAAAAGGTACTCAAGGCTTTCTGCGTAAAGACCCTCAAATTGAGAATGTCCAAACCACAGAATGGTGTAAGGGTCTTAAGGGACTCTTGAAAAGAGAAAATCTAGGAAGTGGCTCACAAAGAGGAACAGTTCGTGTATAACTTACTATTCCTTCAGGGTGTATACATACCCCCCACCTCTAATAGTCTATATTGCCATATTTTTAAAGATTAGAAAAGCCTAGACTCAAATTTTTTTTTTAACATGAAACTATTAGACTAGTTAAGCTGTTTAACCTGAGAGTTGTTATTTATTGTGAACCTTCAGTGTGAAAGTTTTTGCTTCCCTTCCCTCAGGAAACATACAAACAACAAACTTGGAAGCAGAAAATTTGTGTTCAAATCTTGTCTTTGTCATTGTGTGTCCTATTCCAGGTCATTTAATCTCTGTGATCATTTTCTAATCTATTAAATAAGGATGATAATAATAATCTCCTTCCCACAGGGAGGTTGTGCAAGTTAGATGAAATAATATATGGGTGTCTCAGGGTCCCCAGCACCACCCCCAGTTTTAATGATTTGCTAGGAGGACTCACAGGACTCCGCATATAGTTGAAGTCACGGCTGTGATTGATTTCTATGGAAAGGGACAAAGTAAAAACCCTCAAGGGGAAAAGGCACTGTGCGTGAAGTCTGGGGGGATCCAGGTATAGACTCTAGAATCCTCTTTCAGGGGGTTCACACAGGCGCTCCTGACGCCTCCAGCCATGAGCTGGGATGAGCAGGGATAGCGTGTGTGAAATGTTGTCTACCCGGAAGCTACTGAGTAGAGGGCCAAGATTGTTGGTGAGGGCTGTTCCTGTAGGCCCCTACTGCCTGGCAGGGGCCAGAATTCTCAAAGCAGGTGTTCAGCATAAGCCATAACGTTTGTATAAATAGTGTAGGCACAGTGAGCCGCTCTTACCTTCTGGGAATCATTACCTCCCGAAATCCAAATTCCCAGCCGCTAAGCAAGGGCCAACGTTGCAAATAGGCCTTTGAAGGGTATCAGTCTCAGGCCTGCAGTTAACTCTTTTCTGCACAGATAATACTTGGCACAAAATAGGTGTTGGGCAAATATTAAATTTTGAAACAATAAGAAAAAAGTCATTTATCAACTTGAGACTGATTCCTGCTTTACCAACACTGTAAGCTTGACAGTAGAGGGAATGATTAATTTTACATGGTGATGCCAGGGAAGATTTCCCACAGAAGTCAACATTTGATATGGACCTTGAAGGATGGATATTAGTTTTTCAGGCAGAAATGAGGAGAAGGGTATACTAAATAGAAAAGGAAAAAAAACCCCAGCATGCGCAAAGTTCAGAGACTGTTCTGAGAAAAGTGAATAGTTTAATGAAGCTGGAACCATAGACTCTGTAAAGACAAGCAGTCAAATACTGGGTAAGTCGACTGGGACCGGATCGTAAGAGAGCCTTGTGTACCATTCAGTAAGTGACATGATGGTCACCTAACGAAGCGGCATCAGAACCCAGTCTTTGACTCCCTTTTATGGTTTCTCTTATTAAGTCATACACTGAACCAACTTTATCAGGGGTAGAAATAATTTCACATTAGTTTTGTCATCAGAAAATTACGAGGAATGCTAACATGTTCAAGTGTTTTAAGATGGAATTTCCCCCGTTCTCACTGCAATAGCTATCATGAATTCCTATCAATTTCTCCTGCCTGAACATGGTGACTGTCTTTTAAAAAGGCTTCAGAAAGCTTCATCGGAAATCTGAGATTCCAGAATCTGATTATTGTGCCAGACCACCTTCTAAGTTTGGTTTTAGGAGACAACAGGAAACATAGCTTCTCGTGTATGGAGTAGATGAACTGTGGTAGTAAAATAAAGAAATCTACTTTATACTTGTAGCATTGACTGATTCCTAGCATTAATTTTATTATTAGGGAAGTTTCGGATAACAACCAAAAACCCCCTGCTATCTTTGTGTGCCAGATGATCTTGGAACAATACATACTTCTTTAGGTCATAGACATTTAAGTATAGACAGTTACTTCTTTCCCTGCTGTTGTTTTGACTACATTTTAAGTCACATGTCCTCCTCCTTGTGTATATTGATGATAAGGTGATCAATTTCTGTAGTCTGCTGGTCTCTAAGTATTACCACCAACTGTAGAGAGGTTTTCTTAAATGACAAAAAGACAAAAAAAAAGCACAAAAAAGCCACTCCATAACATAAACCTTATCAAGAAAGTTACAGCCTTTTTTATTATTTATTATTTTGTTGGTCATGCTTTTTATTTTTGTGTTACCTTTTATTTTTATATCAGTATGCATATATATTTATAAAACTCACAGTATACATATAATCTTTTTATTTTTCAATTAAAGTTAAAGCTTTCTAATGATTATATTATTTCATTAAATATTTGAATTTAAGTTTTTTTTTTTTAAGATTTTATTTATTTATTTGACAGAGGGAGTGACAGCGAGAGGGGGAACACAAGCAGGGGGAGTGGGAGAGGGAGAAGCAGGCTTCCCGCTGAGCAGGGAGCCCGATGCGGGCCTCGATCCCAGGACCTGAGCCGAAGCAGACACTTAACGACTGAGCCACCCAGGCGCCCCTATTTGAATTTAAGTTGAATTTAAGTGTGGTGTGTTCACCAGTGCATTGGATCTTTTTTTTTTTTTAAGTGTTTTTTGTTTTGTTTTGTTTTGTTTTGTTTTTAGTATAGTTGGCACAACAGTGCTACGTCAGTTTCTGGTGTACGACATAGTGATTCACCTTCCCCATATCTTATGCTGTGCTCACCACAAGTGTAGCTACTGTCGTCATACACTATCACAGTACCATTGACTACATCCCCTATGCTGTGCCTTTTATGCCTGTGACCTACTCATTGCCTAACTGGAAGCCTGTGTCTCCCAGTCCCCTTTACTTTTTCTGCCCATCTCCCTACCACACTTCTCTCTGGCAACCATTCGTTCTCTGTATTTATAGGTCTGGTTCTGCTTTTTGTTTGTTCATTTGTTTTTTAGATTCCACATATAAGTGAAATCATATGGTATTTGTCTTTCTCAGTCTGACTTATTTCACCTAGCATCATACCCTCTAGGTCCATTCATGTTGTCACAAATGGCAAGATGTCTTCCTTTTTATGGCTGTGTAATATTCCTGTGTGTGTGTGTGTCTCACATCTTCTTTACTCATCTATCAGTGGACACTTAGGTTGCTTCCATATCTTGGCTAATGTAAATAATGCTGCAGTAAACATAGGGATGCATGTGTCCTTTATAATTAATGTTTTCATTTTCTTTAGATAAATACCCAATAGTGGAATTATTGGATCATATGGTGTTTCTGTTTTTAATTTTTTGAGGAGCCTCTACTATTTTGTGCCTCTTTTTTTTTGTTAAAAATTTTAATCATGAAATGACTGAGCCGAAGTACATGAACATTTTTATTGGCCCTTAATATATCGTGCATTGCAAAAAGTTTCTAAGTATTAACAGTGCCAAGTATGCAAGTGTACTACTCTCAGTACACCTTGGCTTTAAGTAATGCCATTTAGGTAGGATGTCTGTTGTTAATCAGTTTAAATGGTACTTGAGTTTGCTATTCATTTGTTAATCATTTATTCCTAAAAATAATTAACACCTTTGCATGTGTTTACTTTTTATATTTTGGGGTTTATCTTTTAAAATTTGCTTTCATTAAATCTTGAATAGATTCAATATAGTATTTATAACATTTGCTATTAAAGAACGGGGAGAAAAAAAATCATATACCTACCCACCCTGCTTAAGAAATAGCATTCTCATTGCTTTGAGATCCCCTCCTCGTATGTTCTTCTCTGATAGCATCTCTCCTTTCCTTTAGAGGTAACCACTATCATGAATTTCATATTATTTCCTTGTCTTTATCGTTTTCTCATAAATGAGTGTATCCCTTAATAATACACTACTTCGTTTCACATGTTTTTTGTATAAATGGACAGTGAGTATAATTCTGTGACTTGCTGTTTTCAGTGTTTGTGAGATATACCTATAATGTTGCTTTATTTTTATATATTGTATGAATATGCCATGATTTATTCATTTTTCTGTTGGTGGATATTTGGTGGTTTCCTGTGTTTTTGTTTTTAGTTACAAAGAGTACTATTCAAATATCCCTCTATTTCTGAATTGACAAGAGATTTTCCAGGAGTTACATACCTAAGAGTAGTGTTGGTTCATAGGGTCAACTTCAACCAGATAATTCCACTTTTTTTTTCCCAAATTGTGTAAGCCATTACACATAAAGGAGCTAGAAAAAGAAAAACAAAACCCCAAACCAGCAAAAAGAAAGGAAATAATAAAGATTAGAGCAGAGGTAAATGTTACGGAAGCTAGAATAAACAATAGATCAGTAAAACCAGGAGCTAATTCTTTGAAAAGATCAGAATTGATAAACTTTCACCCCAACTCAACAAAAAGAAAAAAGAGAGAGAGGACTCAAATAAGCAAAATCATAAATGAAGAGGACAAATAACAACCAACACCACAGAAATATAAACAGTTACAAGAGACTATTTATGATAAATTGTGTGCCCACAATCTTGAAAGCATAGCAGAAATGGATAAATTCCTAGAAACACAAAATTGAAGCAGGAAGAAATAGAAAATTTGAACAGACTGGTTACTAGCAATGAAATTGAATCCATAAAAACAAAGAAAAAAAACCTCCCAACAAACAAAGGTCCAGGACCAGACGGCTTCACAGGTGAATTCTACCAAATATTTAAAGAGTCAATACCTCTTCTTCTCAAACTACTCCAGAAAATAGAAGAGGAAGGAAAACTTCCAAAATCATTCTATGAGGCCAGTATTATCCTGATACTAAAACCAGATAAAGACACCACAAAAAAAGAGAAGCACAGGCCAATATCTCTTATGAACGTAGATGCAAAAATCCTCAACAAAATAGTAGCAAACCGAATCCAACAATACCGTTTAAAAAAAAATCATTCACCACAATCAGG